GGCTTTACCATGATCCTGAGAGGGCAAAGAATATAGTAATCCAAACCAAAATATTGACTCCCATATAACCTTACAACATTTTGAGTACAATTTAAGCCACATTGGATTCCAAGATTAATGATACCAAAAAGAAAAAGAGATAAGTAGATGCTACTTCAGATTGGCCTAAGATTCCCAAAGAGATGTCAAATGCATAACTAAAAGTAAGCAAACAATGCGGAGAGATATGGACAACACAGAGAAGCATTGAAGAAGAAAGCAGAAGAGTGTAGAAGTGGTCCATTACAGAATTTAATTTCATTGAAAATTCTTCTTTTTCTTTTGATGTCTGTGGTCCAATTTTGGAAGTGAACAAAGCCTAACTTTGAGGGTTAATAAGAGAAGCGGACAAATGCGCCACTCTTATATTAGCAAGACATATGACATGTTTTATGTTACTATACTATTCAACCAATACTACTATTTGACCTATAGATGTTGTATATAAGTGTGTATAAATATTATTTTGTGTCATAATAATCCATGTTATTGACACAAGTAAAAAAAAAAACCTTATTACCATCCTAGTTCCTCATTGCTTATCTTTTATTCCTCTTTGCTTATCTTTTATTCTTCTAATTAAATATATACTATAAGAACCTCAAAAATTCAACGTTTCATAATCAATATCATGCAAAAATGTGAATATGGCCACATCCTCACGTCTCCATCTCACTAATGTACAATTCAAAAGTATATAATAAGATAAAAAGCTTATAAACTACAGATATTCGCTTATACATCTCATAAAAAGTTATATAAGAGAAAGGTTGGATGGGGACACATTTGTAACATTATTTGATCAACAATGAACTGTTGTTAGTGACAAAAAAAAAAAAAATTGCATGACTTTTAAAATATTAATTTGAACGTAATAAAGTAAACATGTCCGTTAAAATGTATAATGTGTTAATGTTTTTCTAGAACTTATATTGTCAGATTATGTATTACATGTTTATTGTTTAATCAGTTATCCAACAATATATGTATGATATTAGTGTTTATACACGAATTATCCTAAAATTTCAAAATTTTCTCAAAAAAAGTTATCCTAAATTTGAGAAGTAAGTCATGGAACTTCAAAATAACATGGACGTGGAACTCATAACTATTACATTCTCACAACAACAGATACTCAAAATTCGATTTCTTCCCCATCATAATATACAAGATCACACTATATCCCCCTTTAAAATTAAGATTTCCATACTAATTGAGTAAGACAGATACACATTGTCACTACGTCACTAAAAAACATAGGAATCATAGCTGATGTATATATCTTTTATTTGTCCAAAGATATATCCTTTATAAAACTATATAAAATAACGTTTTTTTATAGATAGAAAGGAGACTTTTCACCAGTCATAACTCTATATTCTTTTGGCACAATAGGTAATGGTCACAGCACAACAATGTCTTCACCAAAACCAAAGGAATTTGAGTAAAAGAACTAATTGAGTAAGAAGAAGAACCAAAGACTTTTTCAGCAATGTGGATAACCACAATCTCTCTTTCTGATCACGCGGGGCCAAATCACTCTTCTTTTCTCCGTTTTGTCTATTTTGAAACGTTTCTATCTTCTTTTTGTTGGATCGTTTCAACATTTCCATTACTTTTTCTATTATTTGATATGATCATTTGGATTTCTTTTTATATCATGCAGTGGACTATGAATTATTTTTTTCTCTATCTTTTTGGAGCAGAAGATCAGATTATATAAAGTTTTCGATAAATGAGTTTTTTACTCTTAACATACCGTTGTGTTAAAATTCTGATCCGATATGAACACAATCTCTTTATTAATTTTTTAATAACAAAACATGCATTATACAAGTTTGAATCTAGATAGTGAAACATTAATGATGCAAGTGCATACCATTATATGGCTATTAATCTTGAACCAATTATAAACCCAAAAAAAAAATGTTATAGATGTGTATATATATTTTCACTTAACAAATTGTTTTACCAATTTTGATTAGTTGATCAATTTCGAATATTAATTATATAAAAAAAAAAAAAAGTAAGTCACTAAAGGAACAAGTTTGGCAGCGTTACAAAACAAAGTGAAAGAGGAAGAGAAAACATCCTTTACGTTCCATCATTTTCATCCACAAACCTGACAAAAAGCTTCCTATGTTCTTTCTCTACTCTATCTTAATAATATAATAAAGTATTTATGCTTTTTTAACTCATAATGTTTTGATGTATATGTTGTCCATATTGTTAGGTTTCTTCTAATTTTCATCTATTTCACAAGCCAAGTGTACTGTGTACAGCAAACTAATTAACAAAATAAAGCATCATTGTTATAAACATCATCCTCGTATTAGATTCACTGTTTCTACACAAAAAAAAACTCGCCAGTTTAAGGCTTTTAGCAAAATATGAAACATCAACTTTTTAAATTTCATCTTCGAAATCTCCTATGCCGGTATCTTCAGGAGTAAAAGTTAAAAATATCAGATTCATTCGTATTTTACACAAAATTATTAGAAAAACAATGTTTGTAAAAGTTTTCATTATGAGTACTAGCTTTTCTGTTTTTTTTTTTTTAAATAAATTATAATCCCGGCAAAATTTATTAATTATTATCTTTATTTTGCTGAGATGACATTGTTTTGTCTTGTGTTAAGTTCTTGTGTGTTCGATAAATATAATTAAATGGCGATAGTTGACATTTCACCAGCAACCAAATACAATCTTTACGATCATCACATACATCCCTTTTTCAAGCCTGCCTCTATATTATTGTATTATAAGTTCCATATTAGTTTTTGTTTGTTTGATTGGCAAATACTCGGTTTTAATAATCTTGTTAGTCAATAAAGTTTAAAATCCGTCGGAAACCACTATATTCCATAAAGATTCATGGACTTGTGAAATACTATTTAAAAAAAAATATACTATTTAAAAAAAAACTTGTAAAGTAGACAAGATTTTCGTTAACAACTCCAATTGTCATTAACTCTAATTAATTAATGATTTTGTTTCTGTCACTAATATAGCCAGCACAAGTCGTTGATTAAGATTCTCTGTACCACCCTACTCTTAGCTTTGGTCCTAGTAGGTCCAAATCCAATTTCAAAAACAAAATGTAAGGATTGTTTTATGTAAATGTGAATAAGAACAATCGGTGATGGTTGTTCAATAAGTCGTCTCGAGGTGCAAAAGCACAAGATTTACTGGTGATTACAATTAACTTGGCTCATTGCAACTATTGATTTACATATACATTTCATATTTCAGTAAACCATAAGGTAAGACAGAAAAAAAAAAAAAAAAAGAAGTGTGTTTTAAGGAGTAATTAGTTGGAGCCGTGGGGCGTAGGGAAGTTCGTCGTTTCTCGGAGAAAAGAGAGTGGGGACGACAAGAGTTGTTGTGAAATGGACGACTGTGATCGTTAATGTGACTCTAAGTGTCCAATCATGTGTTAGCTGATTCCACACGAAAGGTAGACCTTATCACACCGGAAGTTTTCTTGACACATTTCTTTACTCTTTTATTCATCACTCACACCTTACTGTTTGGATATTTTGGTGGATTCAACTTTGTCGTTTAGTCTCGTTCATCGGCTCTCTCGCGTGTATCGCACGCAAATAGAACACTCAATGGCGCCAAATCTTGGAAGCAGTCAATGGCCACCAACCTTCTATAAAATTACCACTCATCGTTGGATATATAGTTTTAAAAAATGACTACTTTCATATACTAATAATGTCATTTTTACCGGTTAACTAGTTTTGCATGGAGTTCCGAATTCGATCATTTAGACAATGAAAATTACTGAGAAAAAATGTAGGATATACATCGAAAATCAATGAAATCTCATCGCAAACCTAATTAATTGGTGTAGAACTTAATTGAAATGTTGTTAAACCTTTTATCTCATCTATTTATTTGTTTACCAAAAACAAATTTAACAAACTAACTATATGTATGTTTACTCCTAGGTAATATGTGTGTGTGAAACATTTGATATCATGTATCTCTAATAAATATTTTTAGCAGAAGTCATGAGTTCATACCAAAATTAAGATGCAAATTTTATTTTATTTTCTTCTGATGGGATTAAATTTGTCGTACTTTTGATTAGACAGCAACTACATAAGCTTAAGTCAAATTTCTGAAATTGGTCCCCCACACCTCTAAATTTTTGAATCTGTATTTTCCTTTTTTTTTTGTTACTTATACAAAATAATGTAAAATATAAAGTTGTACGGCTGGATTCTCTTATCCGATCTATCGCATGCCATTTCTTCAGGGACCACTATTAGAGGAAATCGTTATCACGACACGTGTCCTCCGATATTTTTGGCGCCGAGTAGTGACGTCATTATTAATATTTAATGGTCCCCTCCTTCCTTGCTTTTTTCCCATTCGTTTACTCTCTTTTTTTTTTTTCTTTTTTCTTCTTCGATTCCAAATTATTCATCATCTTTAACAAATTCTATTTTTTCCTCCGATATTTTTTCAAAAATTACGCCTAAATCCTTGCAGATTAGTGTAATTACTCCGAATATAGAAAGATCAAAGATACACTATTAATTAATTTGTTTCATATTTACTTTTGCTTGGTAACAAAAAAAATTGAGAACAAAAATGAGCAAAATAGCCGCCTTCTTTTTAATAAGAAGAAAAAATGTTTGCAACGAATGAAGAAAAAGTGGTGCAGCTATTTCCTTTTACTGTCACTTCGTAATTCGTATCATTCTTCTGCCGTCAACTTCTACCATCCTTTTTTTTGTAAACGATAAAAACTTTTTGTTGTCGCAGTAAATCTTATTATGTTACTAATCTGACCTAATCCCCATTTGATTATGGATCACCAAAAAATTGGTACTCTACCATTAAAAAATAATAAAAAGAAGAATAAATATAGGAATAAATCGTCTTTTTTGGTGTAAGCTACATATACGCACATATAAAATTCAAACGTTCAAACACATACACATCTAAACCCTTATATTTCATTTTCTTTCTTTTTAAAGAAGAAAGTTTCTATAATTGATTGATAAATCCGAACATCAAAGCTAAGAATTTCTCTTCAAAACCAAATTCAGACGAAAACGATGGCGTTTCACAACAATCACTTTAATCACTTCACCGACCAACAACAACATCAGCCTCCTCCTCCGCCGCCGCAGCAGCAGCAGCAACAACATTTTCATGAATCAGCACCGCCTAATTGGCTCCTCCGCTCCGATAACAATTTCCTCAACCTCCACACCGCCGCTACAAGCTCCGATTCTCCTTCTTCCGCCGCCGCTAACCAGTGGCTCTCACGATCCTCATCCTTCCTCCAACGCGGCAGCACCGCAAACAACAACAACGAAACATCCGGTGACGTCGTCGAAGAAGTCGCCGGCGGAGAGGAGTCAATGATCGGAGAGAAGAAGGAGGCGGAGAGGTGGCAGAATGCGAGACACAAGGCGGAGATACTGTCTCATCCACTCTACGAGCAGCTTTTGTCGGCACACGTGGCGTGCCTGAGGATCGCAACGCCGGTGGATCAGCTTCCGAGGATCGACGCACAGCTTGCTCAGTCGCAAAACGTCGTGGCTAAGTACTCATCCTTAGAAGCCGCTCAAGGACTCCTCGCCGGCGATGACAAGGAGCTTGACCACTTCATGGTAACTTAACTTCTCTTTCCTTCTTACCATTTTCAATTTCCATTATTTTATTTCTTTTTTTTCGGTTTTTGGATAAATAAAATCAATAATAATTTATTTTCGTCTTTTAGTTTATATTTAACACGGTTTGACAAATTTGAATATTATTTTTTTTCAATTTTTAAAAAATTAATTAGAGAGGAAAATGGAAATTTCTTTCATAGATTTGTACTTTGCACCGACACACATGATCAGTAGGTTGGGTAATTCGTCAGTCCAAAAATTTTGAGATTAGTTTTGTACATTAGTAATTTGACAGCAGAAGGTTTATTTTGAGATAGATTTTTGCCGAGTGTAAGTGATTGAGCAATTTCATTGATTGCAGTTACGGATACAGTGATCTGACAAAAACTAGATTGTCATTTTCTATATCTATATCCCATATTTTACTATTCATGGACGTATTTGTTGTTTCTGTTGTCTGAAAGATATTTCCATGTTTTTGTGCAGACGCATTATGTACTATTGCTTTGCTCATTCAAAGAACAATTGCAACAGCATGTTCGTGTTCATGCAATGGAAGCTGTTATGGCTTGTTGGGAGATTGAGCAGTCTCTTCAAAGTTTTACAGGTTAGTTTTTGAGAATTCTTCTCAAATTTTTACATTTGTTTGCCATTTAGATATCATGATGATAACTCTTGTATTGACAAAGACAAGGTTCTTTTATTTTATTTCTCATTTTATTGCTGTTTTTTTAGTACCCGATTATTTCTTAAGGATTTAACACTTGTTTGATGGGTGAGACAGGAGTATCTCCTGGTGAAGGCACAGGAGCAACAATGTCTGAGGATGAAGATGAGCAAGTAGAGAGTGATGCTCCTTTGTTTGATGGAAGCTTAGATGGGTTAGGGTTTGGTCCTCTAGTTCCCACTGAGAGTGAGAGATCTTTGATGGAACGAGTCAGACAAGAACTTAAACATGAACTCAAGCAGGTAACTACTGATATATACTATCTCCGTCATCTAGTCATACACATTGTTTGATCAATTAAGTTAGAATTTCCCATAAGATCAATGATAACACATCCTTCATACCTTATTATATATCGTTGTAGCCCAAAGAAAGATGCTTCTACTAAGTCCAATCAACCAAGAACTTGTCAAAACTTTATTTTTGTTCTTCTAAAAGGCTCAATGAATTTATAAATTTTTTGTCTGAAGCTTGTTTGATGAGTTGTCATCAGTTTACAACATCTACTTACCTGACACTTATATGCATGCATCAAACCCCAAAATGTTTGTGGTACACACTATAGTTAGCTTGATCTAAAGATATAGACCCATGTTTTGTATAAAGGGTTATAAGGAGAAAATTGTGGACATAAGAGAGGAGATACTAAGGAAGAGAAGAGCTGGAAAATTACCAGGAGACACCACCTCTGTTCTCAAAGCATGGTGGCAATCTCATTCTAAGTGGCCTTACCCGACTGTGAGTTCACTCTTTCTACTTCTACAATCACTCATATTTGTCCCACAAATCTTGGACTACATTATTTTCACGACTTCATTTTCGTTTTCTATTTTCTATGTTTTAAAATAATAAGGTAACTTTAATTTGGCAGGAGGAAGATAAGGCGAGGTTGGTGCAGGAGACAGGTTTGCAGCTCAAACAGATAAACAATTGGTTCATCAACCAAAGAAAGAGGAACTGGCATAGCAATCCATCTTCTTCTACCGTCTCAAAGAACAAACGCAGAAGGTACTTCACACCAACAAAACTTTGTAGGAAAAGTTATTTATCCAAGATATATAGGAAAAATTAATATATGATCAGACCATACGATACAATCTTTGAAATATACATGTTAGGTGTGAAAATGTTTAGCTTGTTTAGGTATGGTTAGATTAATGTTAAGTTACATTTTCAAGACACATGGAGCCATTAAATTTGGAGAGTTTTCTTTATGAAGCAATGCAGGTGAAAATAGCGGAAGAGAGCGTAGTTGAGGTCACTTTGAAGCTCGCATGGAGAGATCCAAAAGCTTTATCGAAAATTGGAGACATCATGAAGACAAGACTTCTTACACAACAAACGTAGAACGTAATTTTTGTGTCATTACATGGTATGACTTCCATAGTTCGTAATGATTAGGGAACACACCAAGCCCCAAAGTATGATTTGTAATATGAGGTTTTAGATGGACTACTTTATGATAGGATCGTCAGTCGTCGTCACTGCCATATCCACCATATCAATCCGTTATTATATCTTGTGAATAACATGGAGATTTCTCGTTATAGAATTTGTGCAATCATTGGCCAAATATGCATATACATCTATCTTAGTTATATAGCTTCATGACTATATATATAGTTTATTAATGGTTTCGATTTTTTCTTTTGTTTTGTGAGTGGAACCACTTCGTATGTACATTTGTTAACCTTAGTGATACGACCAACTCTGCACAAAAAAAAAAAAAAAAACTCTGCAAATGTCGCCGGCAAACGAACGAAAGAGAGATTCTCTCCACCGTTGTCAAAATTACTAAAACCTATTATTAAGTTTTTCCATTTGACCCCTCTCCCCTATTTATGGGCCTCATTGTCTCCACCTGGGTTTCTTTATTGTCCATTATGGGCCTCATCGTCTCTAGACTCTCTCTGTAAAACGCCGAAGTTTTCATACACGTAGCCTCTTTCTCTAAGGACTAAGGGTTTTGAATCTGAGTAATAGACATTAGTGCTCTGCTCTGCTCTCTATACTCTATCCATATAAGATTTTTTTTTTTTTTGTTCATCTTAATAATCAAGGTGATGAAGTAACAACAATACTAGCACAAGTCATTAAACATAATTCAGTGTAAAACTGAAGTAAATTCGATTTCTTCTGATAGGTTTGATTCGGCTACCCTAAAACGTAGCTCTTAGTTTAGTTTTAACCATAATAATACCAATTGGATTATAAATGAACTTTGGTTCAATACTTCAATGTCAGATTAAAAATTTGGGTTTTGCTTCAATTATAATTGTTAGTCTAGTGGTGGACTGGTGGTAGGAGTTGAGAGAATATCCTTTTCAGCAGAATAATAAGATTGCATGACGTGGCATTCTGAACGTTGTGGGGTTTTGTGATTGGTCTTGTCTTCTACTTACAAGACAGTCATATGAGAGGAGCGTTTTATAGCAGGCCCAATCATAAAAGACAGCTAGCTCTCTGTGTTATCCGTTATGTAGCAGCAGCGACGAAACAATTGCTTCTTCTTCTTCTCTTTTGTCATCATGGATAATACTTTTCTTTTCAAAATCATTTCACAATTGCTGAAGATATCAAAGATTCGTTATCTGAAAGTGACGCAGAAAAAAGTACAAAATAATAAAGTGTTAGTGGGTAACTGGAGGATAGATAGAGAATAAAACAGAGAGGACGACAATGAAGTTCAACATTCTCTCTAGTAATTATCATGCGCTTCTTTCTGGTACACGTTAGCCAATGTATGAGGAACATTTTCTGATATTTTTATATATAAAAGTATATTAAGATAAACATTGATACAAATATTAGATTCGTCTGGTGTTTCTCTAAAGCTTAGAATATTTATGAGAGAAGAAGCTCTTCCTCAAGCACCAATACGAGGAAATAAATGAAGTTTGACATTACATCTTAATATTATATATTTTAAGATATACTATTTTAATATGCAATGAAGGAATTCATCTAGGTCCGGTAACAATTGCAAGTTGAGGACGTCACGATTTTATTCGTTGTTGGAGACACGATGCAATTTATCTCTCTTGTCACAAAACAAACTGAAAATTAATGGTGAATACAAATATCTAAAATGGAAACAATCAATGACGATGAGTCGATGATTGATATTGAATTGTTGTGACTCGATGGGAGATCAAGTCTAGAGATAGTTGAAAGGGAAAAAAGTAGAAAAGAGTATAATACACTAAAGAAAATGTATAGTAGACAAAACGAGTAAGATTTGAGGCATCAAAAGAGAAAGAGACATGTCGACTGGTGGCAAGTGGTATGTATCACTATGTAACAACACAAACGTCAAACATGTGAGAAAGCGTTTTTGCTTCGCTTTTCTTTTTCAATTTTCCCCACTTCACTTCACTTCACTTCACACTCTTATCCTCAGCATCTCCACTTGTTTTGTGTTTTTATAGTTTAATTTTAAATATTGTGGATAATACGATAATTGGCCTCCACTATCTTATAAACCGGCTTTGTATGATTATGCCCGTGACAGCTTACCAGAATCTATGTGTTTTGATTAATACTATTTCCAGACACTAAAGGTTCTTTTTTTCCTAACCTAATAATTCATAATTACCAGAAACGTAAAGAGTGATTCTTCTAATTATGAAAATTCATATATAATTCATCCAGTATAGCTGAATCAGGTTCCTGTGTTCTAAAAGTATACTCAAAACCACTTTTCTTCTCGACATGATGAGTTTAATACTATATATGACTACACAAGGATTTTTATATGTTTGAAAACAGCCCATAAATATATACACTAAAATGGTGTTTTTACCTCCAAAAAAATATCACTATCTTCCTACAACGTTTCAATGATCACGATCCATAAATCATAAATGTTATAAAAGTGAAAATGTTTCTATAAGCTAGTTTCATATGATGCCGACACAATATATCTTTCTTTCTTGTCCTGTTATAAGTCTTTAATGCTTTAAAACTTTACCAATAGTTTTCACTAGACTGATCACGTTTCAACTCCGTCCTAACAACACTGATTTAGTGATTTTTAATCCTCAGTTCAAGAATCTCCTCGCTCATTATTTACTGCTATAGTTCTTGATAAATCAAGAAACTCTAGGCATCTCTTGTTCCATCTAAATATAATGTGGTAATTAATGAACACTAATATCAAATCCAGATTGAAATGATGGAATCAAATATGCAATATTGATTAACCATCTATTAGATCCACACCCACATTTTAGGGTTTGTCCATAACAATTTCTGTATTATACTTAAAACAATTCTCACTCTTTTGAAGAACAATTCAACAAAGCATAAAGTGAAATCGATTAAATTCGTAAGAAATATAGAAATTGTTTTTTTTTTTTTTTTTGCACACATCAATTTCACAAGTATATCAAATCAATATGGCGAGAGAGCATTTACATATACATGACGTCACATTCGTACGTCATTTCTCCGGCGAACAGTTACATTCCACCGTCACACACAAGAAAACGAAAAGACATTTTTTAAAGAATTTATTAATTAATTAACCGTCAAAACGAGATCAAATCAACAGTCGCTGATCTCGTCTTCGTCACCGGCGACTGAGGCAACCTCGCCGTGAAATTCGGAAAAGAACCATCTTCATCAGCTCTGACATTATCCTCGAAATTGAGCGCGTAACTCAACGGATCGTAACTGAAATCTCCAGGATAACTCTGATGGCTCTGATGTCTCTGATGATGATGAACACAATTATAAGCACAATTGTTGTTACGACACGTAACCTTGATACGTGACTTCACGCGCCGGCACCGATCTCTTAACTCGAGTTCTTGCGCCGTGGATTTGAGCCATTCGTAAGGAGATCTCGGAGTTCTTTGTTCTCCGATCATCATGGCTTCAGGCTCAACCACCGCGTTGGCTCCTAAACAACAGATCGGAGATCTCATTCGGTGATTAGTTCCTCTCGTCGTTGATCTTGCGGTGGAGGGAGAGCTGCATTCGTTGTACATTCTTGATCTTGAATGTTTTTCTTGATGAATTTGTAAAAAAACAGAGGAAAATTATATGGGTTCTTGAATTAGAAAAAAAAAGAAGATAAGTGAGAGAAAGAGAAAGAGTCTGGTGAGAATAAATAGGAAAAAAAAAAAAAAAGATAAGGGAGAGTTACAAAAATCCGTGGTTGATGCGTGGGCTTGGGCCCGATCCGCGTTTTCTGTGAGTTTACTTTGTAATTTTTAAATTCCTCAGGTTGGTAATCATAATAAAAAATTGATACTTGTATAATATAAAGAAAGTTCTCATTACTATGTGCTGCTAGAGAAATTTCCTTATAAAGTTAGTCCCCAGTTAGTTGCTCTTGATTTAGCGACTTTAAAAGAATCAATTCTAATTGAAAAACAAAGGTGGTATTATTATAAGAAAGACTTTTTAGTGTTGTACCAAACCATTTCTTTCTTGGCTTAACATGAAAACAATATACAGTATAGTGTTTCAAATGAAAATATAAAAGCTTCTCTTTTCTGCATCTCTAATTGCTTCCTTTTGCCTCCACCAAATTTCACTCGCTCTGCGTCGTCCACATCCAAAAACAATGTCTCAGAGGCAAAAACTCCAACCATCTCTTTCTTGGCTTTGCTATAGTATAGGTTTAATGTAGTAACTGAGTTTACCATCTCATGTTCTGAATCTGAATCTGAAAGCTCTTCCTACGCATTGAAACCATCACACACACTCAACAAAGCTATAATTATACTGCGTGTATGTATTATTATATCGCCATGATTCCATTAATTACATCTGTGGTAAGTCGAGGAGAGGAGGTATTGTCTGCATTTTGAGATGCACTTAAAAAGAGATCGAAATGTTGTTGATTCCTCGATGATATCCTACATGAAATAACTCTTATGCTCCTTCCTACTCCAATACTTGTTTGCAGCCAAGAGTGATGTGACTATACGAAGATAATGATCAAAATGTGTATTAATGAATAAGACATCAATTGATAATGAAGAAAGACACATAACACACACACCTGTAACTGATTTTGCCCTGTTGGGGATATGAACACTGCACGACCAACATCATCGTGAGATAACTCCAAAAATACAAAAGTTATATTGTAGACATACACATAAACGCAAAGGTATCAACAAGCTATTTCGTCTTAAAAAAGATTAATCAGATATGTACATACTTGTGTTTCTCCCATACTAATTCTTGAGGTGGCATGGCCTAGCGCAAGAATTGAACTTCCTAAATTACACAATAGGCTTCCTGATTCAACCACTCTTTCTTGCCGCAATCTCCGGGCTGATGGACCCGTAACATTTACTTGATCCACAAGCAGCATTGATATATTCTGCACAAGGGAGACCACTTTATCCCAAAATCAAGAAACCTAATGGCATTTGGTAATAACTCGATTCAAAAGAAGAAGAAAACTTAGAAAGCTAACATACTGATAAACATTCAGCAACTTCACCAATCAACAATCGCCTTGTCGTATATACCAACTCCGCCCAATGAGATTCTCTTGCGATCAGATCTTCCCTAGAACGGCTAGGAGCTTGCCAGTTGTTATCATCATTGTTACCTAGAAAATTCACAATACAAAATGTCACAGAACCTCAGGGATTTTATTTCAACTAAGTAGAAACCATTTCTAACCATAGGTAGCAAAGATTATTGATCAAACAAGAAAAACAAAAGATCAATCTTACAGTTCTCTCCACACTTAAGTTTTGTGTTGTAGAATGCAATATCTTAATCTTTATCCTAATCAAATCCGTGAAATCGTCCATGTCACCCATTCCTTTCAAAAGCTTTTGAAAAACCTGAGAACAAAAAAAATATATATATATCCAATAAGAGACGAGAACACTAAACCAAACCAGCCAAAGACTAAAATTTTATCAACTAAATCTCCATAATTTGTTCAGTTGGTGATTGATTATGAAAAGCTTACTCTACGATCATCACCAACAAACAATAAAAAAAAAAACTCGTATCAAGATCTAGAGAATTTTGAATCGAAGACAGAATCATGTATTCTCATTTTCTTTTGTGAAATGAAAAGGTGGATTTAGGCTACAAGAATCTTCGAGGGAAAAAATTGAAATTGTGTGTGGCCCATCCTGACACGTTTTTAAGGGTAGGCAAAAAAAAAGATTTGGGTTCTGGGCCCATACCCAATTATAAAATATATATTATTATTTTTTTGGGCCCATACCCAATCTTTGTTTCTAAACATTTTTTGACTACAAAGGCTTAACTGCTATTTATTTGTTGAGGAGAAGATGATGAGTCTCCATATTTAAAATAACTTTGCTGACTACTTCTTCGTCGTTTTAAACTACGCCCAATAACATGCAACCAAGTCTTTAGTACATATTATAAAATATATATACGATAAAGTAATATATCGTATACTGGCGGGACATGGTCTCCAATTCTCTATTTGAAACTCATTAGTCATTCAAGTTTAATTATTACAGTAGTTTTGTAACAGCAACTTCAATTTAAGAAACAAATTACTGTAATTTCTGAGTGGCTAAACCGTTAAACTGTAAATTGGGACAATTATTAATTATAATGATTCTATTCATATTATATCGTCGCATTTATGAGCCCTATATCGGGAATCTTTTAATTTCAGTTTCCACTTATCTCTTAAATCGTCAATGATTAATGCAATTTATGGAGTGTAGGTGGGTTGGTGTGTGTGTTACAATTACAACCTTTGGCACGACAATATCTCTATTCTCTACGAACAAGTAACAACAGTCTTCTCGTGGGGTTTTAACATTTATTTTTAATTAAAGTTTTCTTTACAATGTGTTAAATGGTACAAAACTGCAAATTGCGCAATTAAAACAGATTAAAAACAACACCAATTTTCTAAAAATTTACACCATTTGTGATGAAAAATGAAAGGAAAATAGCTCTACTCATTTCACTAAATAAACTGAAAGTAAAGAACAAATATTAAAAGAAAGTATTCCTCTTTCAAAGAACTGGAGAAACATAATTATTCACCTATTTCTTTTATTCTATTTAACTCTTTTTCATTAAGATTTATTTCATCGGTTTTTCTACGAGTAACACCATTCTAGTGTAACATGTGTGTTTAAGTCTGAAGTGCATGCATTCGGTGGAAGTCATGTTTTTTGATCATATAGGTACAATATGATGCAAATGTTTTTTTTTTTGTGTGCAAAATAATGCAAATGGTTATCAATAGCAAAATCAATATTCATATGGTTAAAAGTAAAACACACATGTTACGATAGGGTGAATGGTTAAAAGTTAAAACTAAGAAATCACAATCACTTCTTCAAATTGTTTAAGAATTGTTCTTAATTTATTCAAAAAAAGAGAGAGAGAGACAGAGAAGAGTCAATATTGATATGATTGAAACCTTTACCAAAAGAAAAAACATAATTGGTAATAAGGTAATTCTTTTAAATAGTTAAGATTTCTGGATTGTTTAGATAATACTAAGGGTCCGAATGGTAACAGCGTATTTAGTTGTGTGGGAAAAGCGGTTTTATAGTGCGGTACGGTTCAACAGCGGTACGTGCGGGAGAAACATATTTGCGGGACAAGTGCGGTTAGTACAAAATAAGCGGTATGCAATAAAGTTTGATTGGTGAAAAAACTATTTGCGGTACACAGTAAAATGTTTGAATGGTAAAAAAATAACAAGCGGTACGCATTACCGATTATAGATAAATATGTTAGAATAAATATAATGATAAATTAGTGATTGTTTTGTGGTAGTAAAGAAATATTTTCATATATTTATGAATCTTAAATATGCAAACCGATTTAAATTAAAATATTAATTTTTTTGACATAATTACTTCTAAATTATTTAAAAATCCAATCATAAAAAGTATAATATTACTTGAAATTTCATGAGTAAAAAGATGTTGACCAAAAAGAGAGAAGAATTTATATGTGTTTAAGGTAAAAATATTACACATATATAAATGTTTTTAATAATTAAAAAATAGAAAAATAATAATGTATATAACCAATAGCGTATTTCGTTGAACCACATGGTAAAGAAATGTTCTAACTTTAAAAAGCGGTCCAACAGGTTTTACCCTGTTTCGAAAAACGCAAACACTCTCTTTAAAAAATAAAATAAAAACGCAAATTTGTAGAAGAAATGTTGATTGGTGTATTACGTGTGGTTTTCATTTTTTTTTTTTGAAATCCGCGATTACCTTGTCACCATTCACTGCCTAAGATATTCAAATGTCTCTTTTAGTGGATGGTTATTGATTAACCAAATCTACAAACAGATGTCGAAATGGAGAAGAAACAATGGCAAATCGGCATAATATCATAATTATTGAAATCTATACATTATAATATTGGATGCTAGTACAACATCATTGCTACAACCACTTTAATAAAATGAAAATATCCCGGAGTAAAAAATAAGCATCTTATTCTTTGTAATAGGATTCCTAAACTTGAGTCAAATTAAATAATCCTTACTCTTTACCATAGTCCATTGGCATCGAGCTCTATATTCAGTTTTACATTCTGAAAGCACCTTTTCATATAGTGCATGAGATATCGGACATATTTTTTCATTAGAAGAAGACTTTAACACGCTTTATACTCGCCAAAAGAAACCAATTTAACGAATTATGATAAAAAAATATATATATCGAAAATTACTCGTATGATCTTATCGCCACTAGAGTAAAAGAGTTTCCTTGCAAAAAACGATTAGGAACAAAGATTTGCTTTCACCACAAAAAAGTTGAGTTGAGACTTTAACCCCCAAAAAAAAAAGTTGAGTCGAGATGATCCACTAGTGGATATTTGGATTGTAATAAGAAAGAATAATCACATGACCACGACCAGACCATGACCATGACGGTGCTAAATAAATCCAACATACACTCTAAATCCAGTGTCAGACATTGGATCACCAGTTAAAACACTTTTGTCTCTTGAATTGTTATGATGCTAGGAGAAGCGTGGACACGTGTGACCCTAAACCATACGTGTCGTAGTAATGTGGACGTGGTGGTGTGAGTGTTGTAGCCTATTGCTTTATCACACTGTGTGTCCCGACCATACAAAATTAACTGTTTTGTCACTAACTCACCCAACACGACCTCCATGTGCCCCGCATTATTGTGATCTACTGCTATTTTTAATTATATTTATTGCCTAGATTCGTCTAAATCAACTGTTATACAATCGTCGTACCTAGCTAATCATATACTATATAATGTCTAATATAGTTTTTACTTTTTTTTTTTTTGAGTTTTTATCAGGTGATAATACTATTTTAGTGGTATTAACGTTTGATAGGTGATACTAAGAATTACATAATATGGATTCTGTCAAGACCAATTTTTTTATTTTTTTTCAAATGACATGCAACTATATATATAGAATTTGTATAATCGTACGTGAACATAAAATGGAAGAGGAAGACCATTGTAGAATACACGTAAATCCACTGTTGTGCAAAACAAAAGGATATTGAACTTCGAAAACGAGCGGATCAACCTTCAAGTCTCACTTAAACCTTTTACAGATTACAGATTATAGACAAAATTTTATCAATTTAAACAAAATCTAGGTGGTTTCGGACCGTCAAAACGTTTAATATCTGTCGAAACCGTGTTTAAAAGTTTGGTTGGCAAGAACTTTCTGAAATTTATCCATATATCAAATTCTTAATTAAATTGATATTCTACAAAACTATTATTGGCAAAAACTGTCTAAGCATATTTTGTATTTTGCGGTGAAGGACGTATTGGAATAAGACATTACTACTATGGTTGAGTTCATCACCAAATTCCTTTCTGCAGAGAAGCCTGTTATACCTTTATGATATATTATATAAATGTTCTAATACATCCGAATAGTGTTCGAGTCAGTAGTTCCATCAATTTGTAGGGACTCTTTAGGTCTAATATTGTATTAAACACAATTGCATGGATCTCCTCCACCGTAACAACTTTACACCAAATGCTAGATTCGTTGTTATTGTTGTTACCTTGCTTTTAAGCCCATTCAAGAGTTTGGCTAACTCACCAGTAGGTTTGAGGTGAAAAGTTGTTGAAATATGTTAATTTGTTACTTGTGTATACGTGTTGATTAACTCTTGACTAATTATCACAATAATACGAAAAATTTAAAGTGTTACGAATTGACGATTAGTATTTGCCTTCTAAAGAACTAGCTATATCAAGTCCTCTCTCGTTGGCCTTTTTTTATTTGAAAGTGTCTGATATTTCTTCTTCCAGCTTTAAACCATATTGAAAGGAAACAAACCATCAGCAAACATAGCTACTTTATGGTGGTATCAGTTAGATCATAGATGTAGCTTTTTATGTTTACCTTCATGTTATAAGATTTCTATATCGAATTTTTTGGATATTAGCAACTAGTATGGCTGAACCCAAAAAAAGCAACTAATATTGATATTAAGAGACTATATAGACCAAAGGCATGTTTCAGACGAACAAACCAATAGAGTGTTAATTTGATAAATGTGTTAGCTTTTAATATCTACTACAAAATCTAAAATGACTAAAAGTCATAATAAATCTTCAAATTGCTAGTAAATTTATTTTATAAACCCAATTTAATTATTTAAAATATGCTTATAAAACTATTCAAAGTCTACCAAATAAATATGACATAAATCTTCAAATTGCTATTAAAATTTATTTTATAAACCCAATTTTAAAGTCATATTTATTTGGTAGACTTTGAATGGTTTGACATATGTGATTTTAGCTCACTAATCAATTAGTATTGAACTTTCTTACCCTTAATTAAAACTATTTTGTTTTGTTGGCAAAAAAGTTTTACTTTACAATACTATACATAGATTGATTTATTTGAAGTCTTCTTTAAGATAGCCTAAATTTACACAAATGTTGTTAGATGCTAAACTTTTGTATAATCTAATTTCTCTAAATCAATACCGTTAGAGAGCTTCATCATGAAACTCATGGTACTGCGGAATTGGTTAATCGTTCTCGAGTGGGGAATATTTCACTTGACTCGAATTATTCTGGATACCGTTGCTTTGTAGATGGATCGTGGAAAGAAAGTGATAAGTTCTCCGGTACAGGATGGTTTTGTACATCATCAAACGGAGAGCCGCCAACCATGGGAGCTGCAAATCTCCGTCGAAGTTTATCTCCATTACATACCGAGTTCGAGGCCCTTCTCTGGGCGATGAAGTGTATGATTGGTGCAGATAATCAAGAGGTAGAGTTCCTTACAGACTGTTCTGATCTGGTGAAGATGGTGTCTTCTCCAACCGAATGGCCGGCGTTTTCAGTGTACTTGGAGGAATTCCAGAGCGACAAGGAAGAATTCTCATCCTTCTCTTTATCTTTAATTTCTCGCAATGCTAATGTAAAAGCGGATCATCTGGCACGAAAAATTCGTACAGAACCGCTTCATATCACATTTGTAAACAACATTCCTCAGGAATGGCTCTTTTGAGCTCTAATTAATTTCGGATGACAAAAAAAAAAAAAAAAAAAAAAAAAAAAAAAATACCGTTAGAGAGCCATTGGATTGTGACGACAAAACAAACAAAAAATAAAACCATTGGAAATGTAAATCCGGCTCTTGGCAAAACAACGGGCAATGGCAATTTACGTAATTATCTAATGTTTCTCTGGGTACTCTCCTACTTAAGAGCTGACATCTTTCTTAGTCATAACACGTGGCAGCTTTTCTAACTGCCCACAAAAGCATTCCCTCTGATTTGTCATCTCAGCCGTTGGATCAGAACCCGATTCTTTTCGAAACGGCAAAACCGCCTCAGCTTGAAAAATAAATTAAAAATCAATACTAACCATGGTTAAGTTTGACTAACCCGACATAGAAATACCTAAATTTCGAAATTGGTCAAAATCTTTGAACGTATTTACATTTATTGCCATTGAACAATCTTTTGCTATAAATTTGGTTCCTGAGACTCGCTAGGTTTGCCGAACCAACCTCCCTTAGGCACTTTCTTAAGAGCTAATCAAAAAAAAAAAAAAAAAAATCTTCTTCTTCTTCCTCTTCAGACTTTTTTTCTTCTTTCACAAATTTGACTTTCAAAGGAAAAAAAAAAATGGTGACTACATCGTCACGAACTAAGTCAAACGGGCCGGTGCTTCGTTCACAATCACCGTCGGGTCGATTTTGCGGTGGTTACTCAAGAGCCGTTCCGTCGTCTTCTTCATCAGCTTTCGCTTCATCGACGAGTTCTAGCTTTTCGTCTCCGTCATCAGCTTTTTTCAGCAATCACCGTCATCACGAGAACAATCACAGTCATCACCGATCTGCGTCACCGACTCGTGTGAATCTCTACACAGCGCAACCGATGTCTCAATCGTTTCGATATTCTCTCGATAGCAGATCTATATCACCAACAAACAAATCGATCTCCGTATCGAAGAATCAGCCACCGAGCCACCACCACAGTCACAAGATCTCAGAAACGAGAAGGAGATGTATGTGTTCTCCGACGACGCATCCAGGATCTTTCAGATGTAGTCTACACAAGAACGTAGCGAATCCACATGGTCAAGGTACAGCTTCGTATACAACGAATGGATTGAATATGCGTCGATCTGCGATGACTAATTCGCTGGTGAGAATTGGTGGTGTTGAAGGAGAGTGGGTGAGAAGAGCTTTGACGACTTTGATTCGACCTTCTTCGCATCATTTGAAAAGACGAGCTGCTTATCAGCCTCGTCCTAGTCGGCTCTCAATCATGGCCAAAGCTGATGATGAGAATTGATTTTATCTGGATTTTCAGATTTCAGGTTTGTTTTGTTTGTTCTTCTCTCTTAAAAGAAAACCACCACAGGATTAGTAGATCCGACGAACAAGTCTTGTTATGAAGCTATGACTCGAATCTGGCGAGATCTGAGAAGAATCATCGTCGAAATCGAGATTTTGTAAAACGAAGAAACACACACCATCATAATTTTTTGTTGTTGTTGGGTGAAGAAGATGCTAGAATGCATTGTACATACTTCTCTTTTTACTGTTTTTGTTGCTCTCTCTCTCTCCCAAACCAAAAAAAAATGTTCAGAGTCGCACCAAATTACATCTAAAATCGAAAATCAAAGAACTGAATCCAAATTTCTAAATTGTATTTTTGATAGAACACAGCGAGCTTTCTCATTTCTCACATCCAATTGTGTTTGTCAGATTTGCGTTTTTTTGCGTGTTCCGTGAAGTCAACGTTCGTGTTTTCCGTTGACCGGCGTTGTTTGCCGCTATCCGTCGTCGTTTCAACCGTGAAGCGTTGCGTTAGTTTTCCAGGTATGCGTTGTTCGTCGTGTGAGGTATGTTCCGTTCGTTTTAATTAATTTTATACTGTTTCATTTTACTTAATATTTTTGTGGACTTTTTTAATTTGTTTTTTCTTTTGCAGGTTGCGTTTGTTGATGGAGTTTGAACTACTTGACTAACCTTGGACATGAAAATTCGGATGGAATTGAGAGAAAAACGAACAAAATATATAAAATTACAAAAACAAAAGACTGAGGAAAAGGTCATCACTTTCTGGACATTAAAAAAAAAATTGAAAAAGCTGTGGAGGGAAAGCATGACTGAAGACAAAATTTACATAGGAGGGAAATGGAAAAAAAGTGTTTTGGTAAAAGAGAGAGCTGACTGACCCAATTAGAAAATGACTGAACATATGGAATAAATTAGAGGAATAGATGGAAATAATACAAATGAATATATGGAATTGGGGAATCTTTGGATTCATGAACAAGTAAAAATTGGAATGTTTGAAAGAAGAAAAAGGAAGACATGAATGTGGAAAGACACGTCTTCCTGATCTGGAAGATTTCATTATATTCGATCATATTCCTCTGCGGCCAGGATATTACCTATTTTAAAATAATTTATAGTTAACTCAAAAATACTTATTTCGATTTTTAAAAAACTTGTTTTAATTTAAAGAAACTGAAATTCATCAAAAATCTTAAACTAGTTGAAGTTGCGAATGGATGGTGATGAGTGATGACCCACATTGTAATATGTTTGTACGTGGATCAGTTTAGGTTTGTTTGTTTAATTAAAAAGGTTTCTATTGTTAGACTTAATTAGAAGGAGTCGGCTAGTGATTAATAGAATGTGTTGGCGACCACAAAGTTGGACCGGACTTGTGATCTTTTCTGATTGACGTATCCCCTCGGGTTTGATCGGTTCACCTTCGGTCCGCTTCGTTATGTTACTACAATAACCTGATACTAACCGAGTGAACGCTTTACTTTTGCAAAATGTTGTTCGTTCTGTCATGTGTTTATCTATTTAGTGGAAGATGGCTCTTGTGACGAGTCGGTTAAGTGCCAATAAGTTTTTTTATGTCATACGTGGGATCTACTTTATTCAGATTTTGCATGTTTCGTTATGACTCGTATCCACCTCAATTTCTTAAGATGTCTTCAGCAAGTTGAACTTTAATATGGTGGATAAGAAATCATTTGAGAATGGTAGTTGATAAAAAAACTTCATATATTCAATATCAGAGTGACATCATTGGCCGGAGTAATATTTTTGTAAATTTTTATAAGATGGCAAAGCAATAAATTGTACCTAAAGAATAAGATGAATAAATGGTGAAATAGGGGATTGTTCAATTTATAAAGAGATAAAAGTGGAATGAAAGATGGGATACACGTCTTCCTTACCTGGAAGAGTATATTATTGCTAAATTATTGATTTATTAAATCACTTTGATATTTCTTTTATACTTTTCATAAATTTGGTTCAATCCATAGTGACATCATAAGAGGTCGGCTGACTACTTGCCTAATATAATTGTTTGGTTGTGAAATTCCTAAAACTGAAATATATAAAGAGATATACATGGTGATGTCAAAAAAGAAAAGAAAAAGAGATATACATGGAAATAATATATTCGTAATTATTAGAACAATGAATGTGTATCAAAAAAACAAGATTTACGCGTGAAAGCGGATTTAGGTGAGGTGGAAACCAAACTTACTAAGATTTGAAAACAGAATAATATATTAGGAATAAAGTAAGGAATCATCTTCCATAATTAAGGGAGATACTGTTTAAGAGGTGTTTAACTAAAGATTTCATCTCGTTAATTTAGAATCTTTCCATGAGTTTTAAATTTTACATAAGGCTTGTACCATAATTAACTAGATTTGCAGAGAGATACGTAGCAGTAGCAGTAGCATTAAGTAATACACCTATCTTGATGGCTGATTTAATTTAGTTTTTAATTACACCTAAGCGTTACTTCTTCTGACTTCAATCTCATGTTGGCCCTAATCGAAGACGTGCTTATTTTTAAATGGCTTCTCAGGAACACCACCCTTGATGAGAATTTAAAAGTGATATTAAATTGTGTTTAACCGAGAGAATGATGTTATTAAAATAAATTAATTTGGTAGTAACATACATTTGGTGAGGTTGAGGTCAGAAAATGACGAAAGTGAGAGTGTATTTTGCGTGGCGGATTGGAAATTCCTGAAAAAGACTTGAAGATATAGGCTTGCTTGTGTATGAAGCGTGGGAGTTCAACCAACTTGTTATTCTTTTCTTTTTCTCCAGCTTGATATTTTCTTATAAATAATAGTCTTACAAATTTATAATGAATTCTTCCATGATAAAGTATAAACCGAAACTCATACTTCAGATCAGTTTATGAATAAAAACTTGTTGGAATTCATGAGAGTAGAACCTAAAATCACGAATGACTATCAAATGTTTACCATCGTGCTAATGTTTTTCATTATGTATTTGTCAGGTTTTGAACCCTCCACATGATATACTTTGTTGTATATAGTTTATATATGGATATAGTAAAATGATGATTTCTAAAAACAATTAGCCTCTAAAATTTATAAAAAGTTTTAATATAGTGACATTCTCATAGCGGATCAACACTCTAGCTGGTTGGCATTCTCGTGGGGTGACAAGTCGGATCGTTGTTCAATCGATCATATCACACTAGAATGTTCAACACCAATACAGCTCGCTTGTATTCGTATATATAATCTTGTTTATTATTAGTTTGTCAATATCACACTAGTCACTAGGTATTCTCTCAAATCTTCCACACTCTAATCACACGTATTGGTGCACTCTTACTCTTACGACACGTATGCCAGGTTAAAGTTTTTCTCATGTCTAACAAAAGAAGATGATTATGGAATAAGAACCATATGCTATATTAATGCTTATATTATATCAAATATCTTTTCCTCTAAAACCGACTTCTTGTGTTGTCCTTTTTCATTTGGCTTGTAATTATTGAATATAGCATATGGTTCTAAAAGCTTCTCTTTTAAGTTTTTTGATTATTTTATAGAACGGACAACACAAAAGGCTTAACAAGGAAGTTTTCCGAGGATTTGGTCTCCGAGCTATATATTTCAAATTATTTAAAGGTTTCGCTCCAACAAAGATATATTGTGTTAAAGTAAATATATATTTATTTAAAGGCAATTTTGTTTGGTCCACGTTCAAATGTTTTACTCGTACATGTTAGAAATTAAACTGTCGTACAACATAGAAAGGCAAAAACATGTATCTGATAAAATTGAATTTCTCGTTCTGATTAGTAGGAAAATGATCATTGAACTATATTATCATTTAATTTATTTTCTTCTAACTAAAGACTTAGACCTATCTCAACTAAAGTTGTTTCCATAAGATCATAATCGATTTTCATCTTATATATATTCATCTCAAATGCATCATGATTTACTATTGTTCTTTGTTTCCTATATGTTTTTTCCGGGTCAACTAGCTCCCAATATTTTATTTCTGAGGATCCATTTTTCTGGCAACGATCAAGTCTTTGACGATTTCTAAGTTGATAGTACTAATTTGTTTATTGTTATTCCGAAAATAAACTTGAGGGCTGGTCAACAACGGCAGTTCAATGATCGAGGAGAGACTTATATATTCAAAATTTTCTGCTGTTCAACACCTAATTTCAAATGTGACATTTAGTTATAAATAGCAAAATTGAAAGTTAGAGAGGCAGGCACATGATGCTCTTCAGTCTTCAATATGATTAATTGATATCAACCGTTTCAATAATTATGACTATTAAATGCGAGAGACAGGGCTTATGTCTTTGTTCTTTCCTGTATTACTGTTACAAACTCAAACTTTATAATACTACTAACTTTGATGAATTCTAGTTTGTTTAGGGTTTCTATCTCGAGCCCAGTGATGAAAAAAAATCATGTTCGTATTCGTTTGTATTACGGGTGTTATCAATATTTTAAAAAAGAATGTATCCGTTAATTGTTTTTTAATTTTCTTAAACAACGTTAACTATACATCATTATATTTAAACGAATCATTAAAAAATTGATTACCAATTAAGACAGCAGTTGAGATAGAGAGAAACGAGACATGAGTGATGAGTATGACCCACACGGTTTCATTAAGATGAGTAATTAAATCTTTTAACTTTAGGCTTTTAGCTAGAGAAGAGCCAATGTTCAGCACTACATGTGACAATCAGGAACCACAAAGAGATGATATAAAACTTCTTCTTTTTTCCTTTTCTATTATGTTTCGGCAATTTTTAAGGCTATGGCACCATTTCAGTTGGCTTTTTCTTTATTCCTCAAACTCGTTCACATTCTTTTTGTGAGTTTCTGATTCTCTCTTCTGAATAATTCAAATATTTCTAACCACACACTCCTACAAAAACTACAAAAGAAGTTGTTTTCTTTGTCTTTTTATTTGTAGCGTCTAAAGTCACTCTCCATGTTCCTATATAATAATCTACAAGACTACAACCACTCACTAGAAAGATTCTGTCTTTTTTTTCCATTTACTTATGAGAATATTAAGGGCTGTAATGAATTTCCTAGATTCGTTGGGACGCAAATTTATGCATTTCACATTCATAAATCAAGAAAAAATTGGCCAAAAAAGTAAGAGAAGTTCCTAGAGATTCGTTGGGACACAGATTTATGCATTTCACATTCATATACGAAGGAAAAAAAATAAAGTCTAAAAATCATAAGCACAAGAGATTGTGTTTGAAGCATAATGCATAAATTAACTAGCACAAGAGATTTTGTTTGAAGCATAATGCAGAAATTAACTATGTACTACCAATCGACCATGAGTTTCCACACACTCAATCTAATCAATTTCAATGATGCTTTTCCTTTGTTCTTTCTCATCATTCACGACTAGTGAAATATAGGACAAAACATAACAACTTCATTGTTAATGTTCTATATAATAATCACAAAATGCTAATTATTAGTTTTGATAGATGAATACAACAGTATTTTTAATTAGGTTTATGTCTAATTAATGCCTATAAATTTGGTTACAACACATTCTTGCTTTTTTTTTGTCGACAACATAGCTTTTTCTTAAAACATAAAAATGGCAACACGTGATATATCAATTTCGGCCTAATGCATAATGTAACTGATGATGAAGTTGATAAAGATACTTGTTCAACAGTTTGTTTACTATCATATATAACTGACGATACGTTACCTAATGCTAACCAAATAAATTTTCAAAATGAATTGTACCTAGAACAACCATCTTATATATAGCATTGATTAAATAATTCAAAGTCAATGCTCTCTAATATCATCTTCTTCTTTTTTCGTTGTAAGTTCAAATACTCATAATAAAGATAATACAATCGGGACCAGTACTCATAAGTTAACCGAACCACATAAGAAAGAAAAAATTGAATTTCTACTTCATAAATTCAGACTATATTTTTCTGTTTTAGTTTTGACATTTGCAATACGAAGAGAGTAATTACTTACTTTCAAAAATAAAATGGACCCCTACAATATATGGGGCCAGGAACAAATGTTTCATCCTGCTGTACAATAATTGAAATAGAAAAACGGCAACGTTCACTGTCAATTTGAACTTAGTGTGAGATTCGCGCCGGAAATATAGAAGTTGAGAGAAGAAGAAGTGTAATTGAATGCCAAAATTGATGTAAAAAGTCAGAAAATAGTTGAAAACTAATGAGTTATGACAAAATATGTTGCGTACGTCCATGAAATTGTCAAGTGATCCCTACTAAGGCTTTTGATAACGACTATCGATCTTTACGTTTCCAAGTACATTTTAGTAATTAGAGTTATGGAGTTCATAAATCTCACCATTTTACATCTGCCGAAAAATAATTCTATATATACAAAATTACAGCAAAAAATAAATAATAGTAATATACAGTACTTATTTGAACAAAACGAAACATGTATACAGGCAGAAGAAACTAATTGGGCTGGCCCAATACTAAGCTAGCACGATTTTCGACCTAGTAGAGATTTCTGAGACTGACAAGTAAACCAAACCGACTTATTTTGATTTCGTTCGGTTTGTTTTTTTTTCGATCACGGTCATCTTTTGCACTAACCAAAAAAAAGAAAGAAACGATACTAAGATCGAAATAAAACCAGGGTTAGTCTAAATAGATTAAATAATTAAAAGTTCCAGAAGCATGCAGAAGAAGATTGAAGAAGAACATCGAGATACTGAGTGAGATTTAGAGAGGATCAAAAATCAAAAGCAAAAGAAAAAAGAGAGAAGGAGATGAAGAAGAATCATGTTTAAAGCCAAAAATAATCAATAAATTAGATTAGAGAATACTTAAGCTTGAAGCAATCTCGTCTTTACGCTTTATTGTCGATCACTAATTAATCTCGAAGCAGAGCACTCCTCTGTTCCGATGAATGGATCTCATCTAAAAAAACCATCGTGTCTCTCTTCCCTGGTTCGAGCCGTCGAGAAGTGTGAACAAAAATGGGGTTTCTCTTTGGTTTGTTCATAGGAATCGCAGTTTCTTTCGGTTTGGTCGTCGCATTTGCTCGTTATTCTAATGTCAGATCCACTCGTCGAGCTGATTTGGTAAAATCAATTTTCCAAATACTGTATGTTTTCATTTGTGATTATTGATTATATAATTATAAATGAGAAGAAGAATGTTTTTATAATTCTTTTGGTGGTTTTTTAGGCAAGGACCATTGCTGCATTTGCAAGAATGACTGTTCAAGATTCGAGAAAACTTCTCCCTGGAGATTTTTATCCTTCTTGGCTTGTGTTTTCTCAGAGACAAAAGTTGAGTTATATTCTAAGTCTCTTTCACTTCCATCATTTTGTTTTGTCTTTTACTCTTGTTGAGATATTGATACTTGTCCTTGATTAAATTACAGTTAAATTGGCTTAATCTTGAACTTGAAAAGATCTGGCCTTATGTAAATGAGGTAACTTTCATTGCATTGGTTACTTACCTTTTTGAATGTGTTGATATATATTCACTAACTTCGTTTTTTTTGTTGGTTACTCTCTTGTAGGCAGCTTCTGAGCTGATTAAAAGCAGTGTGGAGCCAGTACTTGAACAGTATACACCAGCTATGTTAGCATCTCTTAAGTTCTCTAAATTTACTCTCGGGACTGTGGCTCCTCAGTTCACAGGTTGGTTTTGTTGCTTCATATAAATAGTCTAGTACATTGCTAACAGGACTGGTAGCTTAAACCTTTGATGCAAGTAGGTGCTTACTTGAAAATGTTTATTTTAGCAATCTTGTTTATGCAGCTGTTTAGCTTGAATCATACGGTTTAGAGAAAATAATGTCGTAATCAGATAAAAGTTTGCGAATTGTAGAGTTTTCAAAGTTTAGCAAGCTAGTTGATCAATGAGACATTAAAAATTGTTATGCTTCACTCATTTTCAGGAGTTTCTATCTTAGAAAGTGAAAGTGGACCTAATGGAATTACAATGGAACTTGAAATGCAATGGGACGGTAATCCAAAAATCGTGTTGGATATCAAAACCTTACTTGGCGTGGCTCTACCGATTGAGGTACTCTCTTGTCTACGTCACTAGTAATGCTATTATGACAAAATTTACTATGCATTTTTTCTTGGTTTTGAGCTCTCTTTGTTGATATAGGTGAAAAATATAGGATTCACAGGTGTTTTCAGGTTGATTTTAAAACCTCTTGTTGATGAATTTCCTTGCTTTGGGGCACTTTCTTATTCCCTGCGCGAGAAGGTAACTTAGTAATGATCTTCATTGCTTGTTATAAGATCTCTTACAGTCATGTTTTAGTAATCCTATATTGTTTTTTTTTTTGTGAGCAGAAAGGGCTTGATTTCACACTAAAAGTTATAGGTGGTGAATTAACTTCAATTCCAGGGATTTCAGATGCAATCGAAGTATGCCAAAAAACAAATTTGATCTTTTATTTTTACAGCATAAGTTACCTATTATTGGTAAAAAAATCCAGTAACGTCTTTGACAGGAAACTATTCGTGACGCAATAGAAGACAGTATAACATGGCCTGTTAGGAAAATCATACCTATATTACCAGGAGATTACAGGTTTTTTTTGCTTCTTTGAATGAAAATGTTTTGGTGAAGACCATTTTATAAAAATCTGATGTGTTTTAACAGTGATCTGGAGTTGAAACCTGTTGGAAAATTGGATGTGAAGCTTGTGCAAGCAAAGGACTTAGCTAACAAAGACATGATTGGAAAATCTGATCCTTACGCTGTTGTATTCATTCGCCCATTGCGTGACAAAACCAAAAAGACCAAAACTATTGTAAGAAATTCCCTCTCACCAGATTCCAATATCTCTATCTTGCTGATTTTTGGATTGTGCATAAATCTCTAGCTATTTCTTTTTAATATCATTTAGAGTAACTCGTTGAATCCAATTTGGAATGAACATTTTGAGTTCATTGTGGAAGATGTCTCAACTCAACATTTGACAGTAAGAGTGTTTGACGACGAAGGAGTTGGATCTTCTCAGCTTATCGGGGCTGCTCAAGTACCGTTAAATGAACTCGTGCCCGGGAAAGTTAAAGATATTTGGTCAAAATTAGTTAAGGATTTAGAGATCCAAAGGGATACAAAAAATCGTGGTCAGGTTAGTATTCCTCCTAGTCTTAAAATTGTTTCCAAATTCCAAAAACAATGTAGCAATATATTATTAGATCAAAACAATTTCTTTGCTAAGATATATTTGTGGTGATGATATAGGTGCAGTTGGAGCTCCTATATTGTCCGTTAGGCAAAGAAGGTGGATTGAAGAACCCGTTTAACCCGGACTACTCATTGACCATTTTAGAGAAGGTACTTAAGCCGGAAAGCGAGGATTCGGATGCTACGGATGTGAAAAAACCGATGACTTCGAAGAAAAAAGATGTAATAGTGAGAGGAGTGTTGTCTGTGACAGTGGTGGCTGCTGAAGACTTACCAGCTGTAGATTTCATGGGGAAAGCAGATGCATTTGTGGTAATTACATTGAAGAAATCAGAATCGAAATCCAAGACGAGGGTAGTACCAGATAGCTTGAATCCGGTTTGGAACCAAACGTTTGATTTTGTAGTGGAAGATGCTTTGCATGATCTATTGATGCTAGAAGTATGGGACCATGACAAATTTGGTAAAGATAAGATAGGGAGAGTGATAATGACATTGACACGAGTGATGTTAGAAGGAGAGTTTCAAGAGTGGTTTGAATTAGATGGAGCTAAATCAGGGAAGCTTTGTGTCCATCTCAAATGGACTCCTAGGCTTAAGCTCAGAGACGCTTCTTGATGATTCCTTCTTGGCTTCTTCTTCTCTCGATTACCACATTGCTTTACTTTATTTTTTTTTTTTAATTTTATTTTGTAATTTTGTAAAATGTGTTGATGTTTGTTTCTTTGTCAATTATATGGTTGTCCTTTCTTCCTTGCCACATAAGAAACTAATATACAGTAAGTATTAAATATACACCTTTTGTTTTGTTTATATTCATTTTACTCGACTTTAACTTCTTCTTTTAATTCGTAGTATTGTGAATAAATTTGGTCTTGGGGATGACCTTTCTTTTAGCACCCCTACTTTAAATGATCATATTCAATGACCAACAGATTTCTGTATTTAAAATTTTTAAATGATAAATTTAAAACACTAATACTAACTAATGACGTCAAAAATATTTATGTAAATACTATTTTTGTTAAAGAATATTTACTTAAATACGTGTGTGGCCAAGTGATAGTTTTGGTAGAAAAAATACTTATAAAATGATAAATCAATAATTCAACCAAGTATGACTTTTGAATATTTCTCTTGTTTTTTTTTTGGGTCTCTCTGTCAATTGTTTTTTAAAGAAATTGGATCTATTTTTCAAATATATTCACATATTAAAAGCTTGTAAGTTTATAATAGCTGATTTTGCGCGTGTTACGTGGGCAGTAATATCGTGGCTACTGGCTAGGCATAGTCGTGAGTCGTGACTCGTGAAGGTGAAGTAAACAAATGAATTTTAGTAAAAGTGTGGACAGCTGCTCAATGTATTAATGTATTAAGATTATAATATTCGTTCGTATTAATAATCTTCTTATATGCTTGTTGTCAAATGAAATAAAATCACATTATTTATTCTTTTTTTTTTGGTGATTGATAAAGAAATGATTCTTTATGCTTATTCCTGGTCTAGAGTTTGCCAAATGTAAATCACTCACTGATATCAATTGGTCAGTCACACCCAATATGCATAAACAAATCGTTATGGAATCTTCCAGTTCGCTGACGCTTTTACGTGACTCGTTATTTCGACACATCACTCTTTTTATTTCCAAAACAATTATTTTTCTAATAATAAACAAAGTCAATAATTTGATGAGATGACAAAATCGGATATTCCTTCAACAATTTAAATCAGATACTGAAGCTTATAACAATAATTAATACTTATAATTCAATTATTGGGTTTTAAAAAAGAAAGAAAGTGAAGAGACGTTTTTTCCCAAATTCGCCAAATCACCTCTTTCCCTCTCCTTCTTCTTCGTCTCTCGTTCGTTTTCTAGAAACTGACATCTCTCTTCCTTCTCCAGATTTCGTAACCCAAAGATCACAACACAAACTATCATCAATTTTGTATATCCGATTCCTCCTGATTCACGAGTTTTTGCAGAGAGATTGGTTTCTGGTTTCTCCGGATCGTTGAGTTTGGGAGCGAACAACAATGGTGGGAAACGACTGGGTTAATAGTTACCTGGAGGCGATTCTCGCTGCCGAACCTGGAATCGGCAATTCTAAATCGTCTGGAACCGGCAATTCCAAATCGTCTCTTCTACTGAGAGAGCGTGGCCATTTCAGTCCTACTCGTTATTTCGTCGAAGAGGTTATCACAGGTTTCGATGAGACTGATCTTCACCGTTCCTGGGTTCAGGTATACCTCTTCGCTTTGGATTTGTGTATTGATGTTTCTGTCGATTGATCGTGGTTGATTTCTTCTTGATCCAAAGGCTGCTGCCACGAGGAGTCCGCAAGAGCGGAACACGAGGTTGGAGAATTTGTGTTGGAGGATCTGGAATTTGGCTCGCCAGAAGAAACAGGTTCGTGATTTCGTTTTAGGATCGGGAAATCGAATACTTGAGAGTTTGCTTCTAGCTTGATCGTTATCTTCCTGGATCTTGTTGTGCTGTGAAGATTACTGGATTTTCAATCTGCTTTGAGTTAATCATTGGTGGTTGTGAAATGTTTAAATAGGTTGAAGGGAAAAATGCTAAGCGTGAAGCTAAAAGGCAGCGTGAGCGTGAAAAAGCAAGGAGGGAAGTAACTGCTGAGATGTCAGAAGATTTCTCTGAAGGAGAGAAGGCAGATATGCCTGGTGAAATCCCAACTCCTAGTGATAACAACACCAAAGGAAGAATGTCTCGGATTAGTTCTGTTGATGTCTTTGAGAATTGGTTTGCTCAACACAAAGAGAAAAAGCTTTACATTGTCTTAATAAGGTATAGGTCATTACTTGAGAGTTTGTGTGTTGGTAGTTGGGATACGTTTTGGTGGTAAATAATGGGTAGAAACTGTCTTGCAGTCTTCATGGTTTGATACGTGGTGAAAACATGGAGCTTGGTCGGGATTCTGATACTGGTGGCCAGGTAATCGTCTACCGCAAACAGTTTTTTGTTGTTTTTGAGTTTAAAATTTCTCAATTCACACATGTATAAAACGATTTCTGCACTCAGGTGAAGTATGTTGTGGAACTTGCAAGGGCATTAGGCTCAATGTCAGGAGTCTATCGTGTCGATTTGTTGACCAGACAGGTATCAGCGCCAGATGTGGATTCCAGCTACTCTGAGCCGTCTGAGATGTTACATCCTTTAGACACAGATACAGAGCAGGAGCATGGAGAGAGTAGTGGCGCTTATATAATCCGTATTCCTTTTGGTCCGAAAGATAAATATGTACCAAAAGAGCTCCTCTGGCCTCATATCCCTGAATTTGTTGATAGGGCACTTAGCCATATTATGCAGATTTCAAAGGTTCTTGGTGAGCAAATTGGTGGTGGACAACAAGTGTGGCCAGTTTCTATTCACGGGCACTATGCAGATGCTGGTGATTCCGCTGCTCTTCTATCTGGAGCTCTGAATGTACCAATGGTTTTTACTGGGCATTCTCTTGGTCGTGATAAGCTTGAGCAACTCCTGAAACAAGGGCGGCCAAAAGAAGAAATCAATTCCAACTACAAGATAATGAGACGAATAGAGGCAGAGGAGCTATGTCTTGATGCTTCTGAGATTATCATAACTAGTACAAGGCAAGAGATAGAAGAGCAATGGCGCCTTTATGATGGTTTTGATCCGGTTTTGGAGCGTAAACTCAGAGCAAGAATGAAAAGGGGTGTTAGCTGTCTAGGCAGATTTATGCCTCGCATGGTTGTAAGTATCATCTCTGTAATCTCTGATCATCTATGTTCCTCTTCAGGACTTATAAGTGAGAATGTTGTTTTATCATGACTCATGAGTAGCCTTGTCATGTGATTCTAGGTTATTCCTCCAGGAATGGAATTTCATCACATTGTACCACATGATGTGGATGCAGATGGAGATGATGAAAATCCACAATCTGCTGATCCACCAATTTGGTCTGAGGTAATCATATCTTCAAATCACAGCCTATTTCTTTTTTCTTTAATCAAAGGTTTCACATTTTCTATATTTGTTTTATCGGTACCTTTAAACTTACTACAAACTCTTCACTTGGGCAGATTATGCGCTTCTTCTCTAACCCGCGCAAGCCTATGATTCTCGCTCTTGCTCGGCCAGACCCTAAAAAGAACTTGGTTACTCTAGTCAAAGCCTTTGGAGAATGCCGTCCATTACGGGAGCTTGCGAACCTTGTAAGTCTTGCAGTTATTCTTTTTAGAATCACGATCTCCAACTAATTTATTGGAAGTGTGTTTCACTTTTTTTCATTTCTTCTTTCACTATCTTCTTGCAGACACTGATAATGGGAAATCGAAATGATATTGATGAGTTGTCCAGCACGAATTCCTCTGTGCTGCTCTCAATTCTGAAGCTAATCGACAAGTACGACTTATATGGTCAAGTCGCAATGCCTAAGCATCACCAACAATCTGATGTGCCTGAAATTTATCGTTTAGCAGCCAAAACAAAGGTAATGGTCAAACATGTTTACTATTCTCCTCTATGCAAAAATGAGTCCCAGTACTTTTTTCTTTATCTCTTCCTTTTAAGTGGTTATAGTAAATGAAGTTCTTAAATCATTTGCAGTGCTCATCCAATAATTGTTCCCGTATTAAAATGCATAGGATATTAGCCTGTGTTGTGCAGCTGTTTTTGTGAATTTGTTTAGCTCCTTGCACTTTTATCTGTTTTTTCTCAACCCTTTTTTTCAGGGAGTATTTATAAATCCAGCTTTCATCGAACCATTTGGACTGACTCTAATCGAGGTATATTTATCATTTATTCTCTTTTCAGAGCTCTATTCATTTCAGGGCCCCTTATTAATTGACACGCACTGTATCCAACAGGCAGGAGCGCATGGCCTGCCCACTGTTGCAACAATTAATGGAGGACCTGTTGATATTCATCGGGTTTGTCGCTTGTCATATTTTAAAAGAAAATTTATACTATACAGCACTGCCCAATCATTGCAGAGTAAGCTATAGCTGATATTTGTTACTAACTTGTAGGTTCTTGACAATGGTCTTCTAGTTGACCCTCATGATCAGCAAGCTATAGCTGATGCTCTCCTGAAACTAGTTTCTGACAGACAGCTATGGGGAAGATGCAGACAAAACGGCCTAAATAACATTCACCTGTTTTCATGGCCAGAGCATTGCAAAACATATTTGGCTCGGATAGCTTCGTGCAAGCAAAGACATCCTAAATGGCAGATAGTTGAGTTTGAGAACTCAGACCCCGATTCACCCAGCGACTCTCTTAGAGATATACATGACATCTCCTTGAACCTAAAACTTTCCTTAGATGGCGAAAAGGGTGGAAGTAACAATGGTGTAGATACTAACTTAGATGCTGAAGACAGCGCTGCTGAACGTAAAGCTCAGGTAGAGAAAGCTGTTTCAACCTTGGCACAAAAGAGCAAACCAGCAGAGAAATTTGATTCCAAGATGCCGGCTTTGAAAAGACGGAAACATATATTTGTCATTTCTGTGGACTGCGGCGCAACCTCAGATCTTCTCGCAGTGGTGAAAACAGTTATCGATGCTGCAGGAAGAGGCGGTTCAACAGGATTCATACTCTCAACCTCAATGACTATATCTGAGACTCACACAGCATTGCTTTCAGGAGGGTTGAAACCACAAGACTTTGATGCTGTTATTTGCAGCAGTGGAAGTGAACTCTACTTCACGTCTGCTGGTTCTGAGGATAAGACCGCACTTCCTTATACACTCGATGCAGATTATCATTCCCATATAGAATTCCGCTGGGGTGGAGAGAGCTTGAGGAAGACTTTGATCCGCTGGATTAGTTCTGTTCAAGAGAAGAAAAAGGCGAAACAAGGAGAGATTTTAGTTGAAGACGAGTCTTCTTCTACCAACTATTGCTTATCCTTCAAAGTGAAAGATCCCACTTTGGTAAATACACCCTCCTCAGTCTATTTAGTTTTTGCTCGTCCTGAAACATTGATTTTCGGTTTTTACCTTTTAATATCAATTCTTATTTTATTTAATCTTTGCAGATTCCTCCAATGAAAGAGCTGAGGAAATTGATGAGAATTCAAGCATTACGTTGCAATGTGGTTTACTGCCAAAATGGAGCTAGGCTTAATGTAATCCCTGTTCTTGCCTCACGATCTCAGGCCCTTAGGTAATTTTCCATCATAAACCATTGACGCATCATCAAGTTTTCACTTTCTTGGATTTGAAAACCATGAATTATATAGTTTAGTGTTTGAGCTCTCAGTGATCACAGTGCATTTGTATTCCTCTGTTTTCAGGTATTTGCTAGTGCGATGGAGCATTGACTTATCGAACATGGTGGTGTTCGTGGGAGATTCAGGTGACACGGATTACGAAGGCTTGCTTGGAGGAATTCACAAAACAGTGATACTTAAAGGCTTAGCCAGTGACTTGCACGAGCTACCCGGCAACAGAAGCTACCCAATGGAGGATGTGACTCCACTGAACAGTCCCAATATTACCGAAGCTAAAGAATGTGGTCGTGACGCCATTAAGGCCGCTCTAGAAAAGCTTGGGATCAAGCCTTGAGGCTGTTTTTTTTTTTCTCAATAAAAGAAGTTTTTGTTGGACCAATATGCAATGATTGCTAATTGATAATCATAACGGACAACAAAGTGCAGTATACCAATAAGATTGTCACCGAGTACAAAATTTTTGTTTGACTTTTGCGGTGATGTATTGAAATAATCTTTGTATAATCGAAAATTCTCATGTTTCCTCTATAGTATTGGTGACATGAAATCTTTATGCGCGCAATAATCAATATTAACTATGGAAGAGCAAAGTTCTAAGCAGTGCGCTTAGATGCGGTAAAAGATAACAGTATGTCACAAAGATTCATTTGTAAACTGAATTGATGAAGTTTTTACTGGTTTGAATAGTATATATAACTTTGCCCAAAAAAAAGAATAGTATATATAACTAAAAATATAGAGTAAAACAGAACACTACTCAATAATTGATTGTTAACGTCTTGTCTTTCGGTTTTGCCATCAATTTATTTACCTTTTCAACAAAAAAAAAGATACCAAAACCAGAAACTACAAGTAAATAGCAGTGTCGATGTAAGGCGTTAAAGTAGTAGCCTTTTTGCTTTTTGATTTTGTAAACTTGCTTGGTCTTGTTTCTTTCTAACAAAACTATACCTTAGTTTTGTCTTGAAAATGATATTAAGTGTATGTTTGAACAAAAAAAAATGATATTAAGTGTATAAAATTCATAGGATTATATATGCAATGCACTTTTGGCATAGTTCAAAATTTCCCCATATGTAAGTGAAGTAATTAAATACATAATACGTGTCGACTAGAGACTACTAATCGTATATCCTTCTAATATTTACGCCTATTAACAGAAAAACGTACAAATCTTCTACAATCTCGAGTTTGACGAGGGGATTATCTTTATATTTACTAGGACTCCGGACCCCCGCGACATCGCGGGGGAAAATATTTCAAAAATCGTTAAAAAAATATCAAACGAAAATTAATAATAATGATGGTAGATGATTAAATGTTATAACGATTTATAAAATAAACTTAAAGTTTTAATTTTTCGTGAAATAAACTAAATGTTGCAATGGTTCAACTAAACGGCTGCAATCATTTTATGAAAAATTACGATAAAAAGATGCAACCGTAAAAAATATTTACTCGGATTGCAACTTTCTCAAAAAACACAGCGTAAAATAATTTTTTTAGTTTAAAAAGAAATAAATGAAATGTTGCGATATATCAAAAGTTGTAGCGGTTCGTCAAATAAACTAAAGATTACAACGGTTCGTAAAACAAAACCCAAAATTGCAATGATTGGTCAAATAAACCAAATGTTTCAACGGTTCAATTAAACGATTACAATCTCATTTAAATGCATTTTGGTAATTAAAAATTAAAAATATTAATTTATGAAAATTATACCGAAAGACGCGACGGTAGATAATTAGATGTTATAGCAATTTGTAAAATAAACCAAAGGTTGCAATCGTTCGTGAAATACAAAACAAAATATATAAATCAAAGGTTGCAATCGTTCGTGAAATAAACTAAATATATAAATCAAAGGTTACAATTGTTTGTGATATAAACTAAAGGTTGCAATTGTTCGTGAAATAAACTAAATATTGCAATAATTCGAATAAAATGTTGCAACTGTTTATGAAGAGGTACAATAAAAAGAAGCAACCGCAGAAGATATTCGGATTGCAATTTTCTAAAAAACATACCCGTAAAATATAAATTTTAGTTTAAAAATTAAAAATATATTCATATGTAAACTATGAAATAAACCAATTTTATATGTAGTTTATTGGTTTACGTAAAAAGAAATTCAATAAAACAACATGACCGTACAAAAATAACTGTAAGAAAAACAACCATAAATATTTAAACGAAAGGTTGCAATAAAAAGACACAACCGTTCAGATGTACAAATGGTATTTATTGGAAACGACATAACCGTAAAAAAATAACCGATTAAAACAAAAATTACGATAAAAAAACGCAACCAAAATAACCGTAAAAAAATAACCGATTTAAACGAAAGGTTGCGATAAAAAGACGCAACCGTTCAGATGTGCAAATGGTATTTATTAGATTGCTATTATATATAGATTAACATAAGATAATTGAGTTGAATGTAATCTATGTGCTCCTTTTTTAGATTTATATTCGGATAACCGTAACAAAAATTTAAGCCAATCTAGAATGAAAAAAAAAAAAAAAAAACGAAAAGAAAATTAATTAGAGAACCGACCCAAATCCAACCTAAACCGTACCAAAAACAAATAACACGAGAGTCATGTTTGATTCGTTGACCAAAAAAAAAAATGAATTTTGTTAAACCAAAAAATCTAAAACCGGATTAGACGGTCAAAGAGTAACACATATAAATCGAAGAGTAGGGGAAGTAAATAAAAAAAGAAGAAGAAGAGAGTAAATAATAAACCTCACACTAAAGAGAAATCGATCAAACAAACAAACAACCCTAAAATTCATCAAAATCATCTCTTTTTTCTTCTTGACATATTCTTCATATTCATCTGTAAAAATCAAAACCAAACCCTAATCAAATTACACCTTGAAGAAGAAGGAAAGATCCTATAATCACTAATTCAATGGCGGATCTCACATGTACGACGCCGTTTTTGCTCTATCCATCACTCGTGATCATCCTCTTCTTCTACTCAATAAACCACCATAACCAAATATTCTCCTCCGTCGTCGATGATGATCCTTCTTGTCATCTCTCGTCTTCTCCACAAGCTGTTTTCTCTTCCTTGAGAATATTCCCTTTTCGTTCTTCCTCTTCTTGTCTCAATATCACTTCCAACAACAATGTACATTAATTTCTCTATTTTATGTTTAATTGCTTTATTTTATTTTTGTTGTCTTCTAGGTTTGAGGAATTAGCTTAGTTAGCTACGAGATTTTAATTTATTATTTTGATGAGTTATTTAATTTATGTTTGTTTTACATTGGAAACAGTCGACGTCAGAAGTTGTGGTGGTAGAAGAAGTTGATGAAGCGGTGGAGAGAATTGAAGAAGGTTTGGCGATGGCTAGAGCCGCCATAAGGAAAGCCGGAGAAGAGAATCTCCGTCGTGATCGTGATCGGACGAATAATTCGGATGTGAGATTCGTATCAAGTGGATCTGTCTATCTCAACGCTTTTACTTTTCATCAGTTAAGACCTTTTCTTTCTCCTCACTTTTTTTTTTCTATTTTTGCTTACTCTTTTCTCTCTCTATATTTCTATTTTTTTAATTAAGCACATGTTAATATGCAAATATACAAATTGGTATATAGTGTAACAACATTGTTTAGTTTTATCACTAGGTAATTTCCTTTGTTAGATTTGAGTTAGTTAAGTTTTTTTTTTAGTTAAATTCATGGGTATCACTTAAGCTAAAGAAAAATTAGGCTTGATGAAAAAGTGAAAAAAAAAAAAAACAATTAAGATATGTAGCTAACTAGTAGGTACCCATTAGGATCTGTACTTTTTTCCATGACTCCAATAATAACCCTTAATAGAAATATATGTCAACATCAATATTATATGTAACTTTCTATTTTTAGTAACCTACACGCTACTAGTTTTGCAGTTTCAAGGTCCCTTTTCCCTTCTTTTTTTTTAATATCTTTTTAGCCCCTATTCTTCATGTCTTCATTTCTCTCTCTCTCTCTTTAGAATTCAAAATCTCACTTTTTGGAAAGAGTAGTTTTAGCTTTAAGAGTTCTCCATACTTTCTCTCCATCTCTCAACTTGACCTTTGCAAACACATCACTCACTTTGTTCTTACTTCTATGTTAAAAGGTTTAAAGTCTCACATTATACACTACATCTATATATGTTGACAAACACAAAGATATTTATGCAAATCACAGCATATGTAATGTTTTTTCTTTACACATGTTAATTAAACAGGAGTCACAGAGAGATGGAGAAGAGATTCAAGATATGGACATATAGAGAAGGAGAAGCTCCTCTGTTTCACAAGGGTCCACTCAACAACATTTACGCTATTGAAGGCCAATTCATGGACGAGATCGAGAACGGAAACAGCCGTTTCAAGGCGGCTTCACCGGAGGAAGCCACCGTGTTCTACATCCCTGTAGGGATCGTCAATATCATACGCTTTGTCTATAGGCCTTACACTAGCTATGCACGTGACCGTCTCCAAAACATTGTCAAAGACTACATCTCTCTTATCTCTAACCGTTACCCTTACTGGAATCGCAGTCGTGGTGCTGACCACTTCTTCCTCTCCTGTCACGATTGGGTGAGTCTCAATTTATAACTATTTCTTGTTTAGTAAGTAACCTGTAAAAACCCTAACTCTAACTTTCCTTTTTTCTTCCTTGGTGGTCAAGGCACCTGATGTCTCAGCTGTGGATCCAGAACTATACAGGCATTTTATCAGAGCTCTCTGCAATGCCAATTCCTCCGAGGGATTCACCCCCATGAGAGACGTTTCATTACCTGAAATCAACATTCCACACAGCCAATTAGGGTTTGTACACACGGGAGAACCGCCTCAAAACCGCAAACTCTTAGCATTCTTCGCGGGCGGTTCTCACGGAGAAGTCCGGAAAATACTTTTCGAACAATGGAAAGAAAAAGACAAAGACGTCCTTGTCTACGAGTATCTCCCCAAAACCATGAACTACACCAAAATGATGGATAAGGCAAAGTTTTGTTTGTGTCCTAGCGGTTGGGAAGTGGCGAGTCCGAGAATCGTCGAGTCACTTTACTCCGGTTGTGTTCCGGTTATCATCGCTGATGCTTACGTTCTCCCGTTCAGCGACGTGTTGAACTGGAAGACATTCTCTGTTCATATTCCAATATCGAAGATGCCTGACATAAAGAAGATTCTAGAAGCGATATCAGAAGAAGAGTACTTAGAGATGCAGAGGAGAGTGCTTGAAGTTCGGAAACACTTTGTGATAAACAGACCATCAAAGCCATATGATATGTTGCATATGATCATGCATTCTATTTGGTTACGGAGGCTTAATGTTCGAATCCCTCTTTCACAGTGAACTACATATTGTTATACTCTTTTATATATAATACACATACATAATATAGGATCTTCAGAAATCAGAAACTAAACAATGTCCCGTTCTTGATGTTCGATTAGAACAAGCCTCCGAGTTTCGTTTACAATTTGCAAGCAGGCCTACTTTTTGGGGAGCCCAAAAAATGCCCATTTAGGGTCATCATTTGAAAAGTTGAGAAATTCTAGTTTTCCTTTTTAATTTTAGATCTTAACGAGTAACGACGACTTTAAACGTGGCTTCTGCCTAGGCCTTGTTGCCTTCAAGTTTCGCATGTTTCTGACTCGTTCACGTTTGACACTTTTCTTTTTAATATCTTTTGTTTTTGAGAAAAATAATTACCAAAAACAGAAAATGTTGACAAAGTCAAGAACGCGATCATAGCGTGATTCGAGTCAAAGTCAGAATCGTTGCTAACTCCAAAAAACAATAAATTATCGTTAAAAAATACCCAAAGCCTTTGACATAAACGTCTATAAAAAGAGGGAAAGAGAGGAAGAGAACTTCAGATTTTTCTCTCGAGCTTTCTTGAGACCAAAAAAAAAACACAAATAACAAAAGCTTTTCTCTTTTCCGAACTCAACTACTTTCTCGTTCTGTCTGTGTTTCTTAAGTAAAAGACAGAGATGAGTATATGTTCAGAGATCTCTCTACTTCATGTTCCTCATTGGAACAGTGCATACACTGTTTTCAATGATGATGACGACAAAGACTCTGTTTTACTCTTCCCTGAGCTTCTTTTTTCTCCATTGAGCAAGTCTCTTGTGATCAAAACCTCTGATTCGTGCGACGTGGTCTCTGTAGGAGAATACAAAGTCAAAGCTAGTCTCTCCTCCACTCTTCAAAACATATTCGACAAGTATGGAGACATCACATCAAATTCCAAGCTTCATTCTCTCTCCACACGAATATACCACCTCGAGACTCTAGCCGAGGTTGTTATCGAACTCCAGTCAACGCCTCTACGTAGGCTATCTGAAACACGGGCCATTGAGATTCTAGCGATCGTTAATGACATTGAGACGGCAAAGATCCGAGTAGGTTGGCTCCGGTCCGTTCTTGAGGAGGTTCTTGAGGCCACAAAGTACTTTGACAGACGCGAAATGGTAGTTCTGGAGAAAAAGGCCTGCGAGCACAGTTTGTTGCTTGCGAAGCAAGAAATGGAAGTGAGTTTGAAGAAGCTTGCAGAGAAGGAGAAGGAGATGAATGAGTTTAGGGAGAGAATGATGGAGACAACAGGGAAATTGGGTTCGTTGGAGATGAAGCGGACATGTCTTGATAAGAGACTTGTGTTTCTGAGATCTAAAGTCGAGAAGTTTCAAGATCAATCTGTTTTTAACGACATTTTGTGAAGAATTTTTTGTTTTTATTATTCTTTGATTTTTTGGATAGAGAGAAGAACATATCTTTAATTCTTTTGCGTTTCCAAATGCTGATCCCAAAGTCCATTTTTTATTTTCACGTAAATTGGATCTGGCTTTCATATGCTGATATGTATATCGTTAATTGTTTATGGAATAAAAAACAAATTCTTTTTCATTTTGTGGACTTTTAGTGCTTAATCACATCAAACGATTGAGGTGTTACAATCTAGATTTCGACTTTTCAGGTTACAGTGTTTGAATAAAAATATTCAAATTCAAAGTAAATCCAATCTTATATAAACCAATTTTTTTTTTTTTTTTTCGATCCATATTTGTTAAGATACAAAAAGATGACAACATTCACCATAATAGAATTTGATTCAATTTTCGACTGGGTATGTTAGTCAAAAAACAAAAGTTAGACCTCAGAAGTTAGAAATTCTTCATAGATCCAGCTAAAAAAACGTCATCGTTTAATAACCTTAACGCCGCAGCATAAATTGTAAACAGACAGGGGATGATAATTAACAGTGAAATATCACACTTACAAATAAACGATTAATTCTCTAATTCAAAGCAATATGTAGAAACTGATGATTGAAAGAGCACATAAACACACATTTTACACAAAGCATAGCTCACATTTCAAAATGGAAACAGTCTGATAAATTCCCAAGAAGGGAAATGTGAAGGATAAGAGAATGTATTCTTACTTGAAACATGAAGGAAGACTTGGCCCATGGCAAACAAAGGCCATCGCAATGTATACAACCAAAGCGAGTACAAGTATCAGAGCAATCCTGCAGAAAAACAAGTCTCATGAGCAGAGAGAACCAACAACAAATACGACACGAAGAAATAATAAAATCTATGAAGTGATCAATATCCACAAGAAACCGTGTAATGGAATTGGAGCAAGAAACTGCTGATTTTTGTCTCGTCACTATCAGGCACATATATAGGTTTCTTGGGAAGGATTTTTAGTTGAGAAAACTTACGTAAGCTTGACATTCCTCCACCACATAATGGTTCTGTAACGGCGAGCTTGCTTTCTAAAACGAAAAGTGTTGCCTTGCATATTTTCGGTTTTATCAACCAGCAACTCCAAACGCTCCCCTCTATCCAAGACTTTATCAATATTCTCAATCATCACATTTCGAACCTGAAAACAAAAAGATAGTTTAGTTAGACATGAAGCTACATATTGCATAAAGTGTCGAGTAAATTACTATCGCCGTGTATACTTTAGACCGCAAAAAAGAGATGATTTTGTAACATTACCTGAGTCATTTCACCTTTAATTCTGCTCAACCTGTCTGCATTTGGATCATTGGAATAGTATTCCATCTGTTGACTCACAACTCTTGAAAATTCATCATTCATGGAATAAGCTTGAGCTGAATGAATCGCACGGCCATAAGTTCTCACAAATCTCTGATGAATATCATCCAAAAACGCAAACGGAATATTCCCTGCAGCAACAAAAGAAGATATCAGAAACTAGAAGCAAGTCATATGTGACATAATCCTAACATCACCAAAATGCTTCCCAGAAAATATCATCAACATCTTTCTAGTCCAAATAACAGAGTTCTAGCTTCCAAATCCCCAAAATTGAGATAAGATCTCAGTATAAATCGAAGCAACTCAGAGCCAAATCATGTAAAATTGATGAAATTGGAGAGAGAAGCTGCTTACTTCCGGCGGTTTCATCGGCCATACAGAGAACGGTAAGACCATCGGTTCGTTTCACATGGAAGATGTACCGATCCTGAGAGTAAGACATATGGCTATCGCTATCGTTTCCAGGCAATTTCTCCAAAATCTGCTTCGCGATTGAGCTAGCGTTAGTCGAAGTAGCGCTAAACTCCGATAACACCACCGTTCCACGAGCCACCAACGCAAATATGATCGCCATCTACTCCGGCACCTCTTTCCACCAGCTCACTTCTCGCTGTAAATCGCCGATTTGAGATTCCAGAAAACCTCAGATCTTGAGAACAACGACGACCAAAAATCGATCACTGATTCGATTAGAGTGTAAAATCGGAGAATTGTTCAACGCCGACTTGTAATCAAAGCATCTCACCACCATTCATCTGAAAATTGAATTATTGCAATGATTTTGAGAAACCCTACATAGAATTTGAGAAGCCCGCTTTACAGTGTGAAAAAAAAATTGAATTTTGAAAATATCAGGCGCAACAAAAATATCTGGCCTCAATCTAAAAAACTCTTGGGCTTATATAAATTTGATATCACAAGGCCCATTATTTAGCTTTTTAGGCTATTTGGGCTTATATACAAAACTCTTGGGCTATTCTCTGTATGAATAAAAAAGGAAAAAGAAAATGTAGTATAAATCGCTCATAAATAAAAAAGCTAGTTGGTGTTCAAAAAAAAAAAATAAATAAAAAAATAAAAAAATAAATAAATAAAGAAGCTAGTTGGAACTAAAGTCAAACTAAAGTGTAAAAAGTTGTGAAAGATTTTTGTTTATTTTGATTTTATAAAGCTATAAAGTTAGACAACGAGATTTGGGATATCTCCTCGATGTTGTAACTCTATTGTTATTCTATTTCTCAGCTTCGATTTTTTCTTTAGGTTGTCTCGATAAGCTTTGTGGTGGGTTTCTCGGTACGAGGTTCATTTACCCTTCCAACTATACAATAATAGCCTTTTGTTTTCTCTTTTTCTGATTTTCACCTTAAATCTTAACTACCTCATATTCTCTAAATATAATCAGTGGAGATAATTACATCATTAGATAAGTTTTTGTTCATAATTACATCACTGTAGGCGATTTTGGTTGTATGAAATCGGATGGGGAGATTTTTCTGGATGATAATTAACAAGGATATTATGGATTCATGTTTGTTATGATAAATATGAGATATATTGTAGTTGGAATTCTATTGTCCTAATAAAGGTTGTTTGGACTGATTTGTTTGTTTGATATTTCGTGTAGTGGACTGATTATTTGATTTTTTATTCTTTATTGGAGAATGATTATTTATTCCTAAGTGAAGTCTCTTTGTATGTTCTCTAGTGGAGCATGAAAGACATCGTTGTAATCAAATAAATATTTGTTGTAGTGGAATTCTGGTGAATTATGAATTTATATCACATGGACATGGTCTTACACTCTTACTCGGAGATAATGTTAAGTACTTGTATTGATTACCAAAAACTTTCCTTATCCACTATATATAAGGAGTTTGTAACTTTGTATAGGGCGTGGGTGGATTCACATATCAATGATATCATCTCAAAAGTGCTAAACAGTCCAAAGCAAGAGCAAAACAAGTTAGCTTCACAAAAACTTCAACTTTCAAAAAGTTTCAACTTATAATTATGATCGTTTGTTATTTATTTTGTAAGCTAAGTTATTTTTGAGGACGAGAAGTCTTTTAGGCGGACCTAACATGGGTTAAGGAAATCGTATTAAACACATGCTTCACGAGGCTAGTAGGCTTCTACTTCTTGAACTGTGTATTTGGCGGCCTCGTGCCATGCAAACAGTACACAAAATTTTCATAGAAACAGAGAAGACACCAACAAAATATCTTCTGTGAACCAGCACAACGCCACAAACTTCTAATCAGTTCACATTTCTGACATGAAATTTTGTTTTAGCATATAGCATACAATTTGAAAGTTGAAATTACTCATGATAATGGATATTTCTATCCAACTGCTCAAAAACATGATCTTCACTTATTTATGAAGTCTCCATTGTACTATTTTCTTAAATATTATCAATAATTTTTTTTTTTTTTTTTTTTTTTTTGATAACTCAGGGTAGATCATAGGCCTATGGAGGGGCTCAGACTAATCTCTGGGGAAAGTGCAGTCCATGCATAGACCCTCTCTCCGGGTAATTTTGGTTCTTTTACTCTTATTTTATACTAATGCCGTGTTATTAGAAGAGTCATTCTAGTTCTTTACACAAATATCGAAAACTATATTTAAATTTATTTTATATCCTTTACTAATTTACTAAAATATGATTGAAGAATTAGTTGAGCTAGATTATAGAGTTATATCTTAAACCTGAATTCAAAACTAACCCCGTACCATACAAAATAAATTTGTTATAGTTGGCATGCTCAAATCTGGACGCATAGTGACTCTGCTGATTTATTTTTGTTCGGTGATCTGCTCCCATGTACCTTTTTACTTACGCTTTGAATTCACATAAAAATTAGTACTACTACAACATAAATGTTATAAACGCAATATACAAAAAAACAGTACTCGTACAAACACAAAATAGTGTTAGTGTAGGAGACAAGAAATATAAGCACCTACGAAGAGAGATTTAAGGAAAAAAGAGGTAACTAAAACAAAATCTATCCCTACGCCTACCAATATAAAGTTGTAAAAACTCACATTAGTTCACAAAACTTGTAACCTTTTTCTATTTAATATGGTAATAAAAGAGGCAAGTGTAGCTGTGTATGGAGGAGACAAGACACAAAACATGGAATGTGAACTAGTTTTAGGAGAATGGGTACTTCTTTTTATAGAAAAATGTTTTTTTTATTTATTGTTGTTGTTGCAGAGTATCGAATCTCTTTCCTTTATAGGTCTTTCGTTCGAGACTCTAGTAAGAAAGAGAAGAAGACTCAAAAGAAAGAGCTAAAGGCCAAAGATTCTCTCGAAGATCCATAAGATTTTCTTTTCTTCTTCGGATCTTTCTTCACTCTCTTTAATACTGATGATACATTAACCCTTGTGATTTTGATTTTATTGCGGTTCATAAAAACCTATGTGCCGACCCAATTCGCGCGTGGGATACACACACACACACACACTCTTCTCTGTATTAAATATTAAATGCTGTCTCACCCACTTTCTCTACAACTGGTGGTGAACAGAGGAACAGAGCGAGACAGAGACACACAGAGAGAAAAGATCTGATCTCATTTCATTTCCTCGTTTCCTTCTTCTGCGAGGGAAATTTAATTGTTTTCTACTTTGAAATCTTCCCATTTACTCTTGTCAAGAGAGAGAGTGAGTGAGATTAATATACACAAGTGAAGACGCTCCTTGACTCTCTCAGAATTGAAATTTCAAAACTTTAGAGAGAAAGAGAAGAGAGAGATTTTACCAAAAAAAAGAGAAGAGAGAGAAGCTATGTTTGCGGCGGAGAATGGTCTGAAAGGAGATCCAAGGCTTGAAGCTATATCAGCAGCCATTAGAGTTGTTCCTAATTTCCCCAAGAAAGGTCTTTAAAACTTCTTCTTCCTCTGTTTTTTCAGTTCTTTGCTCTGTTTCTTTTGCAATTCTCTGAAGTTGTTTCTTGGGGGATAGGGATTATGTTTCAGGACATAACAACGTTGTTATTGGATCACAAGGCGTTTAAACATACAATTGACATCTTCGTAGATCGTTACAAAGACATGCAAATCTCTGTCGTTGCTGGTAAAAAATCCTCTGTTTTTTTTTTATTTGTTTTTCTTCCTTATCCTCTCATTTCTTTACTACAGTGTTTCGTCATCAAGTTTGTTAAGTAACGCCAAAAATTCGGTGTATTTCTAAATGGGTTTACATCATATAAGCAAACAAAATACATTATAAAAAAGGAGAAACAAAAGATTGTCTTTTTCTTCATTAAGAAATTTATCTATTTCTTCTTTACATGCAAATGTATGTTATAATAATATAGGAGTTGAAGCAAGAGGTTTCTTGTTCGGTCCCTCCATTGCATTAGCCATCGGCGCAAAGTTTATCCCTTTGCGTAAACCAGGAAAATTACCAGGTTAAATTACTTTTTTTTTTACTGCATTTGGTTATGATAGAGAAGCTCTTGAGATTCTGAAAAATTGGCAAAACTGTGAAATATAGGGAAAGTGATATCAGAGTCTTATGAGCTCGAGTATGGACATGACCGTTTAGAGATGCATGTTGGCGCCGTTGAGCCACGCGAACGCGTCATTATCATCGATGATCTTGTTGCTACGGGCGGCACTCTTTCAGCCGCCATGAGCCTATTGGGTTTCTTTCTTTTTCTTGTTTTTTTTTTTCAATTATTGAAGAGATATTTTTGTCTTGAATTATTATTATGTGACACACTTTGACGTTTTCACAGAAAGCCAAGGAGCTGAAGTTGTTGAGTGTGCTTGTGTTATTGGCTTGCCTGAAGTCAAGGTGAGTCACATTTAACTTACTTGTTTAAGAAGTTATCTCTGGTTTGTTCTTTAGAAATTATATGACTTCTAATTTTGTAGTGATAGAGTTTGTTTTGGTTATAATCTCAACTTATATTTGCTCGTTGAGTTTAAATTTTGAATTGGTTTTAGGGGCAACACAAGCTGAAAGGGAAGCCGCTTTATGTGCTGGTGGAGCCTAGTGGATTAGATGAGTTCTGTTAGGATACATATCGGTTAATTCCGGTTCAGTTTTTTTCCCCTTCAGAGTTCATGTTCCGTTTCCAAATTTCTAGGGTTCCAACTTCTTGTATTCGTTCTCATTTTATGTTCTCTGTAGATTTTGAATTTTGATGTCTGTTTTTTTTTTTGTGAGGATTAGGACAATGGGTTCTTTCCACGGCAGTGGTTGGTAAAAACTGGGATATTCAAAATAGTCTTTACAATTCCGGATTTGGTGAACCGGTTTTTGTTTGGTGGATTTTCTGATGGATCACTAACTTATCTTAATCAATTTATAAAAACTGTAATCATTAAAAGGGTAAGATACGTTCGTAATTTATGCCAGAAATCTAAAAAGTACAACTAGTAGGTTTACTCAATTTAATGCTGATATTACTGAGCACTGATAAAGTTGGTTGGTATTCTACGACAAAACTATTCATTACTGCAATCTTGGTCCAAATAGTAGTATTCCTTCAATATTACTACAAGTTTTTTTTTTTTCCCGCGAACTTTACATACTTCATTGATTTCAAAATCGTTATATAAAGTTTTCGGAATACAAATTATTACATTAGCAAAATATTTGTTATTTATTGAAGACTACATGCAATTAATAAAAGTTTATCGTTAATTGTTATGGAATAAAAAAACCTATAACACATCTTAGGGTTTGGATTTTGTTGTCAATTAGTTTACACAAAATTTTAAAATCTAACTCTGATAAAAAAATTTGTTTTATCCAAAATATTATTTGAAAAAATAGAAAACCTTAAAGTTTTAATAGTATTATAGAGATATAAATTTAAAAACGTTTTCTAATGAAAAAGAATTTCTAATAAAAACACAAATGTTAAAAATTTAATTATTTGTAAACCATGTTGAACTTAGAACAAGGGATTTGGATGTTATATCCTATTAGTTTACACAAAATTAAAAAATTTAACACTTATCAGAAAGAAAAACAATTTATCCAAAATATTATTTGAAAAATAGAAAACCTTAAAGTTTTAATAGTAATATAAAATAGAAATTTGAAAACGTTTTCTAATAAAAAAACAAGTGTTAAAAATTTAATTATGTGTAAACTATATTGAATCTAGAACACCTCTTAGAGGTTTGGATGTTGTATCCAATTAGTTTAGACAAAATTAAAAAATTTAACACTTATAAAAAAAAAGTAAACAAAAAAACAAAACATTTAAAAAAAAACAAATATTAAAAATTTAATTATGTGTAAACCATATTAAACCTAAAACACCTCTTAGGGGTTTGGGTGTTGTATCCATTTAGTTTACAAAAAATTAAAAAATTTAACACTTATAAAAAACAAAAAAAAAAAGCAAAACAGTTAAAAAAACAAGTGTTAAAAATTTAATTATGCATAAACCATATTGAACCTAGAACACCTCTTAGGGGTTTGGATGTTGTATCCAATTAGTTTACACAAAATTAAAAAAATTTAACCCTTATAATAAAAAAAAACAAAAACAAAACATTAAAAAAAAACAAATGTTAAAATTTTTAATTATGTGTAAACCATATTGAACCTAGAACACCTCTTAGGGGTTTGGATGTTGTATCCAATTAATTTACACAAAAATTAAAAATTTAACACTTAAAACATAATTAAAAACAAAAAGAGATTTGAAAAAACGTTTAAAATTATATACTAAACATGATTTGAAAAACCTTTTTAAATCTAAAAGTAAAACTGAAAAACATTTTTTGTGTGAACAAAATCAATTATTAAAACACTAAAATCAAAATATTTCTTAACAGAAAAAGAGAAGAAAAGGAAATTAAGACTAATACCTGGTTCGACAAACAGAGACTAATCCATCATCCTGAGGACAAAGGAGACGCTTTTCATGATCACAGGCTCATAGCCATGGAAACACCGTCCCTCTTTGTCTCTCTCATCGTTGTCCTCTTTCCGTCTTCGTGCTCTCCTTTGCCGTCGGTGAAAGCGTTTCGGTGGCCCGTCGTTGGCCGGATTTGAAATCGTTTGGTTTGAGTGAAGATGAGTCACAACAGAGGATGGAGATCAATTACGAAACGAGATTATTTTCCGCTCCCATCAATCTTACGGAGAAGAGATAATGAAAGATTGTTTTGGTACCGAAGAAGAAGAAGAGAGAAGAGAGAAAGAGTGAATTTTGATTTCTCAAGGAAGAAAAGAGAATGAGTGATGTTGGAGATTCATGTTTTTTATTTATAAGCATTAGGTTCTTCCAAAACAAAAAGGAAATTTTCGATTGTTTCCTTTTTTCGATGAGTTTTGTTATTTCCTTTTTTTTAGTTAACTTTAGATTGTTTCCTTTTTACATAATTGGGCTCCAAAAGGATCAATACCCGATTTCCATCTTTGGACCTGCAACTCCTTCATGCTTATATTCGAGAACATGAAGAAGAAGCAAGTTTTATGGAGCCATTCATCCTCAATCTTGATTCTGACCACTACCATGATCTGCAACTCCATGGCTATGAGGGAAGGAATGTTCTTCTTTCTTGTATCTACAAGAAAGAGCCATATGATAGTGGGATTGCTACCGGGGATGGTCTAGTACAAATGTACAATGCACAGAAAATAAGCAAATAGGAACAAAGCACTGATAAAGTATTTTTATATTTTCTCATATATGTCGACGGCCGATATATTGATCTTTTAACAATAGTAGTAACAGCCTATTGGACTTAGGTTGAACCCCATAAATTTCCCCAAAAAGAGGCTCAGCGACCATTGCAAGTAGTACGTATCCTGATTGATATGAGTAAATGGCCCAATAGAGTATTAATGCAAAACCCAATAGACAGTCATTAGAAAAGTCTAGCAGTTGTGTCAATATTTTATTAAACATACATGGTTGGTGAAGTACAACATTGTATGCTATATTGGTTAATAATATCTCTACACAGAGAAAAATGGACAAAAGCGACTATACCGGAAGCTCTTGTGGCATATGAAGGTGTAACGATTTGGTAATTAAGCATAAAGTTCGTGGCTATGTAATCGCTTTCTCATAGAAAAAATAAAGTAGTGAGGATCTCGAAAGAAAAATGATCTCGAATCTCAAACGGGAATTGCATAGGTTCTACGTAGCCTGAAAACCAGACAACATGGAGCCAAGGTAGTTCTTTCTTCATGTGTGTCGTGTGATTGTGTTCAACGTGGCTCTTACTTATTGACGATCCTTTTCCCCATCAAAATTTAATGTCCAGGGAAATAAAATAATATGCGTTCCTTTACCGACTTTTTTTTTTTTTTTTTTTTTTTTTTGACATCTTTGGATCGACAAGGCCCGATCCATAGCCAATCCCTACTACGCGGGGTAACGCGACTTAGTGGAGTCGAACTCCGGTGGGGAAGGCGGAGTCAAATGGACTTAACCACTTGACTAAAGGCACATCCCCCGCGTTCCTTTACCGACTCAATACTTATTATTAGTATTTTTTTTTATCGAAACTAAATTAAATTTAAAAAAAAAAAAAAAAAACTAAATTAAATTAAAGTCTTACAAAACAAATTAGGACAATCGAGCAACGGCGCATCCGCCTTCGATATGCCAACCCATACTCTTTAATATTTTTTTCAAAAAGTCGACCACTAGTGAAATAATTAGGCCATGGTTATAAAACCTAAAAAAAAAGCTTTGACTACTTTATTTTTTCTTGATATGAAGGGCCTTGGGTGGGTGTATATCTTAATTTAGGTTAGATGAAGATTAGCTACGGTTAAATGGTTCGGACCAGTTACCATTTAATGGGTTGGTACGATAATTAAAGGGCAAAAAGTGGACTGATTTAAGAGTTTGAGTTAGAGCTTGGGATCCACCATCCTTGCTAATCCTGTTGCACCGTATTTTACCAAAATTCATTTAATATATTACGAGGAATGTTAAACTATAAACAATGATTTTGTTTTTCTAAACTAACTGCTAATTCGTACGTATTCAAGAATTTTTCACATAAACCAAAATATTGATTATATGAGATGAGAATTTACTTGTTTCAAATTCATTTCACTTTATTGATCAACGCTATACACTTTGAATTGGATCTCTCTTCTTCTTCTTTTTTTCCATTTAATTGAAAAGATAAACAAAAAGCAAAAGAAACTATCTACTAATTGATCGACAATGGCAAACCTACTTTCCTAATGTTAGCTATGGTGTTAAATTACCACATAAATGAAAATTATTCTATTCATTAGCTTTGTCCATAGGGTGAAGCTCATTGGAAAAGTCTTCTGCCAAAAAAGAAAAGAAAAAAAACGAATGATATTTCTATAGGCCTTTGATTGGTTACTAAGTTAAGGTAAAATACAGTTCAAATAAGTTAATATTAAAAGATGGTTCAAATAGAAATTAATACGAACGAGTTACTTTTTCTTTGAATACTTCGAACACTCACCAAAACTAATCACATATATACTTTGAATGGATTTTTTACTTTATTTATTTACTTTTATTTTGTAGACCTTTAAAGAGGACAATAGGTAAGCAATACTAGAATAGTTAGAAGAAATAAGAGATACTAGTAAGAAGAAGTGGTACATATATATAAAAGATGAAAATACTGTCTTTGGTACTCTAATTGTTACAGTTTATATGATTAATTAGTAACTGTTAAAGCAGTATATTTGTTCATTAGACATACTAAAATCATAAAAGACACATTCATTGGAATTGTGACCATATTGGGGAAAAGAGAAAGAGAAGGGTGTACATACATAAACTTAATACAAGCAACGTAATACATTACTTTGTCTCTAGGTAACAAATTGTGGATTTCTCATTGGGTGGTAACAGAAGAAAGAACGATTCGATAAACTACATGTGCTATATATTGGTAAATACCTTTGAAAATATTACAGAAATAACTATCCATCCCATAGCGCCACCTTACTCATGACTTCGATTATAGTCTGACAATATAGTACTGAAAAACATTATTGCAAATGTTGTGAATACATTTATTTTAGCATAAAGTTTAAAAAGTTATTGGTCTATTATACGTTGAAATATCTACGCCCTTTCACCACCCGACCTACCGACATTTCTTTGGTTTTTGTTTCTTAGATATATAATAGATTTTAAATTCGAAAATGTAAACTGAATTAAACTGGAAGATAAACAATGGTGCACCAAGAATTTGAGCTGAACTTACGACGTGGCCTTAAAGCTAGGTTACGTCTACGGACACCCAAAGTTTGAAGTACAGAATTGGGTTATAAATCTGTTAGGTGAAAAGAAAAACTGATTGCTAATTTGATTAGGTTGACTCAGATTATAAATTTATAACTATACTTAAGATGAGAGTCATGAGACCGTTAATGGATCATTTTTCTTTTTTGAATCCGAATATATACATTTCATAGCTTCGGTTACTAGATGCAATTGAACTCAAACATGAAATTAATTCAAAACGTGCGAAACTCAGAAAACAGATTTTCAGTCTCATGTTAAGTTTTTTTCACATGAACTACCATATTTTAAAACAGTTTTTTTCTTAACAAGTAGTTTATAAATACAAATTGATATTTTGATAAATAAAGGTATGATATATTAAGTAGTTATATAATAAATAAAGCTATGATATACTATATATATAGATAGTTTTAATTTGTTTGTGGGTGTTAAAAAACCTCAGGAAGAGCCCTTATATGGGTCGGGGGAAAAAACAAAAAAAGAGTCCCTATATGGCATGAAAGTTACGTTAGAAACGAAGGTACAAGTCGTGTCTTCACTAGATTCATTCTATTAAAGTAAGGAAGTTGTATTCATAAATAAAGAATAGATATATATTGAAGGCTTGAGAGACAAAGTAGTGGGCTCAAATATCTTATTTACCATCGTGAATCGAATTTATTAGATCATCGAAGAAAGGTCAATTTGCAAACAAAGAGAAACATCAAATAAAAGCTCTATATAAATAGTTAGCTGGAGACGAACCACATTAAGATCAGAGACTAGTCAGTCTCTATCTATCTCTCTTCCGCTTGTCCGAGTTCGTGTATGCTAAGAAGAGAGAAACTGAAAACTCAAAATTTGGAATCAGCAAATATAAAGTTAAAAGGAAAATAAAAAAAATGGTACATTCGAGGAAGTTCCGAGGTGTCCGCCAGCGACAATGGGGTTCTTGGGTCTCTGAGATTCGTCATCCTCTATTGTAAGTATATGCTCTCTATATACAAATATGATCTCCATTGTTTACTTTTTCCTGCTTAGGTTTAAATATTATAGATTGTCGTAGCTAGCTAGTTGCTTTTTTTCATATGAAGCTACAATCTTTAGTATAGTTCATTAAAATTTATTTGTATATTACAAAATGGTAACAAACGTTCTCCTATTGCTATTGCTTAACAATCTACAAAATTATTAAAAGGAATCAAAACCAACCATGCTTATCAAAGTTAAGTTATAGATTAAGTTTCATCTACTTGATTTCTTCGATTATTGTGCTCAAAAACGCTAATTACATGTGTGTGTGAGAAATTAATCAGGAAGAGAAGAGTGTGGCTTGGAACATTCGAAACGGCAGAAGCGGCTGCAAGAGCTTACGACCAAGCGGCTCTTCTAATGAACGGTCAAAACGCTAAGACCAATTTCCCTGTCGTGAAATCAGAGGAAGGCTCCGATCACGTTAAAGACGTTAACTCTCCGTTAATGTCACCAAAGTCGTTATCTGAGCTCTTGAACGCTAAGTTAAGGAAGAGCTGCAAAGACCTAACGCCGTCGCTGACGTGTCTCCGTCTTGATACCGATAGTTCCCACATTGGAGTTTGGCAGAAACGGGCCGGGTCGAAAACAAGTCCGACTTGGGTCATGCGTCTTGAACTCGGGAACGTAGTCAACGAAAGTGCGGTTGACTTGGGGTTGACTACGATGAAGAAACAAAACGTCGAGAAAGAAGAAGAAGAAGAAGCTATTAGTGATGAGGATCAATTAGCTATGGAGATGATCGAGGAATTGCTGAACTGGAGTTGACTTTGAGTTTGACTTGTTGGAAGTATCTAAGAAAAGGAGTAAATGGTTTTCATTATTTTCCGGATTTTAATATTTTTTTAAAAGTTTATAATGTGATGGATTTTATTTATCGATTTTACATGTAAGAAAATTGTCAAAAACACATGTAAAAAAATGTAATATATACAGATTTGTATTTTTTTTTTTGTTTGATGAAAGTATACATGCTTGTTGTATTGATTGATATGAAAGATTGTTGGATTTAAAATATATGTATTTTTTTGTATCGGTTTTATTCCTTTTGTTTGATTTTATTATCGGCTTGTGAAAAATATCCAGTTCGCTTGAAGGAATAACAATTTTCTTCCCACATTTGAAATCAAAATGTCATAACAAAGGGGCTTCATTTTTGGAAATAGATTTCTGGAACTTAATTTTCTTTAGAATGAATCTATAAACTTTTGTAGATTCGACATTCAACTTCTAGAAAGGCGACAAATAAAGTACAAAACAAGTCAAAATCTGACAATTCTTGAACAAATATGTATTTCTAATTTGGTTTTAAAAGCTCATGATTAATTTTATCGAAACTTGATGATAGCCACTTTGAAAGTTGATGATTGTATATCGAAAACCTGATGACAGTCACTTTGAAAATGAATACATCTACTAAAATGAATCAAAATATAATCAACTCAGAGGTCTTACTAACTTGCTCTCTAAATCTTGAGGTCTTAAAACATAATCATCTCTTGTACAAAAAAACAGGACAGATTTTAACAGTGCGATTTGGAGAGTTAACTCAGATCTCTTTCTGTTTAGTACACAGACTGTCTTAACATATAGAAAAACAAATTTGTCCTCGTAAAAGACTAAAACAGCAACAATCGGAGCAAGGATAGTGGAGAATCAGCATGTGACCCCTTCGAACACCAACAAGGTCGTGTATGAAGAGGTGCTCCTGAGAGACGAAGACTACTTTAAGACGGCACTGCATAAAGAAGAAGAAACAACGTTAATGTCTAAACCAGACAGAACCAAGCTTTTGCGCAATTGGTAAAAGGATTCAACTTACTGTAAGTAGATGTATCAATCTGCTCAGGAAGTTCCTTTATATCAACCTCAAACCTCTCTTGTACCTGTCCACATTTAAAATTGCTAGGTTACTAAAATACCCGACTCAATATTAAGTAGAGGATAAATAGACTTATGAAGAAGATCAAACTTCAAACCTGATTAAGAACAGTAGAATCTGAGGCTGATGCAACAAATGTGATTGCTAGACCCTTTGTTCCAAATCTACCAGCTCTACCAACCTAGACCATAAAAGGTTCAAAACAGTAGCGTTACAAGAGCCCTGTCGGTGAGAACAATGATCAATAATAAATTTCAGGATTCTATAAATACTTACCCTGTGAAGATATGTATCTGCAGAATCTGGCATGTCATAGTTGATAACAATGTTGACACGCTCAATGTCGATGCCTCTTCCTACCAAATCAGTCGCCACGAGTATTCTCTTGTGCCCTTCCTTGAAACTCTTGTAGCGAGTCAACCTACATATCATGTCATATTAGGCTTACGAGTTAGTCTCCATGAGGGCTTTCACAAGTAGGGATGGTTCAGAATGAGTTGAATTTAAAGATAATGTGCATACCTCTCTTCTTGAGACATGCCAGAGTGGATACATATTGAGGGGAAATTGCATTCCACCAGCAACTTATTTAGCTCCGCAGCTCTGCTCACGCTCTTCACAAATATGACAACTTGATTGAAGTCCAATGCATCCAGAAGGTCATTCAACTTGCGGTTTTTCTCCATCTCGTTCAGTTTGATGTAGTGCTGTTACAGTTGGACAGAAAAAAAAGCCACTTAAGTATCAAACAACAGCATATATTTCCATTGAATAAGAAGAAGACCTCACAACAGTTAAAGTACCTGGACAAGTCCATGAAGAGTCAACTTGGCTTCATCATCAACATATATTTCCATTGGCTGAAAGGAACAGATATCAGAATAAATGGTATTAGCAAGTCTCCCTCAGGCAATGATTTCCACAACAAAAATGAGGACGGATGAAGAACCCCTGAACTGAGATCCTCGTCCATCAGGTTTCCTCTTCAAAGATGTGAGTTTTGCAATGAAACATCAATATTGCTCCGAACATTAAGGCCAATAAATTTGAGTAGGAAGAAACCCCGAGGTCTCACTACGCCCAACTCAAAACCCACCCAGCACTGTAAGCATTGCAGAAAAATAGAAAAGGAAAAACTCCACGATGATAGAAGATCCCACTGAGCAAAGACTTCACTAAACCACAAGCTAAGTTGGATATTCAGAATCTCCTAATACTCCAAACCCCCAAAAAACTACCTAAGGTATTAATCGAGACACAGCATCCGAAGCTCAATGGCAGTTTTTCCAGGACAGAAGGTGCTCAACTAAACCTACGATCTCCCAGAGAAGGCTAAAAATAATTCAAGATTACAGGACTTGCAAACCGAGGTAGTATTGGCTGTAGGACATTACATCTTGCATAAATTTCTTGCAGACTGGACGTATCTCTTTGCTGAGCGTAGCTGAGAACATCATAACTTGCTTGTCATGAGGAGTCATCTTAAAAATCTCCTGCACATCCCTCCGCATGTCTGATAAAGAAAAGCAACAAGTGTTAGAACATACAATTATTCAAGGATATCTTATACATAGAATGTCAGAATTCAGAAATAAGGCATACCAAGTGACTCGAGCATTTTATCACACTCGTCAAGAATAAAATGCCTCACATTCTTCAAAGAGAGATCTTTGTCCCTGGCGAGTGCAAGCACCCGACCAGGGGTACCAACAACAATGTGGGGACATTCATTCTTCAGCAAGTCTTTGTGAATTTTAATGTTGACTCCACCATAGAACACCGAAACCTTTGTATCAGGGAGATAGGTACTGAATCGCACAAACTCATTGCAGATCTGCAAGTAATTTTCAGCAAAATAAGTATTAGACAACTTGAGGACGGACAACAGAACTACAAGAGCCACGAACCTGAGTGAAACACGAAGGTCATACCTGGTAAGCTAGCTCTCTTGTATGGCACAAGACGAGTGCAGAAACCTGGCCAGGAGATGGCTCGATCTGTTGTAGAGTCGAAAGCACAAACACAGCAGTCTTTCCCATACCAGATTTTGCTTGGCAGATAACATCCATGCCCAAGATAGCTTGAGGGATACATTCATGTTGCACTGGTGGAGAACCAAAGAAAATTGCACCGAAGAAACCCTTTATAAGTAGATGATAACCTCCATATCTTTTAAATTGATGGCTTTAGCACATGTTAAGCTCACTCCAAATCAATAGATCGAAATTAGCGTTTATTACCTGAAAAAGGGAATCAGTGAAATGTTAATGGATATATCAATTATAAGACAAAAAAGTACTCTAGTTACATAATCAGAACAACACATCTTTGTTCAAACTTCGAGAGATAATTTAATTTCAACAGCAAATAACCAACAGTAGACTGACCAAGAAATCATAGAAGAAAAAGAAATACACGCAAAGGAAGAATTGGTGTAGATTTATGGTGCAAGAAAGCTAAGAAACAAAGGAAGAGTGAAATCTACTTGCCTTCAGATGGATGTTCAAATCCTGAGTCAACAATAGCTCTGAGAAGCTCCGGTTTCAAAAGGAAGTCTCTGAATCCAGAACTGTGTATTCCCACGTACCCTCTGTCACAATAAAGAAGAACAACATCAGAATTTAACATAAATAAGAAATTGCTACTCCCAAAGGCAAACGACTAATGAAACCTTCACTGCTAACAAGACATAATCTCAAAACAACCTCAAATCTAAACATCCAGTGTCTTCATGACACAGATCGACAAATAAAAAAACTCACTTTTTCACGGCTTCGCCGTTAACTTTACTTCCAGAATCTGGGACCTTCTCGTCCTCTTCCTCGTAGTCCAAAAGCTCCTCCTCATAGGCTTCGTTGTCTCTAGCATCTCCCATACTTCACAAGTTCTATAGACAGAAGAGAGATTTCAGATTAAGTTCGCAATCCAAAGCAAAACGAAAACCCTAAAATTTGGGGACAAAGCGTATAGTGAATCTCGAACCCTAAGCGTGTAAATCCAATGAATTTGCTGATAGAAAGAGGAATCTGATGAATTGAGAGCGAGAACATACCTGAGAACTGAGCAGAGCTGGTTAGATCGCGAAATCGGATTAAGGTTTCGAAATCTCTGAATTGCAAGAGAAACGAAAATATCTGAGCTTCGTCGTACGAGTTAGTCCAAAGAGATATATGTAGTGAGAGATAGGGTTGAACTCAGGCTAAATTGGGCTTTCTATTAATTAATGGGCCTACGATTTATCGGAATTGCCCACCAATTTAAATTTGTGACTTTAATACTTAGATAAGACAATAATTGGCGCCACAAGGCCGATACAAAAGAACTCTAGGCCCATTAAAGTAAAGCCCATTGTCAACCCTATCCGGTCTCCCTGCATATATATATTTACGAAACCAACGCCGCCTTGGTGTTTAATTTTTTCTTCAATCAGAGATTTCGAAACCCTAGTCGATTTCGAGATCCAACCAACTCTGCTCCATATCTCAGGTAAAGTTCTAGCTCCAAATTCATCGAGCTTACACTGTTACGAGTTCGAGAACTCTATTGCTTCGAAGAACTATCCAAAGTTCCAATTGAAGTTGTATTCTCACTGAATCTTAGGTCTCTGTTTCGGATTTGGAATCTGACCCTAAATTTCTCTGCAGCTTGTAGAATTTGCCAAGTATGGGAGACGCTAGAGACAACGAAGCCTACGAGGAGGAGCTCTTGGACTATGAAGAAGAAGACGAGAAGGTCCCAGATTCTGGAAACAAAGTTAACGGCGAAGCCGTGAAAAAGTGAGTGTTATGTTTTCCTCGATCTGTTTCATGAGATAGTGGATGTTTAAATTTAGGGTTTTCTTAGATTACTACTTGATAACAATCGACTAAGTTCTTCAGTTAGTTGCTTAACTTTATAACAATTGACTAAGTTCTTCAATCCTTAAATCCCTGGAACCCATCCAATATTAGACTGTCATGTGTTTCTCATATTGTATTTTCTCTTTGTGCCAGAGGTTACGTGGGCATACACAGTTCGGGATTCAGAGACTTCCTTTTGAAACCGGAGCTTCTCAGAGCTATTGTTGACTCAGGATTTGAACATCCATCTGAAGGTAATCACTAATTACAATTCATTACTCACACTACCTTTGAGTTTTCTGCCTTGCCTTTCACCATGCTATTGGTTTAAGATATTTTATACTTTAGCTTGGTCTTTTGCGTATCACCTAACTAACTCCAAAAAAGTATTGTGTTGAGGTCAAATTTTTTTTTTTCCTGTTATAATTATTTTTGTTTTCTTTGTCTGTTGACATTTCACTGATTACTTTTTCCAGGTAATAAACGCTATTTCAATCTAAATTTGGAGTGAGCTTAAACATGTGCTAAAGCCACCAATTTAAAAGATATGGAGGTTATCATCTACTTACAAAGGGTACCTTCGGTGCAATTTTCTTTGGTTCTCCACCAGTGCAACATGAATGTATCCCTCAAGCTATCTTGGGCATGGATGTTATCTGCCAAGCAAAGTCTGGTATGGGGAAGACGGCTGTGTTTGTCCTGTCTACTCTTCAACAGATTGAACCATCTCCTGGCCAGGTTTCTGCACTTGTCTTGTGCCATACAAGAGAGCTTGCTTACCAGGTATGAACTTCTTGTTTCATTCAAAATCTTGGCTCTTATAGTTCTGTTGTTCATTCCCAAGTTGTCTTATGCTTATTATATATACCTTCATGCTTGAAATTACTTGCAGATCTGCAATGAGTTTGTGCGATTCAGTACCTATCTCCCTGATACAAAGGTTTCGGTGTTCTATGGTGGAGTCAACATTAAAATTCACAAAGACTTGCTGAAGAATGAATGTCCTCACATTGTTGTTGGTACACCTGGTCGGGTGCTTGCACTTGCCAGGGACAAAGATCTCTCTTTGAAGAATGTGAGGCATTTTATTCTTGATGAGTGTGATAAAATGCTTGAGTCACTTGGTATGTGGATTTCTGACATCCTTATTACATCTATCCCTGAATTATTTTATGTTTTAACACTTGTAACTTTTCTTTACCAGACATGCGAAGGGATGTGCAGGAGATTTTCAAGATGACTCCTCATGACAAACAAGTAATGATGTTCTCAGCAACTCTCAGCAAAGAGATACGCCCAGTCTGCAAGAAATTTATGCAAGATGTAATGTTCCATGGCCAATTCTCTCTCGCTTTGCAAGTCTTCTAGTTTTCAACTATTTTTAGCCTTCTATGGGTGATGATCATAGCATTATTTGAGCATCTGCTGCGGTTCTGCCCTGGAAAAGCTGCAACTGATCTCTGGATGGGTCTCAATCCAATAATTCTTTGGGTAGTTTGTAGGGGTCGAGAACTGTAAGTGTTGAGACTCTGTAGCTTTGGTGTTTTTCAGTGACCGTTGCAGAACAGGATCTTCTCTCATCATTACCTTATTCAGTTACAATTTCTTTGCAATTCTAGCAGTCCTGGGTGGGTTTTGGGTCGGGGTACTGTGTTGTCCCAAGGTTTCATCGTGCTCGTATGGGCCTTAATGTTCAGAGCAATATAGACATAGCAAAACTCACATCTTTGAAGAGAACCTGGTGGACGAGGATCTCAGATCAGGGGTTCTCCATCCATCGTCACTTTTGTAGTGGAAATCATTTCCTGAGGAAAGCTTGCTAATACTATTTACTCTGATATCTGTTCCTTTCAGCCAATGGAAATATATGTTGATGATGAAGCCAAGTTGACTCTTCATGGACTTGTCCAGGTACTTTTAACTGGTGTGAGGTCTTCTTATTATTCAATGGAAATATATGTGTTATTGTTTGATACTTACCTTTTTTTCTGTCCTACTGTAACAGCACTACATCAAACTGAGCGAGATGGAGAAAAACCGCAAGTTGAATGACCTTCTTGATGCCTTGGACTTCAATCAAGTTGTCATATTTGTGAAGAGCGTGAGCAGAGCTGCGGAGCTGAACAAGTTACTGGTGGAATGCAATTTCCCCTCAATATGCATCCACTCTGGCATGTCCCAAGAAGAGAGGTCTGTACATTCTCTTAAAAGTTTAATGTTTCTGAACAACTCTACCTGTTCTTAAAGCTCGCGTGGAGAGTCCAACTCTTAAGCCTAATATGATATGTTATTTAGGTTGACTCGATACAAAAGTTTCAAGGAAGGGCACAAGAGGATCCTTGTGGCGACTGACTTGGTAGGAAGGGGCATTGACATTGAGCGTGTCAACATTGTTATCAACTATGACATGCCAGATTCTGCTGATACATATCTTCACAGGGTAAGGATTCCTATTTGTAGAATCCTGAAATTTAGTATTGATCATTGATCCTACTGAAAGGGCTCTGGTGACTTTACCGTTTTGCTCTGTGTATGGTATAGGTTGGGAGAGCTGGTAGATTTGGAACCAAGGGTCTTGCAATCACATTTGTTGCTTCTGCCTCAGATTCAGAGGTTCTTAATCAGGTATGGTGTTTGATATTCGTAATAAGTCCATGGTAAATTCCCCTTGTTATTGAGTTGGGTATTTAGTAAAGTGGCAATTATAAATGTTGGACAGGTACAAGAGAGGTTTGAGGTCGATATAAAGGAGCTTCCTGAGCAGATTGATACATCCACTTACAGTAAGTGTTAAATCCCTTTACCAAATGTGAAAAAGCTTGGTTTTGTCTTGTTTTGATATTAACTCTTCTTCTTATTCTTTGTTCAGTGCCGTCTTAAACAAGTAGCATCACCTCTCAGGAAAGAACCTCTTCAGATTTCAACCTTGTAGGTGTTCAAAGGGGTCATGGAGGTCCACAACTATCTCTCACTCCGCTTGTTGCTTCTATTTTAGTCTTTCTATGAGAACAAGTTTTCCCAGATATTTAGACCGTTTTGTAACTCTTGAAGAATGAGATTGAGCCACTCTCAAATTCGCCAAGTTAAGAGCTCTCCTGTTTTTTGTACTAGTGATGGTTATGTTTAAAATATTAAGATTTCATGATTTAGTCTTTGGCTTGATCATTGTTTAAATGTTCCTTACTGAATTGATCTATTTTGATGCACGCAAAAGCAAATATCATTGAATGTTGATAAGAATCCTGAACGTGAATACCATCTTTTATGCTGACCAATGAACAAATTTCATGTAATAGTAGGTCAGAGGTAAGTTTCCATCAGTGTATCGTTTTAGATGTAACTTTTCTGTTTGCTATTGTTATTGTAGCTACATTTAAACGCAGTTGAGAAAATGAAACCTTAATATGAGTATGCAATCTAAATAGTGTGAAAGAAATTTAGAGGTTAGGTTTGACTATGCTGACTTTAGCCTTGACAGTTGGGCAACTCTTCTAATGGGTATAGTCTTTGAGGTCAGTTTCTTACGGCGGAGCAAAGCTGTGTCGACTTCCACAATATGATCTCCAAAATTACCTTCTTCCTGAGGTTCATTGGCTTGATCATTTGGTAGATTGGGTGAAGCATTGCGTTGTCTCTCTTGGTATCTTCTTGAAGCCAACATAAGTAAGAGTAGAATGATAGAAACAACAAAGACGATCAGAAATAGAGCTTCAAAGCTGTGATGATCGAGCTGGATTGGAGAATCTGATGTAGTCGAGTCCAGACAATGTTTTTCTCCAAGGAACCACTTGTTCTCTATAGCCTTCATGGTATCTCCCTCTGTTATGTTCAAGATCTGTCTTGAAATATCTGACACCAATGGAGATCCTAGTGGAAATGCCTGCAAAAATCATTGAGATTTAACATCAGTTTTGAATGTTGGCAGTTTAGAAAACCGCTTTTAGTTCATCGTTCACAAGTTTTGGTGCACAATGGCCAAAACATTTGAATGTTAGCTAAAAGCGGCTTTGACTACAAGCGGCTGAGCCAACCTCTTCGGCTGCCTGCCACTATTTAAAGTCTACCTAAAGAAAAGTAAGCAGCTCTACTTACAAAGCCAAAGCCATCAGCCTTAAAGGTAGGCTCGATTATGGAATACTCTGAGCAATACTTAGCCATGAAAAGTTTGATATAAGCGACTTCATCGAACGCAGCATCAATCCCGCCATGGCTGCTCTTTTTAAGAAAAAGTTCACGCATTTCTTCAGGGGAATTATATGTCTTTAACCTCGATTCATCGAAACGCATTTGTTTCAGCCTTTCAAATGTAAACGAGCCAGTTTGATATCCAATGTTCACTCCGCTCTTCCTCAAATCATCCATGTGTCTCACTGTTGGTCGAAGCTCTTGAACCGTCAGCATAGATGTCAATGTTGCTGTGTAGCTCTGAGTCAGAATTAACAACACAAAGCACCAAACCACAACAAGAACCCTTGTGAAAAAGCTCTCTGATGGCCTCCCTATAAATGAAATGACGTTATGTTATCAGTTTTCAAAGATTTTCAAGTAAATTGGTAATGGTTAGTAGCTGAAGTTGTGTGTGACAGAGAAAACTCACTGTGTGCGAAAAAGAGAGTCGAAAACGAGAAGTAGAACACACTAGATATTTTATCAATTATCATCTGTTCCCTGAACTCCTCATCTGCTTGGTACTCAAAAATCCAAACCATAATTCCAATGTAGAGAAAAGAAGCAGCAGTAACCAACCATAGCTCCTTTGTTAAAGGCTTTAAGAAGACCCATTCTCCTTTTTCTTTCCCATCCTTGACAGGTACAACGAATACAATTCCGGTCTCTGAGTATGGCAACGCGAAATCGACATAATGCGACCGATTTGCCAAGATTGTTGTATCACCTACAGCTCCATCAAACTCCTGTCAACATCATTTGAAAAAAAGATATTAACATTTTAGCTCAATATTGGCTCTCCACCCTATTGTAGACGGCTTAACTAACAAAAAAAAAAAACTTTTACAGGTCTCATGATTATGTTATGTATATAAGAAAAAGAAAAAAAGAGGAATTGTTTTCTCAAATGGTTAGGGATCAATGTAACTTACCCCAAGAAACACATGATAAACCATTTCATCGTAACTTCCACGAGGTTTTCCATCAGGAGTATCAAAGGGGATGTACTCATAGGAGACAGCATATGGCATTTGGCTCATTACCGTGTTGAAAACATCTATGCAAAACCCGGTGACCGTTGGAACATTAGCATTTTCATCCTTGGTTACCTCAACAAAATTGTTGAAACCATCCTTCTTTGGAACTGCTATTCGCAGCTTCTTTGCGTTTGTTGGGAATTCCCAACCTTTAGGCACAAAAATAGTGTCCCCTGGCCATATAATTGGTCTAAGGCGACGCGAGCTGTGTGACACTTGATGCACTCTTAGGCTCTCTACTAATCCCACTTTTGATTTCCAAAATCCAACCGTTCTTTCACCGCTATCCTCTATATTGATAATCTTGAAAGTTGTCGCCTCTAGCTTTCCGTTTTTTAGCTGAAAGCTCCCGGAAACGCCTTTGAAACTGACTGTTGATAACGCTTGAAGAAGCTTGGGACCAGAGAGAGCAACGCCAAGATCATCAAGATCAGTCCCAATATCATCTCTTGAAGTGTTTTCTTGGGTCGTGTTGAAACTCATGTTTACGTGCCTAATTTCCTCAACTGACATTGCAAGTGCTGTGGCAGCATCATAAGCCCAACATGCAAAGTTGTTTAGCTCTTCTCCTCCGAATCTTTTTCGCCAACGAGCTTCAAGATACATTAGCTCTTTTGTTCTTGCAAAATATGTCTTGACGCCCAAGACACCATGCATATTCTCCAAGCCTGATTCCCCCATTACATTCATGAGATCAGCTATACCATTTGTGACGATCCATACATATCCTTTGCTCATCATATCGATCTCTTTTGCTATCGAAAAGAGCCTTGATCCGAGATCAGGCAGCATGTGCACGATAAAAACCCTAGTGGGCATGGTCATAAGTTTGTAAAGCTCTTTCTTGATTTGATCATCAGAGGAATGTACTGATATGGAACTTCGGTATCGGATACGAACGTTGATCTCTTGAAAAGCATCAACTAAGTAAGGAAGAATACCTTCTCCGAACTCATTGTCCACATATATAGGCACAACTTCTCTCCATCTAAACGACTCTATGATGGCGCTAATGGCTTGGACTTGAGACGAATCGTCGTGTGTGGCTCTGATGAAATATGGACTACGGAGAGAATCAAGAAGAGGGCTTGTTGCAGAGAATGAAATGATTGGAACTTTAGATTGGTTTCCGAGGTTGATTAAAAATGGAGCTTGCATTGAAGTCCCTGGTCCAATAATGGCCACCACTTCCCTCTTCTTTATCAAGTATAAAGCTACAAAGTTCTCAGTGTTAAATATTTTTGTGGTTTTAAGTTTTAAATTAAAGTTTAGTTAGTATAAGTAGGAAGACAGTGCAAAACTGAAAGTTTGAAATTGCGTTCCATTTCGGTCAACTTTTCCAATTTCCACATTGTTTTGTTGGTGATATTGATTTGAATTAAACAAAAAAATATAAATTGAAGTATCTTATTGGAGTGGACAAATTTTATGGATCTGAGATTTGATCCAGAATCCAGTCCAATTTGCTTTTACTAATAATTTATTATATCATCTATCAAAGAGGATTTGTTATTTTGACTAAAACATTTTAGAGCTATATTATATTTCTAATTTCATATTTAAATTTTATGTTTACTTTCTTGTATTTCACGAAACATAGATACATTTGCTTTATGTTTCGAAGAGATTGCTTTTCTTTTTTGAACAATCTTCACTTCGAAAGACAAAGATATTTATAGTTATAAAAAAAAACCTAGACATGGTTGACTATATTTTATTAAAAGAACAAGTGTTTCCATAACATTAGGATTGTTCATGTGCTAAAAAGTAAGGTTTTCAATGCATACAATTATAAATATCATAGCATCAACAACAAATTGTAATAAAATTATATGTACGCAAGATCGAGTACCTGAAGCGGCAGCACCAACAACAGTTTGTTTGGAGTCTCGGATGTTGAGGACAATCCTTGTCTTGAAGCCATTATGAGTATTATAGAATTCCGACAGAGACATTTCGATAGCTCGCAAGCTTAAATCTGCGAATGTCACATTACTGCCAAGAACAATCCCAACTTTTACTTGTAAAGTTTCCTTTTGAGATTTCCCGAGTGATAATACTAAGAAGACGAGGAAAATTAGAAGCCATAATGGAAGAAAACGAGACACGAGATGATGGAAAAAAGACATAACTATGATGATTTCATAACCACAAGAGGAGAGACGGGTCAAATAATAAATGATATTTTGAAGAAGAGAACCAATTCAGTCTAGTTACGTATTGGAATTTGCAACTAGACTATTAATTTTTTAGTTTTTAATACATACTCCAATACGTACATACCTTAGAGAAGACTTATTTTGGCCATTTTGGAAAATCAACGCGTTACCCAGGCCATAGGAGGAAAAGACGTGGTCTTCCAAAAACATACATTATTATTATCAATGTAAAATTTATTCAAAAAGAAACTTCGTTACAATATATGAAGCTTTGAGCAGATTGTTTTTTGAATTTCAGAAATTTTAAACCAAGAAAGCAGAGCTATAGAGTTTAAAACAGAGCATATATATAGGTCTTGACGCTTAAGTTCTCGAGTGAAACCAAACCCGGAGGGCATCAGCCAACTTTGATGGTTGGAGCTGTTGAAAGGAGGGGATTCTATTACGCACCATACGATCTATATAGTGGCAATCATATTAATTACTAGTTATTGAAGAGTAAAGAGGACATGAAAAGGAGACCGCAGCAAGTTTGGTTTGCTTGGTTTGTTGAGTACTGTATACAATAATCCAGCTCACAAATGTGATAAGGTTCCACATTTAAAAGAAAAGAAGACTTTTTTTTCGCCATGAGAAAAGAAGACTAAATATCACTAATTAGCAAGTCAAATGTTCAACTTAGTCATGGAAAGACTTTTTAATAAGCTTCGGTCAACTAGGTTTTCTTTCACCTATATTTCTACATGTGGTTTGTGACACAAAGTCGGCCGTAAGATTTAATAGGTTCTAAAGAAAAAACGAGGAAAAAAAAACACTCGCCTCTAATCTATATATAGTATTCTTTCACAAAATTATATATTTTTCAAAAATATTTGAGTTTTTTATTCTTTTTTTTTTTTTGAATGTAATGTTAAATTAGATTCAAAAGAAAAATAGCGTTTGTACAACTTGTGCAACTTATGCTAAAAAGGGAATCTGAAAGAAAGTGTTTTGAGTTTTTTATTCGTTCTAGTCAAATTTAAATGTTGGCTTAATTCAAATGCACAAGAGATTATTATCTTTGGAATCCCGGGATTTAGTCTTGACGTGAGAATTTTGCCGCTTGACTTGGTTACTTTTCCTAAGAAATCGATATATTTTCCTACGAAGCTATTATCAATGAAGTTGCTAAGAATCATCATTTATCAGCGTTACTTCATTTTGATGCTTAATATTGAACGCATTTCATGTATATCCAAGGGTTAGAGAAAACAAAAAAAGAATTTAATTATAAGAAGATGAGAACTGTCGATGTGTTCTTGGCTTTTTGTCTATTGATTTTTCCAGAATCAATTTCTGTTGCCTTTGCATGTTCGGAAACATTTTTTTTTCTTTTTGACTTCCACGGAAGAAAAACCAAAAAAAATAACAAGAGTTTTCCGTTTTCTTACAAATAACAAATAAATTTCGTATAAAATATTAGGGTCATTCAAAAAGACTATGATTCAGAGTCTCTATGCGGACTTAATCCTCGAGAATAATGGCACAGCTCTTCGGATGGGTATAGTCTTTGAGGTGATCAAATTTCTACGGTGAACCAAAGTTGGATCGACTTCCACAATAATGTCTACTTCATTTCGATCTCCAACATTAACTTCATCATTCAGAAGCTGATCTTGAGCATCTGGTGCATCGGCTTCATGTAATGCAGGACCAGGTGGCTCATGGACTTGATCATCATTTGGCGGACTAGCTGCTGGAGCTCTCATGTTATCATCTCTTGGTGGATCAGCTGGAGCTCTCATGTTATCATCTCTTGGCGGATTATTAGCGTTGATCTCGCGGGGTTTTGTTTTTCGGTATCTTCTATAAACCAACATGGCTAAAAGTAGAAGCATAGAAACAACAAAGACGATCGTAAATAGAGCTTCAAAGCTGTGGTGATCGAGCCGGATTGGAGAATCCGATGTGGTTGAGTCTAGACAATGTTTATCTCCAAGGAGCCACTTATTCTCTATAGCTTTCATGGTCTCTCCCTCCGTTATATTCAAGATCTGTCTTGAAATATCTGGCACCAAAGGAGATCCCAATGGAAAGGCCTACGAAAAAAAAATGGAGATTCAAAAACACTTTCAAAATCCTAATTAAGAACAAAGCTGTGTCGACTTCCACAATATGATCTCCAACATTACCTTCTTCTTTGACATCTTCTTGAGGTGCATTGGCTTGATCATTTGGTAGATTGGGTGAAGCGTTGCGTTGTCTCTGTTGGTATCTTGTAGGAGCCAACATGAGTCAGAGTAGAATCATAGAAACAACAAAGACGATCAGAAATAGAGCTTCAAAGCCGTGGTGATCGAGCTGGATTGGAGAATCTGATGTAGTCAAGTCCAGACTGTTTTTCTCCAAGAAACCACTTGTTCTCTATAGCCTTCATGGTATCTCCCTCTGTTATGTTCAAGTCTGTCTTGAAATATCTGACACCAATGGAGATCCTAGTGGAGATGCTTGCAAAAACCATTGAGATTTTTAATCACTTCCTCAATTTTGAATGGTGGCAGAGTAGAAAACTGCTTTTAGTTCATCGTTCACAAGTTTTGGTGCACACTGGCCAAAACGTTTGAATTTTAGCTAAAAGCGGTTTTGACTACCCGCCCACCTCTTCTGCTGCCACCATTTAAACTTAAAGTCTAACTAAAAAGTAACCAGCTCTACTTACAAAGCCAAAGCCAAAGCCATCAACCATAAAGGTAGGCTCGATTATGGAATACTCTGAGCAATATTTAGCCATGATGACAAGCTTGACATAAGCAACCTCATCGAACGCAGCATCAATACCGCTATTGCTGCTCTTGTGAAGAAACAGTTCACGCATTTCTTCAGGAGAATCATATGCCTTTAACTTCGATTCATCGAAACGCATTTGTTTCAGCCTTTCTAATGTAAACTCCGCTCTTCCTCAAATCATCCATGTGTCTCACTGTTGGTCCATGCTCTTGAACCGTCAGCATCGATGTCAGTGTTGCTGTGTAGCTCTGAGTCAGAATTAGCAACACAAAGCACCAAACCACAACAAGAACCCTTGTGAAAAAGCTCTCTGATGATGGCCTCCCTATAGATTTTCTTAACAATGGATAATTCTATTTGCATTATAAGCATATACTTGCAATTTTATATTTAATAGGACCATGACAAACGCTTTTCACTCTTGAAAATTTTGATTAAATACGGACCAAAGAAAATAAACAGGGGAGTGCATTACATTAGAGGTCAAAACTCAAACTGAATTCATGCCTGATTATGCCGAATTCATCCTCGAAGGCGGCACAACTTTTAGTAAAGGTAAATTAGTCCTTGATATGATTTTTTTACCGCGACGTCGAATTAAGCCCGGTGGTGACTGTGGATCTTGTAGTTGCACCAGAGCTGGCTTCACTTCCACAATATTATCCTCATTATCATCTGCTACATCTTCACCTCCACCATTACCTTCTTCATTGACTTCCACGATATAATGCTCATTATTATCTGCTTCATCTCGACCTCCAACATTACCTTCTTCATTGACTTCCTCTCCAGCTACATTCACATTATGGTTTTCACTATCTCGTCCATCGGCTTGGCCTTCAGGCCCATCGCTTGGCGGATCAGTTGGAGCTTCGATGATAACGTTGCCTTGTGTTTCTTTGTATCTTCTATGAGCTAACATGAACAAGATTAGAAATAAAGAGACAACAAAGACGATTAGAAATAGAGCTTTAAAGCTATTGTGATCGAGCTGGATTAGAGAATTCGATATGGTAGAGTGTAGACAATCTTTTTCTCTACTGAACCACTTGTTCTGCATAGCTGTCATGGTATCTCCCTCTGTTATGTTCAAGATCTGTCTTGAAATATCAGACACCAACGGTGATCCTAATGGAAAGGCCTGCACAAAAAACGTGGAGAGTTAAAAACTAAATCCATTCCGTCTGGTAGCATTGGCGAAACAGACTAAATTTACTGCGGATTAGACCGCTTTTTTGGTGTACAGGGCATATTAGTATGTCTTCCTCATCTATTTTTGCATGGAAATTAAAAGCTGTTTAATTGCGAGCACACTACTCTGTCATGTCCGCTGCTACCATTTGAAGCCTAAATAAATAAATAAAAACTTAAAAAACGTAAGTAGCTTTACTTACAAAGCCAAAGCCATCAGCCTTATAGGTAGGCTCGATAATGGAATACTCTGAGCAATATTTAGCCATGAAAAGCTTGATATAAGCGACTTCGTCGAAAGCAGCACCAATACCACCTTTGTTGCTCTTGTTTAGAAAAAGTTCATGCATTTCTTGAGGAGAATTGTAAATCTTTAACCTCGATTCATTGAAACCTATTTCTTTCAGCTTTTCGAATGTAAACGAACCCTTTTGATATCCAATGCTCACTCCGCTCTTCTTCAGATCATCCATGTGTCTCACGGTTGGTCGAAGCTCTTGAACCGTCAACATTGATGTCAGTGTTGCTGTGTAGCTCTGAGTCAGTATTAGCAACACAAAGCACCAAACCACAACAAGAGCCCTTGTGAAAAAGCTCTCTGATGGATGCCCTATATATAAGATAACATATTGAAAATGTCGTATTAGCTTTTTTCCTAACATGTAACCGGTATGATTAGACTCTACAGTTGTGTGCAGATGACAAAAAAAACTCACTGTGTGCGAAAAACAAGGTTGAAAATGAGAAGTAGAACACATTAGATATTTGATCAATTATCTTCGTTTCCCTGAAATTTTTATCTGCTTGGTACTCAAAAAGCCAAACTATCATTCCAATGTAGAGAAAAGAAGCAGCAGTGAGCAACCAGAGCTCCTTTGTTAAAGGCTTTAAGAAGACCAATTCTCCTCTCTTTTTCTCATCCTTGACCGGCACCACAAATACAACACCAGTCTCTGAGTATGGCAACGCGAAATCGACATATATTGACCTATTAGCCAAGATTGTAGTATCCCCTACAGCTCCATCAAACTCCTGTTAACATCATTTGAAAATACATTTTAGCACAATATGGGATTTGTAGCCCTATTGATCAAAGCTAGAGATCGAGTCTCATCCTCTGCTTTTTCATATTGGCCACTGTAGTAGACACGTTAACTGGCTAGAAAATCAGATTTTCTACAGGGTGTCATGAATATTAGTCTGGATTTTGGCACATGATTTACCTTTTAGACCAATGAAAAAAAAAAAATAGTTGATTTCGTTAAAGGTTTATGATCAATGTAACTTACCCCAAGAAACACATTATAAACCATTTCGTCGTAACTTCCACGTGATTTTCCATCAGGAGTTTCAAAGGGGATGTACTCATAGGGGACAGCATATGGCATTTGTCTCATTACGGTGTCAAAAACATCTATACAAAACCCGGTGATTGTTAGAGCATTAGTGTTTGCATCCTTTGTTACCTCCACAAAATTTTTGAAACCATCCTTCTTTGGAACTGCTATTCGCAGCTTCTTTGCATTTGTTGGCAATTCCCAGCCTTTAGGCACAGAAATAGTGTCCCCAGGCCATATTATCGGTCTTAGGCGGTGCAAGTTGTGTGATATTTTAATGCCTGTTTGATTCACTCTTAGGCTCTTCACTAATCCTACTTTTGATATCCAAAATCCAACTGTTCTTTCCCCGCTTTCCTCTATATTGATTATCTTGAAAGTCTTGGCCTCTAGCTTTCCGTTTTTTAGCTGAAATCTCCCGGCAACACCTTTGAAACTGACTGTTGTCAATGCTTGAAGAATCTTGGGACCAGAGAGAGCAACACCGAGATCATCAAGGTCCGTGCCTACATCTTCTCTTGAAGTGTTTGTTTTGGTCTTATCGAAACTCATGCTTATGCTACTACTGATTTCCTCAATTGACATTGCAAGTGCTGTGGCAGCATCATAAGCCCAACATTCAAAATTGTTTAGCTCTTCTCCTCCGAATCTTTTTCGCCAACGAGCTTCAAGATACATTAGCTCTTTTGATCTTGAGAAATATGTCTTGACACCCAAGACACCATGCATATCCTCCAAGCTAGATTCCCCCATTAAACTCATGAGATCAGCTATACCATTTGTAACAATCCATACATATCCTTTACTCATCATACCAATCTCTTTCGCCATCGAGAAAAGCCTCGATCCGAGATCAGGCAACATGTGCACGATAAAAACCCTAGTGGGCATGGTCATTAGTTTGTAAAGCTCTTTCTTGATTTGATCATCAGAGGAATGTACTGATATGGCACTTCGGTATCGGATACGAACGTTGATCTCTTGAAAAGCATCAAGTAAGTAAGGAAGAATACCTTCTCCGAACTCATTGTCTACATAAATAGGCACAACTTCTCTCCATCTAAATGACTCTATGATGGCGCTAATGGCGTGGACTTGAGATGAGTCATCGTGTGTGGCTCTGATGAAATATGGACTACGGAGGGAATCAAGAAGAGGGCTTGTCGCAGAGAATGAAATTATGGGAACTTGAGATTGATTTCCGAGGTTGATTAAAAACGGAGCTTGCATTGAATTCCCTGGTCCTATAATGGCCACCACTTCCCTCTTCTTTATCAAGTATAAAGCTGCAGAGAGCTAAAAATTAATATTTCCTATATATTATTTGACAAGTGTTTCTCAAAATGTGCTTATATTAACTCAAACAACATTTAACTTTTTTAAAACATTACAGAAATATCATTACTATAATTTACTTATTTAATATAAAATATATTATAGTGTAATTCTCATAATTCAAATCAACGAACTCCCAAAAAGTAATGTGGATTTGAGATTTGATCCGGGATCCAATTCAAATTGCCATCAATACGTGATATACAAATCCATCTTGATCTTCAAACACTATTATTTGTTTACTATAATATTTTAGAGTTCTATTTTATTCTTATGTATAATATTTTAGTTTTACATTTACTTCCTTGAATTTTATGAAAAATATTTATAGATTTTCTTTATGTTTCGAAATATTGCTTATTTGTGGAACGATCTTCACTTTCGAATCTATAGGACTCATTTGCCTAAGACACAGTCACTTCCTAAGACAAGGATCTTTAGATCTATCAAAATTCAAAAGACGAAGTTGACAATTACAGAAAGAACTAGTCCTTCCAACCTGCTGCGACCGGCCCGCTAGTTTTTGTCAAAATAATTTAGGAATATAAATTATAAATATAATATATAAAACAAACCAAAAAGAATATCATCAGCAATGAATTGTAATAATATATAATGTAAATTATATACTTACTCATATAATATAAGAGAATGATTAGTTTTTATGTTTTGTAAGATAGTTCAATCCATACACGATCGATGAATGTTCACAACGATAAGTACCTGAAGCTGCAGCACCAACAACAGTTCGTTTGGAATCTCGGATGCTGAGAACAATCCGAGTCTTGAAGCGATTATGACTATTATAGAATTCCGACAGAGACATGTTGATAGCTCGTATGCTCAAATCTGCTAATGTCACATTAGTGTCAAGAACAATTCCCACTTTAACTTGTAAAACTTCCTTTTGAGATTTCCCGAGTAATACTAAGAAGATGAGAAAAAATAAAAGCCATAAAGGAAGAGAACGAGATACAAGATGATGGAATAAAGACATAACTAAGATTGCATAATTACAAGAGGAGAGACGAGACAAATAAATAGATAGTTTTGAAGAGACTGATTCCGCTTATTAATTAATTAACTGTTAGAATTTGCAAGTAGACTACTAGTTTAATACATACTTTATACTTAGAGATAATTGTTAATACAAAGATGATGTAGAGACTAGAGAGGACTTGTTTTGGGTCATTTTGGATAATTAACGCGTTACTCAAACCAGGCAAAGACGTGGTCTTCCAAAAACATACAATATTATTATTATTATTAAGGTGATACAAACATAGAATGGATAATCATTTGTGATTTGTTAGTTGATAAAGCGTAAAGAGTACATAAAAGCTGCAATAATTAAGATTGGTTTGACTTGGTTTGTTGAGTGAATGTACTAAAATATTGATAAGATTCCACTTTGAAAGGAAAAAGACTAAATATCACTAAAATACTGATCAACCAGTCGTAAATCTCCTGCAAACGCACCAGTTAAACCAGTCGATCAAAACGCTAAATAACGCTTGAAACCGCAACCGCCTATTTCCGCAAACTCTTATAACCGCAACCGCATGCTTCTGCAAACTCGCACAACCGCAACCGCTGCATTTAAACCAGTCAAACCCTGAGCGACTAGCTGACTGACGGAAAAAAAAAACACATAACCCCACTAACAAATCATATTGGAAAAGGTTATCACTAAAACGTCTAAAATATCTCACAGGCCTTTGGACCTAGAAGGTAAAGCCCATACTGCCTTTATATTATTAAGTAGGCCTCTTTATTTCGAAATGTTTGTTTGTTATGTTGGCTGAAGTAAAAGACCTTACTCTTTTAATTTTTAAACATCAAATATTTTACATAAAAAAATAAAAAATCTTTTGTTAATATGTAGAATAGTCTTTCTAGTTTTCTTAAGATATTACTGTGACAAATTCTTTTAGACAACGCATTCAAAAAAATTTATTAGGAAAATATGTACTGACTTAAGAACTTTTAAATTGTTGAAAATTTAGTTACTTTTTTACCAATTTGAATAACATAAATGGTAATTACTTATATTTAAAGCAAAAGATAAATCAAATACTATCATTTACTACCATATTTTTTTTTCCAAATATGGTTAACAAAAAGTTTCAAATATTATCCAAAGATATATCTACAAATTTCTGCAACCAATAACAAAAGTAGAAAATAAATGAAAAGATTAATTAAATATCCTCCAATTAGATAAAAAGAAAAGAGAATAGGATAAAAAGAAATGACCCCATAAAATATCTTTAAAATAGTAAACAATAAATATAATTTCTAATATGTCTAAATGTAAAGACATTACATACAGTCCATAGAGACGTGACAATTTCTCATTGACCACCATAATTAAGAAAAAACTTTGGTATCTAATTATAGTTAGACTCATTTAATAAAAATGATTTGTTAAAAACGTTAGACCAATAAACTAATTTTTCTTTTACTTTTTTTATAGTCATTAGAATTCAATGTCAATAGTCAACTAAACTCCAAGAGAATTTTGTCAGTAGGTATAAAATTTACTTGTAACAGAACAAACTTAGAAAAAAGTTCATTTCTTAACTTTTTCTTTTGTAACTGTTACTTTGAAACTACCAATAACATTTAGTTTGTGGCTGGATACGAAAATTAACTCTTTACATTCATTATCCTAAATAACCTTCTAAATCATGTGACCCTCATATGTGTATAAAACAAACCAATTAGAGAGTGACAATGGTATATCCAAGCAATCTACATATCCATTTTTCACATTTTCCATACTTTTCGCAACCGAGTTTTTCTTTCCAATAGTCTCTTCACATCCGAGATCGATCATGTCACCACCCTCCATAGAACAACTACACACTTTCCATGCTCAAGACAGAAAAATATTCTCAAAACTTGTCTTAAAATTTTCAAGATCTCCAGCCGAATCACTTCTTATCATGGCGACATGGTTTTGGCTTGAAGATTTTTTTTCTCAAAACATCTTATCAACCATATTGGCTTTAAGCGATCCAGTCATTGTGGCTTTGGCTAACGAGGCTGTCTTGTGCTTCCAATGCCTCGATTCCGCTGAGAAGCCAAATGACTTCAATCATATCCCTCTCACCGCAGAACTCTTGGCAAAAGACATATCTCTTCAAATATTCCACAAACACCGATACAGTGCTATCGCAGGAATCAAAAACTTTTTAACCACTGTTTGTTCTAGAATTTTTTCTGACATACTTCAACAAGCTCTTCCATCTTCTTCATCATATACTTTTGTCACTAGATTCCGCCACCCTCTAATCATCCCCGGTTTTCCCCATCCGACGTTCGGAAGCATTAATGTTATGCCCGATATTGTTGTTGGGGATAAAATCTACAACAACAACATAGTTCTTTGTTCTCATGGTCTATGGGGTTGGAACGCTAACTGCATCGCAACTGATATCGAAAGAACTATGTTTCTAACATTTTCTCGTGGGTTTCCTGTTTCGCAAGCGGAGGTGAAAAGTTTTTTCACCAAAAAATATGGAGAAAATTGTGTTGAAGGCGTTTACATGAAAGAGGATAACGAAAACTCCCCCAACGCAAACGGAAACAACAATGGTCAACAACAATCACTATTCGCAAAGTTGGTCTTGGATTCAGTTGCTACTGTGGATCGCATACTCGACGGAGAGAAGATAAAAAGGTTCAAGTCTAACGGAAAACATATTTGGGCTCGGAAGTATAGCATGAGTAGAGACGGTTAACTTAAGCCAAATGGAATTTAGTTTTTCTTTTTTTGTTATTCTCTGCTAACAAAGTTATATTATGTCTTATGTTGAAATTCAATAACTAGAAAAAATATGTAACACCCCAAAGAAGATTTGGTAACCAAATTTTAGATGCTTCATCAAATTATTATAATTATTATTTTTTAATACTTCATCAAATTGCGAAGTAGTGATCGTTGGTTCAAATAATTAATAGATATTTTACTGAATTACATTTGTGTTTACGGATTTAACTATTTAAGCATGTGGAAGTCAAAGCAGGGCAGGCAAACATTATGGAAATAAAAAAAAACATAATGGAAAAATAAATGCGTCTGCCGGGAGTCGAACCCGGGTCTATTGCTTGGAAGGCAATTATCCTAACCGTTGGACTACAGACGCTTTTTGACATTTAGACACAATTTTTAATTATAACTGATAAAATAAGTCCAAACTATCTCTAGAAGATAAGGTACCTATCTTTTGTGAATGTTCTAAACACTCTTATAAATTGAGGGATTTATCATTAACTAAAGAATAACTGGATAAAATTTGTTAGTCAACAAGATGAAGTCTAACATCAAATCATGCAATTTGTTAGGTAACGACTTGCACATCTCCTATTTTAGTAGTTTGGATTGGAAGTGGTCCAAACGAAAGGGATTTACGAACTATAAAATAATACGGTATTATTATCAAATCATTATATTGAGACTATAATATAATTAATTTACCAAAAAGCCTGAATTACCCATTGACTAACTAGTATCCAAAATGGAGAAGGTCATCTCTATTTTGTCTATCAATACCATTGATGTTTCACAAACCCTGAAGTAATCATCCACCAAATCATTTTTATTGTGCTAAGATGATGAAGATGGAGATGGAGATGGTGACTGGTGAGAATGGTGCTGTTTAAAACAGAAGATAATGGATCATTGTGGTTAGTAATAATTTAACATCACTTAAGAGTAAGTGGCTTTATTCAACTCGATATATTTGTTTAAGGCCCTGTTTGTTTCATCATTTTACATTTGCATTCAAATGGTCCATTTAGATGATTCATTTGGATGATGCATTTGAATGATGTTTGTTTTAATATTTGTTATTTCATTCAAATGGATCTTTTTTTGTTTGATCATTTTGTAATTCATCCTAAATCTCATATAGACCAAAATGACTAAAATACCCATGCGGGAAAACATGATTTTGTGATTTTGGCGGGAAAACATGATTTTGTGGTTTTGGCGGGAAAATATGATTTTGCAGTTTTGGCGGGAAAATATGATTTTGCGGTTTTGGCGGGAAAACATGATTTTACGGTTTTGACGGGGAAAATAATTTTGCGGTTTTGGCGGGAAAACATGATTTTGCGGTTTTGGCGGGAAAATATGATTTTGCAATTTTGGCGGGAAAACATGATTTTGCGGTTTTAGCGGGAAAATATGATTTTGCAGTTTTGGCGGGAAAACATGATTTTGCGGTTTTGGCGGGAAAACATGATTTTACGGTTTTGACGGGGAAAATAATTTTGCGGTTTTGGCAAAAAATGTAATTTTTACAGTTTTGGTGGAATAGCGCTTTCTATAATTTTACATCAAAAATTATGATTTTACTGTTTTGGCAGAAAAACGCAATTCCACGATTTTACGATTTTGACGTAAAATAATAATCCGTGATTTCATGATTTTTAGAGTATTTTTTGGTTCCAATATGTAATTTTAAAAATATTAAATAAGAAATCTATAGAAAATAATGTTATTTAAAATATGATTGTATATGAGGGTATATCTGTCTTTTGTTCTTTTTGAATGAACCATCTCCATCCAAATGGTTCAATCAAGTTCATCCAAATGAGTTTCATAAATTTGCCTAAATTTAAAAACTCATTCAGATGGATCATCCAAATGCTTGTTAAATTGTCAAAAACAAACATCATTTTTCATCTCCATGCATCTAGATGGATCATTTGGATGGAGAAACAAACAGGACCTAAATTCTTCAGCTCGATATATATATATATATTCGTCAACACACCCTAATTTAGAATATTCACCAAATTAATAGAATAATAGTACAACAAAAAGAAAGCCTCCAAGTCCCACCAAGAAAATAAATTGTTCAAAGTTGAAATCAATTGCGTTTTCCACATTGTAACATAATTATCGTTTTTGTTATTTTCTTATATGATTATTCCTAACTTATTACAATATTATCTATCAAAATGTCTCCAGCAACAAATAATAGATGAACTAACAGTCTTCGAGAGCCGAGTACCAACCCATAGAAGATGACAAAAGAAATCAACAATTACAAGTAGAGTGTCTTAATTTTCTTTTCCATTTTTATATCTATGGATGTTAATAAAAGACAAAATAAAAAACAAACAAATATTTGATTATTTTCCCCTAGCGGGAAAAACACGTCCAAGCGACAAAAGCATTGAATCACAATTCACACGAAACGCGCATCACAAGCCGCGTGACTTTGGTGAGACGCATGGATCTCATCTCACACCTGAACGGTGAACGAACGACGCGCGTTGTCCTAACACCATTTTCCTCTGGCGTCTTGAGAACGCTATTGGGCTTTTGGTTGCGATCAGTGGGCCCATTTACATTACTAAAGCACAAAACACTTTTGTAAGGATAAAAATCTTGGGATGATGACAAAATGACAATTGTTCATGAAATGTTTAATTATAAAATCTTGGCTCATTGAACCAAAAATCTATCACGGATTTTATCAAACTACTAAATGTAAAAAATTTTTATCATTTTGTAAAAGATAATGAAATTTTTTAAAAACAAATTTATTCATATTGGATTTTATAACTAGAAGATATACTGATATACATAAACTAAATCTTTTTGGTTGTTACTGTATCTCAATAAAATTCGTGGCTATCGTTTCTATTTATTTTATTTTCCATTCACATTATTATCGTTTATTTATAATAAAAAAAATAATAATATATCAAACGTATAAATAAATCGTGAAACAAAACATGGAAGAGCACAACTAAATCACTTCGTTGTGAAGATTTTTTTATTCAGGATCTCACCAAACATAACAAAACTAACAAACTCTGTCTCTCTGCTTATCCTCCGCCGCTTCACCACCGTCGTATCCGCCGCAGAACCACCGTACGGAGAAGCAAATCTCAACACCAATCCGTCGCAATGGGGAGAGGCGGCGCACTAAGCGAAAGCGTAATAAAGAACATCGTTCTCTCATACAGCTACGTAGCGATATGGATCTTCTTAAGCTTCACGGTAATCGTCTACAACAAATACATCCTCGACAAGAAGATGTACAATTGGCCATTCCCGATCTCACTCACCATGATCCACATGTCCTTTTGTTCAACCCTAGCTTTTCTCATCATCAAGGTTTTCAAATTCGTCGAGCCTGTTAAAATGACTCGCGAGACTTACCTGAGATCCGTCGTCCCGATCGGTGCTTTGTACGCTTTATCACTATGGTTATCGAATTCTGCTTACATTTACCTATCAGTCTCCTTCATTCAGATGCTTAAAGCACTGATGCCTGTCGCTGTTTACTCAATCGGTGTTCTGTTCAAGAAGGAAGGTTTCAAATCTGATACTATGATGAATATGCTCTCGATTTCGTTTGGTGTTGCGATTGCTGCTTATGGTGAAGCTAGGTTTGATGTTTGGGGTGTGATTCTTCAGCTTGGTGCTGTTGCTTTTGAAGCCACTCGTTTGGTTTTGATTCAGATCTTACTTGGGGATAAAGGGATTAAGCTTAATCCCATTACTTCGTTATATTACGTTGCTCCTTGTTGTTTAGCTTTCTTGTTTATTCCATGGATCTACGTTGAGTTTCCGGTTCTTAGAGATACGTCTAGCTTTCACTTGGATTACGCGGTTTTCGGGGCGAATTCGTTCTGTGCGTTTGCGTTGAATCTTGCTGTGTTCCTTTTGGTTGGGAAAACCTCTGCTTTGACTATGAATGTTGCTGGTGTGGTTAAGGATTGGCTCTTGATTGCTTTCTCATGGTCTGTGATTAAGGATACTGTGACTCCTATTAATCTTTTCGGGTATGGGATTGCGTTTTTGGGAGTTGCGTATTACAACCACGCGAAGTTACAGGCTTTGAAGGCTAAAGAGGAGGAGAAGAAGAAGGTTCAGCAAGCTGATGAGGAGAGTGGTCGCTTGCTTGAAGAGAGGGAAGGTGATGGAGAAGGTAAGAAGAATGAGTCTGGTAATTAAATGAAGAGTTCTTGATTCGAGAACAAGAAAATGGAATTTAGTTACATATAGAGAATTGGTGGAATAAGAGCATGGAAGAAGATTATGATTTGGATTAAATCAGGGATGGTAGGTTCTTGTGGAATCTGAGGTTGCTTTTGATCCACTGATTTGCTCATAGGTAGTGAAGTCAGAATCTCTTATCGCTTTCGTCTTGTTTTTTTTCGAGCTTTCTTTCTCCTTTTCGTATTGTTTTCTTCTTGTTATTTATGGTTACAATGGTGTTACCAAACCTCTGTTTATGGATTTTCCTATTTCTTATTTAACCATACTGAGATTATTGAAAGTTTCAGTATGCATACTCGTGGATGGTAAGATTTGTTACAAAAATGGCAGCTTTGTGTTTAACTGTCTAATGATGTTATCATAAAACAATCCTATACTATTATTTGGGGAGTACACTTTATAAGATACCCTTAACTAACCTTCCCTTTTGTAAGAATTTACTTAAAAATGCCATTAGAGATAAAATTTCAAAGAGTAAATTAATTCATCTCATTAAGGATAAACAAGTCAATTTATACAATTTAATTAATTTAATTTAATTATAAAAACGAAAAATACATTATTATTATTATTTTTAAATGACCAATCAAAATGAATATATAAGATTTGATATCTAAATTACCTTATTAATTTGTTATTAATCATTATATTTCACCTCTCATCTTTATATGATTCTATTATTGTGAAACAAATAAATCATCATATCATCCATATAATAATAAAAAATAGATTTTTTTCCCGCATATCCCATGATTTGAATTTTTAAAAACGAATATAAATTATTCAATTTATGAAAAAAAATTTAGACTTGGATCATATATTTCTTTTAAACAAAAATAAATTCAACAAAAATTCCGCCTGAATAACGGGTCAGAATTTGAGTAATTATATTCAATTTCATATATATTTTTTAAAATATATAATTTTATATACTACGATAAAATTTTAAATATTTTAATTTAGAATATTTAAAAATATTTTTACTTGATATTTAAAAACAAATATCATCAATACTAAATAAATAAAAAAATAAAAATTATACATACACTAATTTGGTTTTCTTAAAAGAAATATATTTAAAAAATATTTATAATAGACGGTGGGTTAAAAATAATGTATTATATGATGGAATGAGTTATGATCCTTATAACTATTTAAATATTTATATTTAAGTTTATACAATTATTTTTTAAAAATTCTTAATTTTATATTCTACGATAAAAAATAAAAAAATATTTTAATTTGGAAAATTTTAAAAATAGTTTAATATAATATTTTAAAGAATATCATAAATATTTAATAAATCAAAAATAAAAGTTATAAAAACTCTCATTTCATTTTTCAAAGCATAAATATTTAAAATATTTATAGCAAGCAGCATGTTATATGTAATGTATTATATGATAAAAAGAGTTATGATCTTTATAACCGAAACCATGTTAAAATTATATGATGAGATGAGTTAAATAAGGTTTGACACCTCTAAATATTTAAAATTTTGATTCTATAAATATATATATGAAAATAATGAATGATGGATTGTGCACACAATTTTTTCATTGGGATTCTAAAATAAAAATATAGGTACGCAGGGGTTGAATTTAATCTTATTATATACCAAAATATATTTATTATATACGCAAATTTTTTTCACTTCCTACTAGCATATATCAAATACATACGTTTTATTTTTAACCAAAAAACGTAAAAACCCATAAAAATCGAACTGTAACTAAACCGAATTACATACGGTTTCTATATGGTTTCACTTTCTACAAAACGAAAAAAAATGATACTAAACCGAAAAACCGTACTCCACCCCTAATATTTTCTCATCAAACAAAATAAAATAAAATAAAAAATCCTTATATGTCATTGTATTATGTAAGAATTATTAAAATTGTACTATAAAACAAACAATAATCCAACTTTATATAAATATTTAAAAATTAAAATTTCATCCGTGCTGTTCCAGCACGGGTTATGATCTAGTTATGATTATGTTAGTTACCATCCTAAAGCTCCATTGATGAACATTTGATATAATGCCAAGTTCATCCTCTTTAGTCCCTTATGTTACAATTTCGTTCTTTCAAAAAATAAACCAAACTAGCGAGAGCATCTCATCAACTACAACTCCTAAATTCCTTTTGCTCTTCAGAAAAAAATAGTCAAAGCTACCAAAAAGGCAAGTGACGGAGGGCATTATAAGGTGGGCTTTATTTAATGAGTAAGCCCAATAACTATTCGGCAATATTGATGACAAAGGTTTTATAAGGCCCGTTCCCCTTTTTATTTCCGACATTTGGCGCATTTTTTTGTTCTAATCCTTAAAAATTCGGTTGTTAATTCATTAAACCCGTAATAATTTAATTTGACATATCCAACCCTTTCGCCGTTACGAAACCTCAGACAAGAGAAAAACCTCTCAAAAACCCTAATTTCTTTCTTCTCTTCTTCGCGAGCCCTCACTCTCTGTCGCTCTTCTCTTCCGCCACCGTGCCAGCTGAAGAAAGTTGTACTTTGAAACCCGCTACTCCTTCGATTGCGCTGGTTAGTTGCTTGTTTTTGTTATTCTCCAAGTATTGAATTAGATTGTTTTTGAGTGATTGGGTTGGTAAAGTCTCAGCATTTCTTCAACGAAAATTTTCATGTTTTCCATGAGCTAGAAGACACTTACACCCATCGGTTTCTTAGACCTTAGCTTGAGTTTTCGTTATGGGGAAGGAATTTGATTGTTTGCTTCAAATAATTTTCAGGGAAAGATGAATTTGGTGAATATTAAAGATGTATTGACTTCTTTCAGTCCTGCACTTGATTATCTCGCTCTTAGCACCGGAGATGGCCGTATCAAGGTATCTTCACTTTTCTTCTTATATGGTTTCATGTTCAACAATTTATTATATATGTGTAATCCACTTATCTAATTACTGTTGAAACTGGCTTAATCCGGTATTCTCTACCTGTATGTTTTCAGATGGCTATCTAGTTGTAAATTTGTGTTAGTTTTATTGGTGGTGGATTGTTGTTATTCATACAATTTGTGTACGGGCCTGTTTGATCTTACTTTTGTTGACTGGAATTTGGCTCATATTTTGTTTTTGTCTTGTTCAATTTGTAGTGATTTTCTATTCAAAGGAAAGATCTTTTACTTTTCGATTAATGTATTTTCTTTTGGTGTTGTATAGATTTGGGATACTGTCAAGGGTCAGGTCCAAACAGAGTTTGCTGATATTGCATCTACCGAGGAGACTAACATTTATACTAAAGTTGGGAAAGGTCACCTCTCGGTCGATTATACTTGCATGAAATGGTTGTCTCTGGAGAAAAAGGTATAGAGGCTTAGTTTGTTTTTATTCTAGCCTTGCGGTGTAGATTTAGTATGGTAAATCATTCTTTTTGTTTACAAATAAGCTTTATTCTTGTTATTTGCAGAAGAAGAGAAAACTTGGAACTTCCGTATTGGTTTTAGGAACTGGTGGAGGAGATGTTTTAGCACTTGATGTGGCTTCTGGTCAGCTGAAATGGAGAATAAGTGACTGTCATCCCGGGTGAGTAACTAACTCCCACTGACTTCTTCTTTACTATTCTCATATTGGACCATATTTGAAGCAAACTGATCTATTTGTAAAAATATTGGCATTCTATTATTTGGTTATGCGCTAGGTAATTGCTCTCTTTGCAGGTCTTTGTGAAATTTCCTCTTTGAAGCTGGTTTTAGACATATATTAATACGTGTTTCCTGTCTTGTGCAGTGGTGTTAATGCTGTTTCATCTTCAGCAAACGCCTCTTGCATATACAGCGGCGGGGCAGATGGGATGGTTTGTCAGATAGATCCTCACAGTGGAAATCTGATCAGAAAGTTCAAAGCGTCAACAAAAACAGTTTCTTCTTTATGTGTTTCACCAGGTATGTCCTTCCGATTGATCTAAATAGAAAAAATGGTTTCTTCAAGTACGTTTTGAGTAGCCTTAAAAAAGCCACAGTAATATGGGGAAATTTCAGTTAAAATGCTTAAGACTATATAACAGATATGTATACCTGCTGATGACGTTTTTTTCCTCCCAATTGTAGATGGAAAAATATTAGTCACTGCATCTGCTCAGTTGAAGACTTTTAACTGCTCAGATCTCAAGAAGATACAAAAGTTTACTGGTCATCCTGTGAGTACCTGTACTATTTGTCGGCATTACTTTTTATCTACCAGGTTTTATTGTTAGTATACTGCATCTATGTCATGCATTAGAAGGTTGTTAACATTTTTTCATGTTGTATAGGGAGGTGTGCGTTGTGTGGCTTTTACCGAGGATGGGAAGTATGTCCTCTCATCCGCAGTCGGTGAAAGGTATATTGCAGTTTGGAAAACAGATGGTGCAAAGAAGCAGTCAGCTAGTTGTGTTCTTGCCTTGGAGCACCCTCCTGTCTTCGTGGATAGTTGGGGTGAAACAAATGAAAAAGGGTTATATGTTTTAGCAATATCAGAAATAGGTGTCTGTTATTTTTGGTATGGATCAAATGTTGAGGAGCTATGCAATGCAACGCCTACAAAAGTCGCATTAGCAACTGCAGATTCTTCCATCAAACCTCACAAGGGCTCATTGCCTTTAATCTTTGCTGCCAAATTACAAGGCATTTTGAAGCCTGGTTCTGCGCATGCATTTATCGCATCCGGATTGCTTGTGAAACCCTCATTCCAGAAAATGGTGTTGCAGTTTGGCACTGATTTGGTGCTGAATGCCTCTAAGGATGGGATCCTTCTCCCCATCACTCAGTCAGTTTCCAAGTCCAGCAAGGGGCAAGGCGTGCAGAATAAAGGTATCTTCTATGGGTTATACCCTTTACTAAACCATGAAACTTCCAACAAAATAAACAAATTGATTAGGTTGATTTTGTTTATTTTGTCATTGTGTTGCGAAATTCAAAATTGACTAATTGATTCAAAGATTTCCAGCAGTGCCAGCTGTTTAACAATATCCACACCATGTTAAGTAGACTCGATAATTTTTCTTATATTGTGTAACTATTTTTGACATTAATAGAACTACAGGATGTCTTTCGATATATTGAATCCTGTTGTTTCATCTTCTCGGTATGGAGGATTTTTGTCCCAATACTGTCTTGTGAATTGTTCAGTTTCCATTCTTTCCCTTTCCTGTCAAAAACAATGACTGACTAAGATTTTATAATTTTATAGTTACAACATTAGACCGTGCACATGCGGAGGATGCTTTGCTGCCAATCGCAAGAATTGCTGATCTGCACGAGAAAAAGAGTGTACAATTACACTCATCTGATAAGGATACTGATATGGTTGACCAAAGTCAAGCTGGTGAGTTTTACATTACGGTACTGAAGTCTCACCGTACTAATGCAGATCACTAGATTTTGTCTCTTTTAGTAGATAATATGCAGATGCTTCGGCACAAGAACTGCTCTGGCCTTTGTTCATTCTTTTCTATATCAAAATTTCAGAGCATGTAGAAACATTTAGCATGGAGGATAAGTTGAGATCGCTAGGGATACTTGGAGGTACAGATGAACAAAAAAATCTTTCCTATGCTTCAATAATTGATGGAATTGATCTGGAGGCTTATCTACCACCAAAGAAGGTATATTTGCTTTCTTGATGCTCAGTTCTTTGGCGTGTGTTAAATCCTACTGATGCATTTCTTTAGAGATTTTTCTTTGAACCTACCAATCGTAGTAACATATAACTTTTTTGTAATGGCAGTTAAAGTCCGCTGTTTTGTCAATGGAACCCTCCTCTGCATTCAAGACTCTAGAACCTTTGGTTGCTATGTGGCAGACAAGGTTGGTTCTCTGATTTCCTCATACTCTGTTCGCAAGTTGTCTCATCTATTCTTATTATTGAAAACAAAGTCAACGCTTAAAACCTCAATGTTCTTCTCTAGACTAACAATTTTTTGTTTAATCTTCGGCTATGATAATATAACCCAAAACTTGTTTGACTCTCTGGTCTGCATTTATTTCAACAGGGCATGTGGTGGGAGGCATCTTGTTCCATGGATATACAGCATAATGGTGAATCATAGTCATTACATCATGTCCCAAGAACCAAAAAACCAGCAGCTTCTTAATACATTGCTTAAAGTAAGAGATAAGAGTAGAGCCAAGGATTTTGTTATATTTGCTTGGTTTAACTATGTTATACTGTTCTTCCAGATTACCAAGTCCCGAGGAACGGCTCTTCAACAGTTACTACAGTTGTCTGGGCGTTTACAACTTGTTACTACCCAGGTTACATACCCATCACCTTTTAATCAATTCTCGAGGCGGATTACAAGCATATTTATATTTAGTTTTATTAATCCCTTCTTTGATGGCAGATCAATAAAGCTGCAGGAAATCAAACGCAAACAACAGCTAATGATCAAGAGATTGATGAAAGTGAGGATGAGGAGGAAGATGTAGAAGAGCATTTCTATGGTGAGAATGATAATGAATCCGAATTAAGCAGCGACGATGGAAAGAATAAAGGTAATGATTTTTGTTTTATTTTCCGCATATTGGTTTATGGCTAAATACTTTATCTAAATCTTGCCTACGCTCTTACTTCCAGAGGATGGTGATACCTTGATGGAGATATAATAAGCTAATGAGTGAGGAGAAGAGGAGCTTTGCATCTTCGTCATTAGCCTTGACGCTTTTGTCTTTTTGAGTTTTCTTTTTGTTACTTATCGTGTATTAGAATTTGTATTTTTGAGCCAATGAGAATTCACATTTTGTTGTCTTCGACGCATTGCACAGAAATTTATTTACCTGTCTTGATGCCAATTAAACAAATATTTTTGCCGACAAGAAAAATTTAGTTTTCTTGAAATTGTTTTGAGCAACCTAAACGGAACAAAGATATAATTTACAAAGGAAACAAAGCTTTTTTTTTATTTGCTCTCTATTCGTTACATGTTGGATTACGTTCAAAGACAACAAAGCTACAAATATGTGCATATAGCTACCGAGTGTCACAAAGCAATGGAACTAGTCCCAAATGAAAAAGACCAAATTTTCATCAGCCTCTTCAATTACTACCATAACTCCGAAACCTCTGTGAAATGGCTCGAGTTTACGGCTCGGCTGCCGAAATAGGCACAATGGGGGTACATAACATTTACCATTCTCTTCATCTCGGCGGAATCTGCTGGATTTTTTTTCCGGTTTAATTACCAAAACTTAAATCTTTTCGGATGTTTTCAAACTCGGGCTTCTGGTGGGCGGGTCTGTTTTGTATACCGGCTGGGCTAGTCCTTTCTACCCAATGCAATATCCCTCGTTCTTCCCCAATCCCAGTAGGCAAATCTACCCTGAATTAAGAAAAAGAAAAAAAAAAGATGGTTAGTTATCAAATAAACTGAAATTTGTAGGGAGCAAAGCAATGAAAGACTAGCTTTAAAACTTACTGTTTTACCACTCTTGAGTACTTCAATTATTTTTCGTATATCAGCGAAAACCTGGCGCTGTCCAGGCTCATGAAAAGAATGTTGATGAACAATTCCTGAACCTAGTTTTTGTAGCAAACTAGGCATGCTTATACGTCCACAATTGAGACGTTCCCCGTTGAAAGATATGAGAGATTTCTCAGCTAAGACGTCAAGTCTTTGCCCCACTTCCACGAAATCCTTTGCAAGATTGTATTCCACGTTCATAATAATTTCACCGTTAAAAAAACATGATATATAAAGAAATAAATCTTTATCTTCGTCATCTAAAGCGTCATAGCTGAACTTTAAAATGCTTTGAATATCAGCGTTGAGGCTAGTCTGTAATCTTGGTAGTGACTTTGTCCACTCTTCCTTCGACATTCCCCGAAAATAGGAACCCATAACCCTTAGTCCCAAAGGGAGTTCACCAGCAAGATTTGTGACAATCCAAGCAAGCTCCTCAAAACCATTTTTAGGGAACTTTTGACCAAAAGCATACATGCAGAAAATTTGAAGAGCCTCATAAGCTTGAGGAAAATCCACCTTGTAAATGTGGTTAATCCCATGTGCTCTAAAAAGTTTCCAATCTTGTGTTGTCACGATAATTCGACTCCCAGGACCAAACCAACAAGTTTCTTTTGCCATTGCATCTAGTTGTACTGACTTGTCCACGCCATCAAGAACGACAAGAACTTTCTTGTCTTTCAACCTATCTCGGGCAACTCCTAAATGAGAAATCTCCATATCCTTATGGTTGGTGATTTGAGACATAAATTGTTGTTGTAATCGCAACTTTACACTGTAGTCATCGGAACAAGGTCTTGTATAGTTTGCTTTGATATTTTCCATAAAGACACTCAGTTGGAAACTGTTGGAGAGTTGGTTGTATACAACTCTGGCAATTGTGGTCTTCCCAATCCCAGGAGGACCCCAAATTCCAATCATCCTCACTTCATCTGAGTCTAGGCATAACAATGGTTCCATCTTTTCCAAATGGGCTCTCATCCCAACTAACCCGTCAAAATCACTTGATGGTGTGGAATTATTCAATATGTTCGAAATATCAGTGGCGATTTTCTTGATCATGGCCGCTTCATTATCCCTAACAATTGCGGAGATCAACACATCCAATAAACAACGACGGGAAAATCACGCGCACATTTTAAAAAATAAAGATTAATTTCTTGGAAGGGTAATGTTTAAAGTTTAAGGGCAAATGGGAATCATAGGGACTAACCAGTTGCTTGAATGATAACCAGCGATTGTAGCCACTTTTGCCAGAGCTCGTCTCCATCTCCCAATGTCCTCCTTTGTTTTACGGGCACAAGTTTTTCTAAAGACTTTCCCGAAATCTCCGGTCAGCTTTTTTACATCAGAAGGATCTACTCTATAGAAAATGGCCACCACAGTTTGACCCAACTCTTCTCTGCACTTCATAATCTCCACCAGTTCGTCAAGACACCACTTGGAAGAAGCGTAGTTCCTGGAGAGCAAGATAACTGCGATCTTAGATTCTCTAATGGCACGAATGAGCTCAGGACCGATGGATTCTCCTCTTTTGATCTCATTGTCAACGAACGCAGAGATTCCCATTCTTTGAAACTCCATTTGAATGTGACTGAGAAAGTCTCTACGGACATCTTCTCCGCGGAAGCTGGGAAATACATGATATGTCCAGACGCGAGACGAAGAAGATGGAGTAACTGGTAAAATAGATATAGGAGGTGCAAGTGATGGACCTGTTAAAGAAGAAGAATTGTTTTCTTCGTTATCTTGATGGACTCTGACTTTTCTCAAAAGGGTGAAGAGGCCAATTGCAGCAGCAACAGTGGAAAGGAAAAATGAAGAATCCATTGATTATGATAGACCCGGATTAGGGTTTATCAATTAAGAACAGAAAGGAGATGAGGAATCAGAAGAAATTGAGGAAGAAGATGATTGTTTTAATTTTGTTGATCTTTCGATAAAAGGTTTACAGAGAAATGAAGACGACTATATACACGAGCAAGCTACTAAGGCTATAGGCTTTAAACGGAGGAAGAAATTACAAAAGAAGCTTCATACACATTGACCCAAGACGTTGACTTAGAATGTTTGTAGCAAAATTACATATACCTCTACTAATTCCTTGGATATATTTCCTCAGAGAAAATTACAAGAGCAACTAGCGAGAGAGGAAGCTTCGTTCATTAATATTTCCATAGAAAAATGAGATCCAAGAAAGAAAAAAGTAAAGAAATTTAGATTACGAAAATAAAGAAGAAATCAAAAGACAAGAGACAGAAGACACAAACAAACCTATTTGTTTCTGTAAGAAAACAGTACAAGGAACGATTAGATTAGAATCATACGAGCATTCTTTGGGTCGAAATAGCAAGGCATACGGGCAAAAAGTGGACACGAATCGTACACGCAACCTTCTATAGTCACAGCAAAATTAGATTTTCAAGTGTGAAGAACAAAATTAGCTTTGAATTAAGAAAATCTTAAGTAAAGACTACAAGAGAACCCGGTCTACAATTGCCATTTTAGCTCTCACATCCCAAGTAATAATATAACATTTTATTAATACAATTCCCTGTAAATTTTATCCACAAAAATATAACACAAGAAAAAGGAGATCAAAGACTTGCATCAGCGTTAGAACCACCACTTCCTCTCTTGTTTCCTGTTGTGTTCTTCAGAATCTACACCAAAACAACAATTGAAAACTTGTAAAACAAAAATAAACATTATTACCATACAAACACAGAGAATCTAGCTTTGCATCTTCATCTTCTCCATCAATATAGATTATAGTGAGTGAATGAGTATTCCAAGAACCATTGAAGAACTAATTCTAAGCTTCGAATAGCTTCTTAGTCCTTGTAATTTACTAAACTAGTTGGAGAATCCTCCTAGGCTCATCATTTTTGCCAGCAATGTGAGATTTTCAAACAAATGTTACAAAAATCATTGAATATCGCAGATCAGATTAATGGTGGGATCGATGAAAAACGTACATGTCTAAGCATCTGGTTCTCGTTCTGGAGAGTAGAGAGTCGCTCTTCAAGTTCAGAGTTTTTGTTCTCCAAGTCTTTCACTCTGTTTTCCAACTCACTCAAGTAAGCCTTTTTCCTCTCTCTTGCTTGCTGCGCTGAAACTCTGTTCCTCAACAACCTTTTCACCACAAAAATTACCAAACAGCCCCATCACGCAACCGTTACTTAACATAATACCTCTAAAGGGTAAAAATGTAATTTAAACAGACAAAACAAACACCTCTTCAGCCGCTTGTTCTCTTTCTCCGCCGGTGTCCTCCCTCGCTTCCTTTGACTTTCTCCGACCGCTGTCTGTGTCCGCTCTTGACCAGTCGCCGAACCAGATTCTCTACCGGTAGTTTCTTTTCCGGCGGCTTCTCCTCCGAACTCCGGCACTCGCCGTATCTCTTCATCGCTTTCAATTCCTTTAAAACATAAAAGAGACTTTAGGCGAAACTTTTTAATACAATTGAAATTATAGATCTTCTCGATCTCGAGAATTTTGTCGGGGAGACTAATAGTTCTGCGGACCCAATTGAGAAAACCAATGGTGATTCAAAATCTAGATGTGAATTTACTTTATATCCAATGCATGAGGCTGAAAATCAATGAGATCAATCGTTTGGAGAAGAAAGAAAAAAAATCGACAATTTTTTTTACCTTCTTTGATCTCCAAATGTGGAGCAGAGCTTGATGACCTCTCGCTGCTTGATGGTAAAGAGCTTGCAGCTAAGGAGCTAGTCGCTTGCTCCTGCATTTTTCTTACAATTGAAAGATCGATCGGGTGAGAGAGAGGGAACGATTGTTGTCTTAGTAGCGAAGCTGGTGAACGAGATAAAGAGGAAAAGAGCGGGACTTGGGATTTACAGAAGAACTTGGAAAGAATCTAATTGCGAGACATTTTGGGAAGGAATAGATTGGTGTGGCTATCGCCGTCAGATCTAAGGTGGATCTGACGGATATAGAGAGTGAATCGTGGAGAAAGATGAGCCTTGAGGAAATACAAGGATCCAAAGGCACATGAAATGGGAGCGTGGATAGATATGAGCCGTTGGATCTGGTTAGCATCTTACGGTGAATAATGGATAGGGGAGATAATTATGTGGGCCCCATGTCTGTCCTGGGCAGAAAAGTTTGGTCTTAGTTCTTTCATTCTGTCACATGGCCCACGCCTAGGGCAGTGCTTTAAAAAGTGTCGTGAAAGTAATTTATTTTATTTTTGGTGATTTGTTTTCGTCATGCATTAAAAACATTATACATTATACATTATAGCCGCCATAAACCCACCTAAAATTGAAAACTAAAATGTCCAAAATTTTGTATCTGTTCTTCAATGATAGATACTACAACCAGAGCCGTGCCTATTTGGTAGACATAGAAACACTCGCGGCATACAATTTTCATAAAATTTACAGGGGCATATTTATTACATATTTAATGTTATGTTGTTTATATGTAAGATGCTTGTTACGATTTTTTGGTTCTTGACCTTAATAGCCCATCATTAACTCAAAATTAAGCCATTTTTCTTTTTAAAATTAAGATCAGTTTATGTTTGTTTTTTCTCATGAGCTTGTTTCTTTGCCCACTACATTAATTCTTCTCTTTTGTGTCTTTACCAACTTCTTTTTTAATCAATTTTTATCAAAGCTAGTTATGTGTATACATGTTTAAAATCTGAAAATATATATTTCTATATTGAATATCTCATTTTATATATCGTTTATATATATTTTTATCAATCACAAAATAATTTATCGTTTTATTTGTACTGTTAACAATTGATCATGCAGTTACTTATAATTCTGTTTGTATTCATTATACAAATATTTAAGCACTAAACAAAATTTTTATACTACAACAACAGTGGACGAAATGAAAGAATTGTATAGGACGCAAAATAACTAAGAACTGAATCCAATATATCCTAAAATTTCTTAGCTAAACATATCCAGCCACATCATTCGACAGAATCTACTAAACATATAAACACTCCTCGTATTACCAAAAAAAAAGTCTGTTGATGAGTTTCTCCAGAATACAAATCATTGCCCATCTCAATGTTAACATTAGATCAAACCGGAGCTTGATATGGAGCTCGCTTATCTGGAACTCCCTCTTCTGCTCTTTTATCTTCAAACCACTTCAAAACTCGCTTCCTTGGAAGATTGGTCACTTGAACAATGCTGCTAACCACGGCATTCTATACACAGTATCATCAGACATCATATGTGAGATAAAGCATTCAACTAACATAGAAATTGATTCAAATGTAAAGGAGAATCCTTACAGTTGGTCGTTTTGATCTTCTGTAAACTTTTTCTAGCGTTTCAATGTGAGCTTTCTTCACTCTTTTCTGAGCAGACCATCTCTGTTGCATCACATGAACTGCTTCATCTTTTACTTTTTCCTTAGGTTCGACCACAACATCTTCAGCTGATGATGATTCCACAGGATTTGGATCAGTTGAGGAGTTTTCAGGTGCTGGTACTGGTGGTTTTTCATCTGGTAGTGTAGCACTTAGCATTAGAAGCTTCGGAGGCGGGTCACGAAGCAATTCAAGAACATAAGCTCTGTCAAGACAAACCTCAGCTGCCAGATTTTTTATCTACAGATCACAACAAAACCATCCTTTAACAATGATGCATTTGAAAACCAGAGAATCTACTTGTTCTTTGTCAATTCTCAAAAAATTCTGAAGCAAATCTCCATAGCAGACACTAACTCAAGAACTACGCTAAAGTATGCTTTAAACAATGTATTCAATATCTATCTTCAACACTGAACTAAAACTTACACTAGTTTTACGGCGCCCAGATTTCAACGCATAAGCCAATCTTCTAAGCTGCCAATTCTTCAGCTTAGTCGGTCTTTCATCTTCTTCACTGTCATCATCATCATCATCATCTTCATCAACATCAACATCAACATTACCAGTGGATGAACCAAACAAGTCAATGCCATCAACATCGTCACCACCACCCAACGCTCGAGCTAACTCCTCTGCTAAGGCATCTAAGTCTTCCTCACTTATCTCCTCATCATCTATTGACGAGTTATCATTTTTCAAATCTTCTTCCAATAGATTAAACAATGCCTCAAATGGATCATCCTCCTCCTCACCACCTCCATTACCAGCTCCATCGAAACTTTTCTGCCAAAAACCATGAAATCAAAGACTGATACGAAATCAAAAAGAAGCAAACTCTAATTCGGGAATTAACCAATTCAAACCAATATTAGCTCACTTTTAGTGTATCCAAATTCCAGTCAAATTCGGCGAAAGCAGAAGGTAAAAGCAACTTCGAACATTAATCATTCTCATTATGATTATCTTACCTTTTTGTTCTTCTTCGGGGTCGACGAAGAAGACGAAGACACGAATCCTTTTCGGTTCTTCCCACGAGCAAAAACAAGTACAGATCGAGAAGGATTGAGAATTGGAAGAGCTACACCACGAGGACTAGCGTTCCGATTCCGAAACAGAACTCTGTTGACGGATAAACCTGACGACGAAGAAAACGACGGAGGATGAAGATGAGAGACGACGCCGGAAGAGGATAGAGCAACCGCCATAGCTTTTAATTTTATCATCAAAACTGTTTGCTGTTTTCTGCAGATTTTATACGAATCGTATTCCTCCCTTTAAACGACGTTGTTTTATCCCTCAAAGAGTGTGCCGTTTTCTGTTTACAATGTAGCAAAGCGTGTCGTTTATAAATATATTTATTTTGGTCTTCGTCGTTATCGGCTGGCTGGTAACAACGGGTCCACTCTCTCTTTCTCTACAGAAGAAGCTGAGATATCTGTCTCTCTCTCTAGATTCGATTTCGTTGCGGGCTTGTTAATGGCGAATCCAGGGCAATCAAAGGGATGGATTAAGAAATGGACGTCCATGGCTTCATCGGTTTACTTCGTCTTGATCATATTCCAGATCCCTCTCTTCAGGTAAATTCTTACTAAAACAATCTCTCAGCTACGTAATTCGAACCCTAGATTTCGTTATTAAACGATAGATACGTCTATGAATCCTAAATTTGGATCAAGCTGAGTTTTTTTTTCTTGGGTGGGTGTATTGATGAAAATTTGATTTGTGATTCACTTTCAAGTTTCCGCATTTTTGTGTGTAGCTGGTTTTAGTAAGAAACTCTAAGCTGGTTTTCATTGCTTAATCGTCTTTTAATCAAAATTCCATAAGTTGACCTTAAGAAAGAGGTTCTAAGTGTTTTGGATTTGAACTTTATCTCTATGGATCATTAGTCATTACTTGATTTGGTTGTCTCTCTGGTTAATCTGACTTGAATCGTGATCTTAAAAACAGGGTTCCATGTAGATCTGGTATGTGTTCATCGCCGATCCATGTGACATCGTCTCAGTTGATTTCTAGTGAGATCTTTCCTGTTCCGGTGATTAAGGCTCTCCTATTCCCTGGTGCTGTAGTCAATGGTCTTGCCACCAACCTGACCTTTCCAAAGTGGGAAAATGTGTTAGATATCTACAATCTCACCAATGTGAAAGAAGCATCTGCAGTGACCGATCTTCAGCGCCTAGAGGTTCGCTTTTCCCTTCCCAAGATCTTCTAACAAAGTTCATTCTCACGTTCTGACTGTAGCAACCGTTTACTAAGATTCATGTGCCCTGATTCTTCCCAGTAACAGTCTCACAAGTGATTTATTTTTTCCAGGTTCTTGCAGGGAGCTACTTTTCTGTAGCTGGGGCGTTTGTGGGTTTGCTAAAGCCCGGTAGGATGAGCATGTTTGGGTCATTGCTACTAGTTTGGGGGCTTGTTAAAGAAGGGATCTTAGGGAAGCCAGTAAATACTGACCCAGCCAAAACCGTTTATGTGTACCCGACCATGGTGCTTGCCATGATCTGCGCTTTCTCTATGATAAAGTATGACTTGAAGAAAGCCACGAGGGCAGCTCCAGCTCGTCCCATTGCTAAACCTCTAATGAGCTCTTCAAAATCTAAGCTTAAGTGAGTTTTTCGAGACTTAATAGGGCTTGTGTCCTGTCTTTGTACCAACACCCGGGAAAGGAAAATGTCCCCGGAAAATGGCATTGTCACTGTATTTTGCTCTCAGTTACCTTATGTTTCATGAATTGTCTATTTTCTAGGACACTGCTCAGTAGTCAATATCTTCCAATATCAAAAAAGCACATAAACACGAAAATTCAAATGAGTAGCATTACAAGGGGGTTCCAATAAAAGACCATCGTATTGAGTTTCATTCGTGTAACAGCTTATTAACTGTTGTTCTTGAGGAATGAATCCTTGATAAAGTCCCGCCTTTCCCCATATAATATAGCGTCTCTTTACTTAACCGAAAAGCCTTTAACATTCACCACGAGAGCTTCAGATGACTTGGTTCATTCCTACCAATGGTATGCTTTTCTTGGTCAAATTTAATAGTATTTGTGAAAGGCACAAACGATTTGGCATTGACATTTTCAATTTCTGACCGTAATTCTTTATCAAATTCTTTCTCCAATAGTGCAAGAAACAAGTTTTCTCTCATCTGTACAGAATTCAAAGCTCTGGTTCCGTTGAAGTCACATGAGACATGGATCAGAATCAGGCTATTACAGTCCTTCCAGGTGATGCCCTTGTGGATTCCATCAAAGAGAACTTGGAATCTTTGTCTTCTCTTTCAACCAACTGTTGTATCTATAAGGCACCTGAGAGGCTGCGAAGATTGAACCCTGATGCTTATTCGCCTCGGGTTGTATCGATTGGGCCCTTACACTATGGTAAAGAAGAACTTCAAGCCATGGAAGATCATAAACTGAGGTACCTACAGAGTTTTATTCCTAGAACAGCCTTAAGTTTGGAAGACCTGGTAAGAGTTGCAAGGACATGGGAAGAAAGGGCTCGCTTTTGTTACACAGAAGATGTAAGACTTAGTAGCGATGAATTTGTGAAGATGTTAATCGTTGATGCAAGCTTCCTAGTAGAACTTCTTTTGAGGTCTCAGTTTGATGTATATAGAGGTATGCTAGATAGGATATATGGGAAGCAAAAGATGATTGTCGATGTGAACCATGACGTTATGTTACTTGAAAATCAGCTTCCATATTTTGTTGTCGAGGGGATGTTTGGATTGCTACATGTTGACTACCATAGGGAACTTCCACCTCTGACTCGAATCATTCACAACCACTTCAAGAAATTCTGGATGAGCATCCCTTCATTTTCGAGAAGCATTTCTGATTCAAAGATCTGTCATTTTGTTGACCTTCTGCGATCTCTTCACCTGCCTTTGGTTTTGAGTTTTCCAGGAGGAAGCATGAGAACGATGGACTCTGTACTGAGTGCAAAAGAGATTCAAAATGCCGGTGTTAAGCTCCAGCCCGCAGACAACAACACCTGCGCACTTGACATAAGCTTTGCAAACGGAGTCCTCACGATTCCCAAAATCAAGATCAACGACATCACAGAATCTCTGTACAGAAACATCATCTTGTTTGAGCAATGTCATCGTTTAGATGCTTACTTCATCCACTATATGAGGTTCCTCAGTTGCTTCATAAGATCTCCCATGGATGCTGAACTGTTCATTGACCACGGGATCATTGTGAACAGACGTGGAAATGCAGAAGACGTTTCGAGGCTGTTCAATAGCATATTGAAAGAGACAAGTTACAGCGGGTTTTACTATAAGACAGTCTATGGGAATCTACAAGCGCATTGTAATGCGCCTTGGAACAAGTGGAAAGCAACTCTCAGACGTGATTATTTCCACAATCCTTGGTCAGCTGCTTCTGTTGTGGCTGCCTGTGTACTTCTCCTTCTTACTTTCGTTCAGGCTATATGCTCTATATTAGCTTTATGACTTGTGAGAAAGTGAAGGATAATCAAATGTTAGGGAAATATCTCCTTTATAAGAAGAAATACAAACGAGGCAGAGAGGAGTGTGCAAGGCACGTGTTATGCAGAGAACAGAAGAAACAGAAGATTAGCAGTTAAGTGTGAGGGTTATGTTGAATGTTTGTATGTGGATCCAGTCGCCATGAGACTGAGATTAGGGAGATCATAATCTGAGGGATGTGAGTGAAGATTCTAAACTCATTTTCCTTGTTGATTCATTGAGTCTTTCATTGTTCTTTGTTGTTCATCGATACAATTGTGTGATTTGATCGTGGATAAGCAAATATGCTTTGAGTTTATTGTGTTAAAAGCTTATCAGTCATTTAAAAGAAACGAGCAACATACTGTGTCAACTGAACTAGAAAAAAACATTAATCCAATAGTTACTAAAAGTCCAATAGAAAGAACATAAAAGACAAGAGACGATCATTTTAAGAAATAAAACACAAAACACCAATGAGCCGTAGTATGGTATGGCTAGAGCTCAACTGGTCTTAGCTTGATCTGGTTGAAGGCTTGCAGACTCTAAAAGAGGAAACAGAGGAGGAATGATTAGTAGTGAATTCCCTCAGTTACGGACACACAAGCTCACATCCATCACAATTGACCCATAAAATCTTATAATAAATCATCCAACACAAATTGACGCATAAACAAACTCAGGAGTACAGTTGTACTAGTAAGGATGACTAGCGTAAGAGATCATGTAACAATAAGAACACTGTTTTTACCATTTTGGTTTCTAGAAAAACAAAGCTTCCAGGGAAAACAAAAGGGTTTTATAGTGAGAAGTTACCGGTTTGGGGTCTTGATTTTAGTAAACGAATCTCGTGCGCAATCATGGCGGTCCAGGTTATTGCCATACAGAGAATTATAGGCAAGTCGACTGTGAGAATTTTATCTGAAGCAGTTTTAAGTCGAGCTGAAGAAGCCACAGAATCCTGAAACACCAAAACAAATGCAGTTACAAGCTGGAGAAGAGTGTAAGATGAAATCTCAAGAGTAAGGGAACGAGCTATATATACCTTTTCCATCTTGCTCATTAGCGCTTTGAACTTAGCCCTGTTCCAAGTGAGAGATCTCAGTTTCCGAATAATTAAATCAAACATTACTACAAGACCTTGAGAAAAAAAAAAAAGATGGTCGCAGACCTCATCTCGTCGATTTTGGCTAGTTTTTCTTCTGCCCGGGGTAGAGGTTCAGGATATATCTTCAAAAGGAAGAACAAGAGTTGGGAAGCAATCAGCAACTTTTGCATATCCAAACCACAACCACAGTCTCAACCAATAGTAATTAGTAACGAACTAGGAGGCTATATGTTACCTTATAAATTTTAGTTTCAGATTCAGACTTTGACAATTTCGAATCTTTAAGCCCTAATTTCTGAGAGTTTGAAACTGGTTAAACATTGATAAATCCCAAATCAACTAGTAGAGATGGAAAAGAGAATTTTACCGCATGAGCTTCGTTCCCATTTTCAGTTGAAAATGTGCGACGACAGTTGGAGGAGTAAAGACCTCGAGGCTTACTGGCGGAAAGGGCCGATCGAGCCGCTAACAGAGCCAGACGCTTTGACAAAGCCATCGATTTGACGAGAATCAACAGGAGAAGCGGAAGAAAATTGAGATTTCAAGCGTTCCGTTGACGAGTAAACCTGATGACGAAGAAAACGACGGAGGATGAGGATGAGAGGCGACGCCGGAGTTCCGGCGATGTCTCCGGTTAAAATAGGTATTTTTGTAACCGCCTTTTGTCTGTTAGAAGGCCCAATGCCAAAGCCCACTGTGCGATGAATAAAATAAAATAAAACAAAAAGAGACGACGCCGGAGTAGTAGGATAGAGTCAGCAACCCCCATATCTTTTAATTTAAACTGTTTGCACAGTAAGAAAAAATAGTTCATTTAAACGACGTCGTTTATCCCTCAAAGATCTAAACACTTTGTGATGTTTGTGTTTACCATGTAGCAAAGCGTGTCGTTTATAAAGTGTTTTGTTTGTTCTTCGTCGTTATCCTCTGGTAACAACGGGCCCCCACTCTCTCTCCCTCTCCCTCTTAAAGATGTAATTGTAGATGAAAATGTTTCCATATGAATATTGTGAAATCAGAACAAAGAACATAACAATCCAGCCGTGAAACATGAATTAACACTTTTGTAAATAGTTTTCCAAGAGTTCTTAGGTACAAAATCCCGCAGGATGGTAAATAGTTGTAGCAATGGGATTAGAACATCCATAACATTTATTTAAAGCTAAGGGGTGTGACAAGTGATGGCCTACACAAATCAAGGCGCCACACAATAGCTACAGAGTAACAGACAGACAAAACTGGCACAGAAACAAACACTGGGAAATTAATGGTCATAGAGACCACATAACATCCAATGTCTGAAACTAGGTATTTGATCACCTGACTTGGCTATGCTTTCGATGCTGCTTGGTGTCATCTTGAGAAAAGTGATGTAACTCGTTTGGGAGATGTCATCTTTGCCACGCTCTTAAACTATCAAAAGTCATGCAGAATTAGAACCAGTTCAATCATTCATTCACTTTTCTTCAACAATCACCAGTTTGATTTAACGGTTTTTTTGTTGAGCAATGTACCTTTGGTTGGTTGTATTTCTCACGGGTTGCAGCGAGGGTACAGCCACTGGTGTTGAGCTGCAAGTCCTCCATTGCGAGAACTGTGCTCTTCAGCTCAGCTACCTCATATCTAGTGTAGTGTTGCAGAGTAGGGTTCTATAACCAACAGCATTCTTTTTATCAGCACAAAAAAAAGGCAAACACAAAAAACAACCTTTTTCAAGATTCAAGAAACATGAGCTGACCCAAGGATGGTCAGTTTGGTCGAGTGTCCATCTGGCTAGGAAAACAGCTGAAGCAGCAATTAATGATGGAAGGAACCTTAGGAATGTATATTCCACCAGTGTCAACTCGGCGAGATAGTTTGCTAAAAACTCCAGCTCAATGAAAGGCACCTGCAAAATAATTAATAACGAACGCACTAAATTCAGATTCCAAGTTTCTGTGGAAGTGAGGCTTAATGACGAATGGATCATGGTTTAATACCTTGTACGAAGCTTGAGCTGCTTTAATGAACCGCCTGGAAAACATAGTGTTGAGCTAATATGAAAATCTAAACTAAGTTGGAAAGATATGATGATTCACAGTTCTGCCCTTTAGTGTTTACCTCAGAAATGTTTTGGTGGTAGGAACCGATAATTTAAAGTGCACAAAATTTAGAATTTGAATCTCCATGCTCAGCACCTGAAACACAGATTCTAGTTTATTTATTTTTATCAAGAATCTGTGCACATTAAAGACACCGAGATATGTGTGATTTGAATGTTAATTACTTCTGGTCTTGTGTATGTGTTGGCCGTAATGAAGCAAAACTCCTCCACCCCTGGTGCGCAAAGCTCTTCATATTTTCTACAAGGCTCAACAAAAATGTACAAGGAAGAGAAAGCCTTAAGTGTTTCTCTACTTAACAAGTATACATATATTATATGTTTGGGCTCTCCCTGTGCTGTAAATGCTATTCTCATTGCTATAATCTGAAATTGACACACACTTACACACAAAATATAAAGTAGGGACTTACGAAGCTATAAGCATGCAAGAGACACCAAGGAGCTGGAGTCGTTGCCTTTCAATGTAACTGTTGGACAGAAACCGGTCGATAAGATTCACTGTAAGGTAAAGCGTATCTGGAACCAGCTTGTAGTCGTCAGAAACCTGAAAAATACCACGCAGTTCACTATTTTACTCAAAAATCTTGGAAAACTATTCTCAGTTTGTTCTCAAATTTTCGTACGAGAACTATGTATAGGAATGTTCAGTGTTCTGTTCAATAAGAAACATGATAAGATGGTGCGTTATATATATATATATATATATATATATATATATATATATATATATATGTGTGTGTGTGCTAAGTTTGAAGGAAAACTAACCTCTACAAGCCAGTCAATCAGAATCCTTCTCATGTCTGGGTCAATATCTCGCTGCACAAGCTCCATATAATTAGCCAAGGGTCGTTGTTGAAGCTGCAAGAAAAGAGGGTTATAACTCCAATAGTCTTTATATGAGTAGTTATACTGAGATTATTTACAAGAAGTTAATTGTGGAAAGATGTAAAGCAAATATTTGGATCATGTAATTCAATACCTCTGCAACATGTATGTTATCGTATATATCGGCAGCATACAAGCTGCAACACTGTGGATCTTCGATGTTGGAATCAATATCTACAACTCGAAGTAACTCCATGACACCCGATCCATCTTCTTCTGCGCAATCCAGTATAAGATACATACCTTAAGTAAGTTTGAGAAATCCATTTTTAACCCTTGACAGCAGAATTTAATGGAAAAAACTACTAAAATTTCAGCATTATGGAGTCCAATGCTTGAATAAAAGTTGGCGAGTGATCAACATGACCTCCGAATTAAGGAGAATGTGGTAACTATCATTATATTCACTAACACTGCAGTTCTTACGTTGCTCAGTAATTTCTTCATCGTTGGAGCTTGAAAGACAGACATCTTGGGCTTCAGCCATCCTGATCTTGGACAAATCTTCTGCTAATTTTGACTTTTCTGTATGCATATCTACCAGAATTTCCATGGCAATATTAGCACCTTCCTTTGCTGCTTTTTTAGGCTCTTTTAAACATTTTCTGTTAGCCTGCAACGCGTGATGTCAATAGTAAGAAACCCAAAGGGAATGTTTGAAGGCTATAACCAACATAAGATAAGATATACACACCAACCAAGACAATGAAAACGTATCAGCTGAAATCTCTACCTTGATGTTGCCTCCCTTTAGGAGTTCTGAATAAATATTAACTGCAGAAGTATTACTCACATCCTTAAGTACGGCACGTCTCTTTTGCTGATAAACCAAAGGAAATAAGATTAGAGAATTTGGCATCATCTGTTTCAATTCGTTTATGACTTTCTATAAGAACATGTTTCAATACCTGTTTAAAAGAGGGTTTTGTTGGAGGTATTGATACTCCTCCTCCCATGGCTTTTTTAGCTCGTGATCTCGTTATTCGTACAAAATTCTCCTGAACATCTGAAGTAGAGATATTTTCTTTGTTTGCATTTGGATGCATTGAAGAAGAGCAATACATAATTTAGTCTGGAAAAAGGCCAGTGGTTTAGCCAAGCCTGCAGAACAACAACAGGTCATAATCATTGTATATCTCATATTTCTCTTTGCCTCCATCAAGAAGATTAATCAGTGTTCAAATGCAGCATAAATTTCAGGAAGAAACAAGCACAGAATTGAAATTGAAACGATTTCTTCATACTCAAAGTGAGCCACAGATCTCAATTTCACACGATATTAACAATTGAGTGAAGTCAGCTTAAACAAGCAATCCAGCTGATCAAAACTAGTTTAATCTTTCGTCCACCTTCTTCTTCATCGTTGGATCCAATTTCAAGCTAATCATTTCAAAATCGAATTAAGCATTGTTCTTCGTAGCAAAATCCTTAAGAAGACCGATTACTGAACAAACAATGAGCCATAGAGTACACACACGTTTCATAAAAATCAATCAAACAAAGAAGAACATCTCGACAATTTCAATTTCCCCAGTGATTAGCCATGCGTGAAGAGCAAATACGCAGGACATGCGAAAACAACAAAGAGGGATTATCTTAATCGAAGACAAAAAAAAACATTCGCTAGAGAGATCGATTAGTGTAAAGCCCAATCTACGATTAACTCCGATCGATCAAAACGAAGAGCAACAAGCTACGATTCCCGGAAAATTCAGAGGATCGGTAATCAAACAGGAAATTGTGAGTAGACGAGAGTAGATGATGATACCTGGCTCAGCAAATAGGTTTATGAGTTTGGGAACGAGCTCTAATGGTGGTAGAGAGAAGCTCAAGAAGAGAAGAGAACGCTCCAGAGAGAGAGAGAGAGTGTTGAAATATGTGTAGGTGGGGGAGAGAGCGGAGAGGAGCGGGGGAAGCGACTGAGTGAAAAAGGTACTGTTTGAAATTCGGAATTTTTTAGAGATAAACAAAAATAAAAAATCGGAAGAAAAACAAACTTTCTATTTAGAAAAAAAAAAAGACGAATTTAAATTAAAAAATCTTTCTTTGCTTTTTTTGGAAAAATCTTCTTTTCTTTGGTAACATATTGTAAGAATGTTTTCTATAATTTGGTCTTCGTTACTATACAAGGAATAGTGCAACTGTCTTTTATTATTTAGCCTATGAATTATATATGTTGGAGCTGTCAAAATAAATAAAATTATATATGTTAGGATAATTTTTTATCTTTTAAATATGAACAAATCATCGGTCTAGAAATTTCTAATATAGACAGAATCATAGAAAAATAGAAAACAAAAAGATATATCCGCTTCACATAACCTACGGTAATTTTATATTTTGAAAACAAAAAATACATTAAATGTAGTATAAGTTATGTATACATATTACATTAATGTTACCGTACAACGTACGTATACGATACGATATCACTATCTAATATGTTTAACATATTGATGTATATACGATCGTCTCAAGTTAAAGATATCAACTCAAAATTCATTTATTCTGTTACCAGAAAATCCGATCTACATACACATCAAAAATACTAAGTACCCGAGTTCGGATTAATTACAAAAATTTTGACATTGTTAAAATGATACATATTTTTCCAGCTATTTTATATTTAAATTAATTTAATATATCTGGTCAATAACAAGTAAATAAATTTCAAATGGAAATGGAGGGAAAAACAGAATAACTACATTAATTGTATTCATACAATTTCAAAAAGGTATTATTCACATATAGAAATTCATTTTTGTTAACATTAGTCAAAAAAACGTTTCTACCAATTTAACAACATTAATTATATGTATCTAGTCATATACGAATCACACACGCATACACGGATTCTTACTTGCAACATGGTAAATTGTAAAAATATCAAATACGTGTCAAAAAGGACTAGAAAGATAATCCCTTTGTAATTTGTATGAGGAAATAAAATATCAAATAGTATTGTATACTTTCTTCCTTTTAAAATAATGGGCCATGTTGATAGATATTTTCAGTTAACAAACGAAAGCCCAAAAGGCGCGTAATCGGAGTATCCTAATTTTCTCGGCGGCAGAAAATGAACTCTCTGTTCACCTCCTGCCGCCGCAACCTCCTCTTAAGCCCTAATCCTCACCGCAACTTCCTTCTTGATAGATTGTTATCATCATCTCGCCGTTCATCCCCGCTCATTCCCGTCGAGCCTCTCATCCAACGGTTACAATCACCCGCAGCACATGATTCTACACCGCATCAAATCACAGTCCCTGATTTCTCGAAAACCGATCTCTCCACTATATCGAATCTTCTCGAAAACACTGATGTTGTTCCCGGGTCGAGTCTCGAGTCGGCTTTGGACGAAACCGGAATCGAACCGAGCGTTGAGTTGGTTCAGGCGTTGTTCGATCGGTTAAGTTCATCGCCGATGTTGCTTCACTCAGTGTTCAAATGGGCGGAGATGAAACCTGGATTTACGCTTTCTCCTTCACTGTTTGATTCTGTTATCAATTCTCTCTGTAAAGCTCGGGAATTTGAAATTGCTTGGTCGTTGGTTTTTGATCGAGTGAGAAGCGATGAAGGATCGAATTTGGTTTCTGCAGATACGTTTATCGTTTTGATCAGACGGTATGCTCGTGCTGGTATGCAGATTTCTTGTAGCTTCATTAATGGAATTTGAATATCAATCTTGCTGATACAAAGAACTAGCTTAGAGTAATAGAAGCATTAATCTAGTTTTGCCAATTTGCTTGTAGGTATGGTGCAACAAGCTATACGAGCTTTCGAATTCGCTAGTACTTATGAACCGGTTTGTAAATCAGCTTCGGAACTTAAGTTGCTTGAGGTTTTGTTAGATGCACTTTGTAAAGAAGGACATATTAGAGAAGCTTCAATGTATTTGGAAAGAAGACGAGGGACGATGGATTCAAATTGGGTTCCTTCTGTTCGGATTTTCAACATTTTATTGAATGGATGGTTCCGTTCGAGAAAGCTAAAGCAGGCAGAGAAGCTATGGGAAGAGATGAAAGCGATGAATGTGAAGCCGACTGTTGTTACTTACGGTACTCTCATAGAAGGGTATTGCAGGATGCGTCGTGTTGAGATTGCTATGGAGATTCTTGAAGAAATGAAGATGGCAGAAATGGAGCTTAATTTTATGGTCTTTAACCCGATAATCGATGGTTTAGGAGAAGCGGGACGGTTAAGTGAAGCTCTAGGTATGATGGAAAGGTTCTTCGTTTGCGAATCAGGTCCTACCATAGTGACTTATAATTCACTAGTGAAGAATTTCTGCAAGGCTGGAGATCTTCCTGGTGCTAGCAAGATACTGAAGATGATGATGGCAAGAGGCGTTGATCCTACCACAACTACATACAACCATTTCTTCAAGTATTTCTCAAAGCATAACAAAACGGAAGAGGGAATGAACTTATACTTCAAGTTGATTGAAGCTGGGCATAGTCCAGACCGGTTGACGTACCATTTGATCTTGAAAATGCTCTGTGAGGATGGGAAGCTGAGCTTGGCGATGCAAGTGAACAAGGAGATGAAAAACAGAGGAATCGATCCTGACTTATTAACAACCACAATGCTGATGCATTTGCTCTGCAGACTCGACATGTTAGAAGAAGCACTTGAAGAGTTTGACAACGCGGTGAGGCGAGGGATTATTCCACAATACATCACATTTAAGATGATCGATAACGGGTTGAGATCGAAAGGGATGACTGATATGGCGAAGAGACTATCCAGCCTAATGTCGTCTCTTCCTCACTCGAAGAAGCTGCCAAATACATACAGAGAAGCGGTAGATGCACCGCCTGATAAAGATAGAAGGAAGTCTATTTTGCATAGAGCAGAAGCAATGTCTGATGTGTTGAAAGGTTGCAGAAACCCTAGAAAACTCGTGAAGATGCGTGGATCACACAAAAAAGGTGTTCGTGAAGACGAAAGCTTGACAAATGATCTCAATGAACGAAGTGGAGATTCAGGGGATTTTGAGTGAGAGCACTCTCTTGTAAACATAGGTTGGGAATGGGCTTGTAATGAGCCATTTAGGCATAGACTTCAAGCCACAATTTTCATTATCGGTGTAATGGAAAAAAAAAAAAAAAAACAAATTTGTTTATAAACCAATTGATTCTACTTTGTTTGTGTCAAATTAACCTAAATTAAACTAGACACAAACAAAATTTAGTAATAACTAATAAGCAAAACTATGTAAATAAACTAGAACTCAATCCTGTTTACAAAATGAAAAAAAAAAAAAGTTAAATCATTCAAATTTTATATTCTTAGTTAGACCGAACAAAATTTTTTTTTTTTTTGTTAAAAACCGAACAAAATTTCAGCCAAATTAAACCAAACCAAACCATAAAAACGCGGTCATGTATTTGAATTGAATAAGCAAAATACCAATCACTACATATATGTGTGTGTATATATTAGGTCTAAACGAATCCTGCTAAAATTCGATCACGTGCCAAATCATATCTCTCTTACATAGACTTGTCATATAAGTGGAAACGTAAAAAAATTCGCATGTAAACATTTAGACCAAAAACTATAAACAAACAAAAAAAATATTGCTAAAACTTAAAAAGAAACAAAAAAAAAATTAAAATTTGAGAAGTGAATAAACAAGAAGCAAAACAAGAAGACAGAGGGAATCAAATGACGTAGGAGATAAAAAAAAAAAAAAAAAAAAAAAAAAAAAAAAAAAAAAAAGACGTAGGAGATAGTGAGAGGTCCTTCTCTCCTTCAACGAAGCCTACGTAATAAACACAGAGGATGATGACATTTTAACAACTTAGGTTTTGAAAAAAATTGCACTGTCAAAAAATAAGATAATTTGTCAGCGAAGGTCAAGCTGCTCTTAAAAGCAACATACCACTGAGATGTGTTCATATTTGGGGCCACTCTTCTCTTCTTATTAGTAATTTCTAAGGGTTTTTTTATAAACATTTTTAGTTTTGGAAATCGAGGTTCTCAATCATATTTCATATATCATCATCAAATCATCACTACCCAAATTTGGGATTCAAATTCCATGTCAATGAATAAGAAAAAGAAAAAAATAACTTTAAAGGCAGCAAAAGTAATGCATTTAGAATTATGAAAATGGACTCGAATCCACGTTGGTCAGCTAGTAAAATAGTGACTCAAAAATTGGTCAATCGAGAATATGTAAATGGCTGTTAATATTGTGATAGTTAATTTGTAACTGGCTATTACTTTAAAAACACTTATTTGGAGTGATATTTTCTATCACAATAATTAAAATTAGAAATGATATTTCATGTTATATCTTTATTATTTTGTTTTGGGCTAAACAAATTCATTGATATCAAAACGAGTGTACAAAGTCATTACAAAATTTCGAAAACAAATTATATTTATATTGTTTAGAAAAAGAAAAAAAAAACACGAAATATGATTACAGTTAAACCTTCAAAATCCGGTTGTTGCATTAAGACTGGGCTCAAGTGTTTTTCAAAATTTAGATGAGTTGGATATAATAATAATCTTGTTTAAATTTATACCATGTTGGTTTGAAATTTTGTTTTTGATACATTTTTTCATGTTAAGCTTGGAAATTATTTATCTTAGTTATTTATTAATTCTGCCAAAAATATTTTTAGTAGCATATAAATTTTTTTGTTCTTCTAAGAGTCAACTTTTAAGAAAAAAATTACTGGAAAGAATCTTCCAAACTTACTTAATTTTCAGAATCTTCTATTAACCCAGTATGTGGACTTGACTTTACTAAAACTCATTAAATAATCATCACAATTTTCAAAATCTTTCCTTTATAAAGCTATCAATCTTTTCTCATTAAATGTTGCTTCTAACTAAAATTTTACCCATCTGGTGATACGACCTTTAGAATACGAAGCACACAAATACAAAATTTGCTTCTTCGTGTGTATATACATACACACTTATATATATTTACGTGTATTTTTCAGAATATATATGACGTAAGTATATAAAAGAGTGTGAGAGAAAGATCTTGTCTGATAGTTCTCGTACGAAATGATCCAAAATCTGTCAGAGCTCCATCATTGTCGTCCTCGTGGACAACTGATAACTTGAATTTTTATGTATTAATTCATTTAAAATTTCATATTAACTGAATTATATTGACAGACTTCTGAATAATTTATTTTATCAAAAAACAGAAAATTCTAGATAATTTTTACATCATTAACTAGGTAATATAGGTAGACAATTAAAAACTGAGGACAAGTTGGTAAAAAAATACGGGAAAAATATCGAAAAATGCGCCAACTTTCAAATTTGGGACGATTAAAGCATGAACTCTCGAAATGTCTCTTTAATCACAAAGTTTCCGTTGACCTATCTAAAAATAGCTAAGTTTTCGTTGACCTGGCCAAATTAGGCATCGCGTTAAGTCTCCGTTAGAACGACGCTGACACTTAACAATCCGTTAGAGTCTCCGTTCGATCAAAACGACGTCGTTTTGAAGTTTTCAAACGACGTCGTTTCACCAGAAAATAAGAAGGAAAAATGGCATCTCCAAAGAATCGAACTGCTGACCTGTTACACTAATAAGAGATACTCAACTATTGGGCTACGCAAACATTTTAATATTAGTACAAACAGAACGTGTATATATACTAAAAACTGGTAACATAAATTAGGTAAAAATATATGCAATTAATTAAAAATAACAAAACTAAAAAATAATAATAACCAAAAATACAAATATTAAATATACTTATCATAGTATATGTATCAAAATCTCAAATATTATTTTATAAATAAAGATTTCTTCCATATTTGGAAAATTATTCCTTCCGAAATTCCTTCTAATATAAAAATTTTAAATATATGACATAAAATTAATCATATAATTATGCGTTATATGCACCAATGATATGCACCAATGATACATGCACCAACCACATTAAACATTTGTACAAAGTTTAGGTTTTTATAATTTAGGAAATAATAATTTTCCAAAATAGAATAAAATCTCTATATATATAATTAAATGTTTAAAATTTTGAAATATATATTTAAGGTAAGTATATTTAATATGTGTATATGTTTGGTTATTAATTTGTTTTTAATTTTGTTATTTTAAATTAGTTGCATATATTTTTACCTAATTTATGTTACCAGTTTTTAGTATATATACACGTTCTGTTTGTACTAACATTAAAATGTTCGCGTAGCCCAATGGTTGAGTGTCTCTTATTAGTGTAACAGGTCAGCAGTTCGATTCTTTGGAGATGCCATTTTTCCTTCTTATTTTCTGGTGAAACGACGTCGTTTGAAAACTTCAAAACGACGTCGTTTTGATCGAACGGAGAATCTAACGGATTGTTAACAGCGTCAGCGTCATTCTAACGGAGACTTAACGCGATGTCTAATTTGGCCAGGTCAACGAAAACTTAGCTATTTTTAGACAGGTCCAGTGCCGGTCCGAGCATTTGTGAGGCCCTACACGAAAAATAAAATGAGGCTCAATATATTTATAAGTTTTAGGGCTAAAATTTTTTTTTTGACCTATTTTTAGTAAATTATACAAAAATAATGATATTTTGAATATTATTACATTCAAATTTAATTGTTTGGGCCCTATTTTATTTATTTTTTTCGAAAAAGACTTTAGTTTCTACCAAATATTTTCATTTTATGGGCCTTTTTACCAAAAAAAAAAAAAAAAAAACCTTTAAAAAAAAAAAATATTGTGGTGCCCCAAGCCACCGCTTGGGTGGCCTGTCCTGCGGGCCGGCCCTGGACAGGTCAACGGAAACTTTGTGATTAAAGAGACATTTCGAGAGTTCATGCTTTAATCGTCCCAAATTTGAAAGTTGGCGCATTTTTTGACATTTCTCCCAAAAAAAATACTGATGGCAAAATTATGTAGAACTCATTTGTCATCACTCCGTCACAGTCTATCTATCCATTTGTCAAAATGATGGCCAAATCATGAACCTATATTTCCATTTTATAAAAAATGACAATGAGGTTCAATATTAGTATATAAAGAGGTAGATGTGTATAATTGTGGGTTTACAAAAAAAAAAAAAAGATGTGTATAATTGTGTGAAAAAAGTCAACTGTTTGATGTGTATCTTGCTTGACACAGTACACAATTTATTTTACATATGCGATCAAAGATTAGTTAAAAACCCACCGTGTGAAACAAATGGAAACTGGAAATAGCGAAAGTAACATACATCAAAATTCAGTATGTCAGGTTAACTGCCTAAATATGTGTTAAGATTAATTTTGATAGAGGGTTATAAGATGTAAAATTGATGTAGTCAGTCAAAGTAAATCTTTGTGGACTCCATACAATATCTAAAGGACACTTCAGAGTGGCTACTGTAGAGTGGACAATAATGAACTATCAACAACTGCGTAGTGTGTATCATGTCGTCGTTAGCTATTCATAGAAGCACATATTATGAATGTCAAGAGCTTTCTGGTTTTTTAAAATAAAATAAAAATCAAAGCGGTAGAGATAAATTAGTATTCGAAAAAATTAGTTGGTTTCTATGTGTCATCGACAGTATTGATTCTTAGATTTAATTTACTTCAGATGTTAACGGAGTATAATAAGAAACAAAATTCAGAACAATTTTTTTAAAAAAATTGCACCAAAATTTAGATAACCAGTATGTTACAGCTAAAGGAGTAAATATTACCAAATTTACAACACATGGAAGCTTGGGAATTGAGGACAACTAGTAAATAAAACCAACTAACTTCATTAAAGATCATGAAAAAAAAAAGAAAAGAAAAAAGAGAAACAAGTCAAAATTGAGAACAAGAACAAAAAAAGTAACCGAATTATTAATTAGGATTTATTGAAATGAAGATGAATAATATGGGAACTACAAATATTCCTAATACTCAACGGGCCGTTAAATTTCATCCATTGGTCTGTTATATCCTCAGCGATCTTAACGGCGTCATAGGCTGTTCCAGAAAGTCCTCTTCTCGTGAAACCCACCGTGTATAGTCCCTTCTCTCCTTTCCAACCGTTAGGAAACGGCGTTTTTGGCATTCCTTCTTTTGTGAAAAAACTATTGTCCTGTAAAATTCAAAATAATAGTTAGATTATTTTTTAATTTCTTAAAATACAAAATAAACCTTGAGGGGGAGATG